GAGTGGGTGGTTGCCCGGGAGCGTGTGTAGCTTGTCGGCAGCCCTCGCCGTCTCTCCTCCAATGATCTCTAGTAGTAGAGAAAATCACCTCCCGAAAAAAAACGTTTGAAGAGTAACATCGGATATGGGAAAAAATAGTTAAATATTTGAATTCTTTATTTTTCATTTCGGCCTTAGGATTTACCTTTTTTTTTATTCTCAAAATTTCTTACCTTTAGAAGCGGATAAAGAGGTGCTAATGAAGGGATTTTAGAATAAGAGATGGGGTAAATACTTTTCAATACAGTAAAAGTGGGGTAGGAAGGTAATTTAATTTAGAGTAAAGGGTAAAGTAATAAATATTAAGGGATTTTAATAATATCGAAGTCTTGGGATTAATTCGAAATCTAGTACTTAGGTCAATAATTTATTTGATTTATAGAACTTTTCTCTTATTTCCAAAAAACGGAAGTGCTCCTTCTCCATTAATCCCTTCAAATTGAGTACTAGATATTATACTAGTTTAATTGTTCTATAAAGCATAGCGAGATATAGTAGTTTTAATAATGTTTGTTCCGAAGTGTATTACTTTATTCACAAATATACCGATTTATTCCCAAACCTTACTAATAGCTCCATTTGGTAGCATGATACTGTCATGGGGCTAGTGCCCGCGGCTGAAATGTCTGGCAATCTTGCCAGGCGAGTGCTCTACCCTCGCGGCAGGCAACATTGGCCTGTGCGCGCGCACGTCTCTCTTTTTAGGACAGCCGGCCAGACTGCCCAGAGGGTGCCCTTTTCTCCCCTTCTCTCTTCGTAGAACCTTATCGATTCAATTGGCCAGCATCTGTGTCACCTATGCTGTACCCCTTACAGATACATCCTACTAAAAAGCAAGAATACGGATTGTGAGTTTAATACAAATATTTATAATTAGGATTATTCGTATGTTTATTTGTATTCATCAAAAAGTAATGTATTCTCTAATATTATTCTAAGCTAATGTGGTGTATTTAATCGTTATTTTATTTTTAATTCAATTTATCTAACCTATCGTATTAATTTATTCATTTATATATTTGTTATATCTATTCTATCGCTTCCAGCAACTTATTCACTCGCGTCTGTTCATTTTTATCAATATTACTCATAGTAAATTTAGATAGAGGACTTGTTTGAGGGCTTGATTGTCGTTGTTTTTGCGGAAGAGGAGAAACGGAAACTAGGGCAGCCTAAATACCTGGAGGAAGTGCCCAGGGCACGGACTTCCAACACACCCCCGTAGGCTGACCTGACGAGACCTGACTCCGAAGAAAACCTCTAACTATATACATCGTGAAATCCTTTCCCAAAGAGGTGAAAATTAGGGTATCTCCATCTCCCTCTCCTTTCCTCTATTAATGTCCTCCGGCTCTTTCGCGTTCGCTGTCGTATTGTCACATAGCTCTATTCGTGCTCTCTGGCATAGGCCGACAGTCGTGTTCTGGCTTTCCTAGCCTTATGGGACGGGGATTTGGATTGGTTCCTCGGGTTCTTCTACTCCTCCTCTCATCTTCTTGGTGTACTCTTTGAGATTCGGGTTGGTGAAATACTCTTAGATGAGTTAGCTTCTTCTCTTTGGCTGCTACCCTTAGGTACTGGCTTCTTTGGATCGGTTGGGGTTTGCCATCAAGATGGATGGACTTCCGGGTTGCCACAAGATTGTGTGGACTTTGAGGGGGTCTGTCGCTCGCTATGCAACGTCGAGATTGGGTGCCTGTCAGTTGAGTCGACGTCGAGGAGTCGACGTCGAGGGCAAAGGTTGAAAGAAAGAAAGCTGGGTAGATGAGAAAGTTGACTTTGGTTGAGTGAATGGTGAATGACAAGGTGACCATCTTGGTCAAAAGGGGATCTTCCAATTAGATCTAGGTGAAGGTGATCTTCTAATGAGATCAAGAGTAACCATCTTGGCCAACGAAAGAGTGACCTTGGGCTTTAGTCGAGGGTGATCTTGATGATTGAGATCTGGGTTTATCGTGGTCGCTGCAAAATTGCAAGGAAGGTCATTAGCGGGGTAACTGAATGGCCGCTGAATTGATGATGAGAGTCGTCGCCATTTCTTCTTGAGGATGGAGATCGCTACGCTCCTGCACCCCCGTAGATGGCGCAGGATGCTAGAATAGCTTCAAAAAAGGGTGCGCGCAATGCGCGTGAGGGCTCACAACCAGTCGGAGGGCTGGAAAGGGCGACAACGAAAAAGGGCCTGACTGTTGTTGTTTTTGCGGAAGAGAAAAAACGGGAACCAGGGCAGTCTAAATACCTGGAAGGGAGTGCTCAGGGTACGGACTTCCAACAAAACTACTGTATGCATTTGAAATCTTTTCGTTGGAATTATTAGGCGGTTGTATTCGTCGTCAGCTTTAATCAACTATTTGGTTGATATTCCTTGGGGCAGTGGTTCCGTAAGATTATGATCAATTGAAATTTTTAAGAGAAGCTTTGGCTAAGAGTTTGAAACTTATTTCTTCTTTATTACTAGTTTAAAATAGAATCAAAGTATATTATTCTATGAAAGAAAGATTTGCGCGATGAGTATAAAACTACTAATGCAGACTAGTATTTTACCAACTACTTCTTAAAAAGATCCGCTGTACTTTAATTTATGGAATTAATTCATGTTTTCGAATTGCAAAGTATTATGAAACAATATAATAACAATAACATCCTTAGAAAAACTAAGATATAAGTAATCAAGCCCTGACTAGCACTTTTTTGGTATTGAATTATATAGTTCTAATCCTTGAGAATAAGTAGAACGTAGAGACGTAGCCCTCTAAGATAGTTTTTTATCAAAGCTATTAAGGAGTCAATTAAGAGGAAATAAAGTATAAAAGAGGTATTACTACTACTGTAGATAATAGTAGTTAGAATGACCTAGGGTTCTTTTGAAACTAATTCAAGAATTAGAACGAGTATCATTGTTTTAGTTAAAATAGGTATAAAGTGTTTCAAATTCATTACTTTAGTTGCTCTTCTATTGGTTGATCCGTTAATCTTCGTTGATTGGTTTATTTCTTAATAATTCCTTTTTTGTTTCCGTAATTTAAAAAAATTGAAAATTTATATTACTTATCCTTTTTCTATCTGCTTATGTAGCTGATAAACATTATAGTCCAGTCATCTTATGTTTGCGTTTGTAATTAGTTCCTTAATAAACATTAGTTAAGGTATTATTGATCCGTACGTCCAAAGCTCTAGGAAAAAATCGCGAACAAAATCTATACAGAATTACCCCATTTTGATATAGCGCTAGTCTACAAACTTTCCTAGCTCCCTTTCTCTTCTCGTAGAACTACGTTTATCTAACCTACCTTCTAAGGTCCGCCTTGTGTTACGAACTTATGAGAACACACGGGCCAATTCCAAGACTGATAGCACAAAGAACCCAATAAGGCTAGACCGCGTAACGCCAGGACTGTCATAGCGCTGGCGGACCACTACATCACTAGACTATGTTCCAAAAGGATACAAGTAACCGAAGCTGGCAATTCGGTCGCTCAAGTGGTCTTATATAGTTGTGATGGAAGTCGAGAGGCACAACTGCAAGGCTGCCATCACGAGGACAGGGAAGAGCTCACAGGACAACAAGGCTCGCGCTAATTATAGTAAGCCAGACACACCATCATGGAAGTGAGCCTGCAAAACCCAGCACCAAACACTAGGGGCTCACGGTTGCGTGAACATCCGGAAACAGATATCTCGCAGAGGGCGGGCAGGTATAAAGGGACTACGGGAGAACTCAGATTGTCAGATAGTTCGACAGTAGTCAATTGATTATTATCACCGAGACCAGTATAACGCTACCATCCTTGTTGTGAACCTTTTGGCTTCACCGAACGTCTACTGATAGTTCTACCTTCAGCTATCTCATTTAGGCAGATCAGACTGCCGTTCGTCACACCTTGCCACCCGATACTCTTTTGGATAGAAGAATATTGTACGACGTTTGTATAATTAAAAGAAACCCTTGAAAATTTACATTTGTACGTTAAACCCTAATCGGATTGTGGCCTATCTAATATAAGGCTGAGGCTACTCGAGTAAATACCGTATATGAGGAATACTATAAGGTGTTGCGCGTAGTACTAGTGGTAGTTGTACTCGATTAGTTACACGCACCGTCTTCTCAGGTTCGTGTTCATCCCTTCCACGCTTTCGTGCTCTTTCTGTATGTTCCTCGTACATGCGATCATTTTCCACTTTCTTTGGATTGCTGCGCTCCTCTTGGAGGACATCCATGACTCACCGTACAGCAACGACGGCCACTTGTCATAGAAAAGATGACAGAAGGTTTCGAGCGAGGGCGCAATGGGCGCACCATTTTCAACAGGGGTGGCGCTACCTACAGGTAGACCCAGACGGCTCGCTTTGTAGGCGGTAGGTGTCATTCGTGGCGCGTCTAATATGTCATGCTGTTTTCCCTCCTTGGCTCTAGCATTCGCGTTTTCGTGTTAGTTTTGAATAGCATCAGGGCCTGGAGCCACCACCCATTTCGTTCGACTGAGCTTGTAAAATGTATAGTAATGGAACTCTAGCAGGGATATAGGTATGTATTGCCGCCATCTCCAGTCGAGAACGGCGATACTGCGAGCGACAAAGTTAGAAGGAGAAGTGAGAAGGTAAACAGTACATGCTAAGTAGGTACGCTAACTGCAGAACTGGTCAAGAATTGCAGGGAGAAGGTGTTGTGGTGGGGCCTGTCCCACCTCTGCCATTCACTGGCCTTGTTATGTGGGTCCATGAGCTCACACCACCATTGTATTTAGCCCTCCACATTTCTTTTCCTTTCTTGTCCCTGAGCTTAACACAACAAACACACTTCTTGTGCCCACGAGTCCAAGAGAAGGACAGACAGACAGTGCAACAGGGGTAGGTAAGGAAAGATGTGCTGTACATACTTTATGCGGTATGGGCAGCTACCAAGTCTCCTACGTCGACGTCGAGGTTCCGTAACCACTCAAGGTGGGCGTCATCGCACCATAAGTAGGCTACAACAAGCCATTTCCCCGTGAGCTACCTTCCCTCCTTCACACGCTCTGAGAAAACGATGCGTCGTCCCGGAGCGGAAGTCTATGTTGTTGTCTTCAAACCACGCCATCCGTGGCACAGTTTCCACGTCCCCCTTTGAACGCAGACAATAAAACACCTTTGTATCCGTTTGATAAGCGCCTTGGAAGTGTCCAATTGATGTGAAAGGTCAAGAGGCGTCTGCGAAATGAGGATGAGTAATGGAAATAAGGTATGAGCTCGTTATTAGATTGCTTCAGTTTGTGTGAGACCACTGGAAGACTGGGATGGGGAGGTTTGGCTGTGTTGGTTAAGTGGAAGGGAAGAAGAGAGTAGCTAGTTCGATTCTGCTTCTCAACCATTTATAAGTAAGTGTGGAGGTATTTTTCAGGGTTTCAAGCTGCCGTCACGGGATTAAAGGACAGAAACGGTTGTGACTCTGTAGACAAATTCCGATTTAGCGGCACTTTGGCATCATCTGCACGTGGCCCGAAGTACATACGGATTTCAGAGCCGGATCCAGCCCCAAAATTGACTTGACGGGCAGGAAAATCTTGCACATGCACTCAAGTGCTGTAAAGGTCCAATTTTGTCGAGTGGAATCTGGTTCTAAGAAGTAGGGTAATAAACTAGACTGCAGAATCTCGGAGCTTTTGTTTTAGGTTCTTTGATGTAGGAAATCAGACACACTCAGTAAAACATACTGCTCGCACATGTGTCTTTTTATGTCCGAGAAGAACACTGTGGCAAACAGCTTGAGACCCCAGGGCACCGTGAGCAGGGCACCGTGAGTTTAATTCTTCTAGTGCCCTGGCTTCCTCCCCATCATAAGGCCAAAAGGACAGAGAGCTGGAGGGCAGGTACCTCTAGGGACATTCCGAATCACCATTGTGCATAGGACTTTGGGTGCGCATGAATATTGCAGTATGCTTGCATATTATATCTGGTTATCAGGGAATCGAAAACCCAACGCCGTGAAATACTGCCGTAGCTGCCTTAATTTCCTAGAGGTACCTTGAGGCCTGCGCCTGTAGATATTCTGGGACCCCTCGCACTATTGGCTCAACTCAAGACTCGCTGGAAACCGTATGTCGTGGTTTGGTGAGATCTGCATAAGCACGCAACACCCATTCTCTTGCCGCGCCGAACTCGACCAACAGCGCATACCCACAGTTATCAAAGAAACTAACACATGTGGAAAACATGAACTGTAACTCCGCGTGTGCCCCGATCTGTCTAAGCCAACATCTTGGTGATGAGGACGTCGTCAAAGGCCCACAGGACGGCTTGGAACTGGTGGCTGAAAGCGCCTCCCGTCCACCACGTGCCCTTGTGGCCCTGCAGGGCGTATTGCCTCTGGATGAAGCCATTGCGGATCTCCCTGGCCGACGCGTGCATATTCACGGCGCCGTGCTCTGACCACGCCTTGATCTCGAGATTGGTCGGCCCGCCACTCGAGAGCGTGCCCCGCTTGACCATATCCTCAAAGTTCTTGTTGGCAATGCCCTGCGCCTTGTCCTTATTGAGGTCCTTCTTTCCAACCATAAGCACGCGCCAGTTGGTGGAGTTGCCGCCCATGTAATCAAACCGGGCATTGAAGTTGGGCTTGGGCAGCGCCATGTAGTTGGCCGGCGCGCCCGCCGCGGGAATGTTGACAATGGACACGTCGATGGGGAGCGAGGGATGCGTCACAATGCCGCAGTGGACGACCGATTGCTCGAGCTTGTCGAAGACGGCCTTTTCGGTCCTGTCGAGGTTGAATGGTTCCATGTTCTGCTTGGTGGGCTGGATAGCGATGAGGAGCTTCTTCGCCTTGACGAGCGTGTACCGGCCGGTGGTGCCATTTTCAACCCAGAGGCTGTGGCCGTTGTTGGCCCGCTCACTCTGTACGACAGTGCTGCCGAGAAGCAGGTCGCTCCCCAGGCGTGCCTGGATCTTCTCGTAGACCTCAATGTTGCGACGTGAGTTGGGCGTGAAGATGGTGCCGTTGCCAAGGAAGGTGCGGATCATGGGCTGGTTGAAAGCGCTCAGCACGTACATGGTCAGGCTGTTTTGGAAATCCCCAACTCCCATGCCCGTGACCTCAAACACCTGATTGGCGCAGGCGCTGATGTTGTACTTGTTGACGAACTGGGCGAACGGTAGGAAGAGATCCTCGGGGATGTCCCGGGGCTGAGGGAAGTTCCAGTACCCGGGGAGCAAAAACTTCTCGTACGGCTCCGTGACGGTGAGGAATTTCTGGAGGGCGGCCTTCCTATCCTGGTTCGACGATGGCTCGTAGGCCACTGGCCGGCCCGTCTGGAAGTCGACAAAGCGCTGTGTCAGGGCCACGCGCGGGGCCGGCGAGAAAGATATACCCAGACGGTTGAAGAAGTCCTTGGCCGGGCCGTAGTCGTTGTAGGAATTTACTCCAAAGTCGAACGGCTTCCCTGTCGAGAGATCGTCAAAGGTCGATACATGGCCGCCCAGCCGCGAGCTCTTGTCAATCACGGCGATGCTCTTGCCAAAATCCTCCTTGAGCCGGATCGCGGCGTAGGCACCACTGGCGCCGGCGCCGACGATGGCGACATCAACGTTAATGATGTGCTGAGCCGCGCTCGCGGGCAGTACCGGGGACGGAGGGGAGGAAGTGGCGGCAACAGCAGAGGCAGCCGACAGCAGCGATGCTGCAATCCAGAGTGCGGCGGTAGTCATGATAGACAATTCAGAGTCGACACATTACAAGTTCTTGAAGTGCTGCCGAACGTGGTCACAGATGGGTGGCGGAAGGGGCAGCTCTTATCAACATGCATGAAAACTTGGAGTGGCTAGCATAACTCGGTACCGACCGACGCATGTCAGATTCTGGTGCAGTGCCCTTTCCATGCCGCCAAATAAGAATATGCCCACAGTTCGATAACCGTGGGTAGAGGACTTGGCCTGTCACCCTTTGCTTCTTTCGCACGCCAAAGGGTGCATGTGTTGGAGGCTGGAAAAGGCGACAACAAGAAGGGCTTGATTCTGGAGATGTCTAACGGAAGAGGGGAAACGGAAACCAGGACAGCTTAAATTCCTGAAATGGAGTGCCGGTGAAGAGGCAAGAAGATCAGTCGATGGCGGCCAGATCTCGTCCAGTATGTATATACCAGGCGGACCGAGATATCGAACAAACTTACCTGGCGGAGATCCCACAAACTACAAGATACGCTATTAACCCAGATGGTCGTCTAGACCACGGTCTTTACTTTTGATAGTCCGGGGTATTAGCGTCGTAATTTTGCAGCCGGCGCAAATACTCCTACGCTAGTTACGCTATTGAGTCCCGTCGATCGAATTATTGACAATAAGCGGAAGTGTTGGAGGTGTCCCGTGTCACGTGCGGCCAGCCATGGCTCCCTCTGGCCATGGCCCCACCGCACAGGGACCTCCCTTGCCCTACTTTTAGACCTCCAGACTTTACACAGTCTGAACTCTACATAATACATCATATTGATTCGTTCGTGGTTGTTCACCCTGTTCACAGAAAGCTTCATTTGCACGTGGAGGTTCAAACAGGACTGGCGTCTTGCTTGTTTGTCGTAGCTCCGCGAATGGTAGGCCCTGTCAAACCCCGTTTTCCGTAGTTTTTCTGCCGGACTCTAGACTGTCGTCCACTTCCGGGACCGTGTATCTGTCACAGGATGAGACTTGCAAAGACGTGGAGAGGTGAAACTAAAATGATGGCGCCCCGAATTGTGAGAATCGAACAATAGGGGAGAAAACGAGGGCGACAGATTAAGAGTATGGCAGGATAGAAAAGGGAACTGAATCCCACTTTGTCCAGTGCAGTGCTGTCTGTGTCGGACTCAGTCGCATTCAGAGCAGCTTCGCATTCAGAGCAGCTTCGCATTCAGAGCAGCTTCGCATTCAGAGCAGCTTCGCATTCAGAGCAGCTTCGCATTCAGAGCAGCTTCGCATCTCACCCTCGTCACTCTTTCGAATTGTTCTCGCCGTCATTGCGATGAAGACCTCGGGCCTTTTCGCCCTCTCGGGCGCTGCCCTCTCGGGCGCTGCCCTCTTGCAAGGCGTTTCAGCTGCTTGCTGTCGCAGTAACAAGTGCTTGAAAGGCATGTGCTCTCCCTTCCATTTCCTTCCGGGTCCGAATCTTGTGACCAACACCATCGTCCTTGGCGGTCGCCCTCGCCGACGCCGGACTCGCCGATTGTTCCGCAAACCTCGGCACCATCACCGTGACTTCCACCGCGGCCGCAACTACCTCCACCGAAACGGTAACCACCACACTGGACTATGTCACCTCGTTCACCTCCACAACCTTCGACTTGTTCACCGAAACCACCACAGAGACAGCATTGGCCGAAACCCTCTTCTACACCGAAACCGTCACTTCCACCGGACCGGTCCAAACGGAAACGGTCACGCGGACCATGACTCAAACCCTCACTACCACCTCGACTGAGCTGGCCCCCGGCGTCACGTCAACTGCAACAAACTATGTCGAGGAGCCGAGTAGCTTGAAGGTCAAGGCCCGTCGGACAGATATTGCTGCTCCCTCTGGCCTGCCTGAGTATGCCCCGGCCAATTGTGCCGACTGGGCCAAGTATCTCAAGGCGTGCAAGTGCGTCGGCGTCGAGGAACCGTCTCTGCTGCCGTCGAGACTGAAACCGTGACTGTGTCGATTCCCGGTGAGGAGGTGACAGTTACTGTCCCCATGACTGTTTCCAGCACCCAGACAGCCATTGTGTCGGCAACCGCCACCGACGCCAGCACCGTGACGGAGACCGTGACAGATACGCCCGATAGCGTCACCACCATCCAGACCGTCACCGCCACTTCTACCACCACGGTAACCACCACATCCACGCCCACCACCGTTGTGCCGCTCACTTGCCAGGCTACGGGCCACAACTTTCAAGTTACCACGCCACGTCCTGACTCGACGTATGCTTTATGGTTGTGGCGGAGTGGCAACTTGGTCCAGTGGGTAAACTATGTCGGTCTAGCAACCCCCACGGTCCTATCGACTGTCTGGTCTCTGGAAAACAACGGTTATATCCAACCCACTGGCTATGATGGCATCCTTTATATTCTAGCCGATAGCTTGGGTGCCACTGTGCAGATCAAGTTGGGCGACAGGGCCAGTGTTGATGCCGGTGTCGCGGCCGGTACGATGGCGCCGATCAAGGGCTGTGTCGACCCAGCCACTGGTCGGTTTACCATATCAGCGAATGGACGGCAGAACCTCGTGCGGTGCGGAGGTTCGGTGTATATCTCTAGCGGCAACGGGTCCGATGCGGGTGCCGCTTGCGTCCAAGTTGCCCCAAAGGCTGTCCAGGCCTATATGTAAATATTCGGGGCCATTCGAAGGCCCGCCTAGACCATCCGACACAACTGCCTCTCGTCCTCAAACCCCCGAAGTTCTAACAGTGGGGTTCTGAGTCTGGGTTTTGGTACTGTAGCGTGGGTGTGGTATGGGGAGGAGTCGCTCCCGGCGAGTAACGGAAGCCATTTGTCTTTGGATCTTGGTTCGTTTTAAAAGCCTTCTGGCTCGCATGTTTGGTTATAGACAGCTGTCAGTGTGCTCTAATTCAACGCCCCTGTATTACTTACAACAGTGCCCGAAAGAAAAGAAGGCCGGTGAATCCCCGCATTGAACGCCAAGGTGTAAGCAAAGTGGCATTGCTTTGCAGCCTGTACTATACGTCCGGACTACAGTACAAGGAAGAGCCGTGGCTTCCAATTACTGTACACTGTACATAAGTACCTCCAATCTTGGCCGCCTCGAAATCCAACACACAGTGACAATGACGCTCACTCTTCCCACTACCACCATAGATCTCCTTCGTTCTTCTCTAGAGTCTTGAAATATATTATACACTCAGTCCAATGTGATCGACCCGTCTATTTCAAATTCGTTCTTGTCGCTCGTCCCCTTCATCATGTCCACCAATGCCGAGCAATCGTCAAGCCATTTGAGCCAGGAATGGGACTGGGTGGCACAGGTAACGTGTTCTACTGCACCTCAGCTGCGTACAGCTAATCCATTGGCAACCCTTTTGGCTTGTTTTTTGCTGATTGAACAAAACACGCCAGAGAGCTGAGACAATTGCAAGCCAGGCTCGAGCCGGGGTGTGACGAATGAAGAACATGGGCTTGGCGGCTGCCTAAGGGATAGGTTCTCTCCGAATGCCAGATCGGGACGAGTATTTATACCTACTCAAAGGGCCTGATGTGTGAACAACTTTGCTTCCTCAAACCACTTCAACCGCTGAAGCAAACAAACAACTACATACCAAACATGCCGGGCCCAGCCCATCAATGCCGTCACGAGGTCTTGCAAGTAGACGTCTCGAGCTATGCGAAAGAAGCGGGGTGCTCGCGTCCTTCGGAGGAACAGAGGCAGACAGCAGCAACAACAAAGCGATCTGGTCGCCCGTATAATCAACCTGAAGGCGAAGACGCGTCCACCATCTCACCGTACACCTTCCCAGCCCCACTCACGCTGCCTGACGATCTGCTGGCTCTCGGCGACGATGAACCTCCGCAGAGCATGCTCTCTTGGATTCGCCAGAGAACTCCGGTTACGCAGGCACGAAAGACCATATACGTGGTGCGCACGCCGACCGTCGACGAGGGAGTCTCATTTATGCAGCCATGGACAGTCCCTACCACCACCACCAGCAGAAAGCTAAAAGCGGTCGAGCCTCCACGTGTGGCCGACGTTTCGGCTTATCTAGAGGCCTTCTACTATCCCCTCCCAGTGAAGACTCTCCCTCAAGAGGTGTCTTTCGTACCTTGGGAGACCCCCAAGCCCGAAAAGGGACGCAAGAAAAAGGCACCTATGCCCAACTATGTTGGTTTTCAGATTGGCGATGGAGTCACACGGGTCCGTACGCGTCCCTGCCCAGATACCGTCTTTGGTGGTCAACTCAACCTGAATGACCTATTGGACGGAGCGTTGCACGTGCTTCCAGACGATGCCTATGCCATTCTGCTGCTGGTTGATCATGACCTGTATGAAGACGACGAAGACGACTTTTGCTGCGGCCGAGCTTACGGTGGTAGCCGAGTCTGCATTGTCTCGTCGTCTCGCTACCATCCCGCCCTTGACACACTGGACTATTACATTGTCGGTGGCATTGACCTGGCCCATATGTGGCCGGCCTCCCATTGCCAAGCCTTTGTTGATGGTGTCTGCTCCCTACATGACCCTCCTCCCCCGTCGAAGAAGAGAAAGCGGACACAGAAAAAGCTGGAGCCAAAAGCCCCAGCCGACAGCGTCCCCCCTGGCCTGGACGTACCTTCAACCCCCATGGGTGCTGCGCTTCGGGCAGTTCAGCCTCTGTCACACTCGGCAAAGGATCTCCATGGACTATGGTTCTCAAGGGTTGCTCGCACCGTCTCTCACGAGATCGGTCACTGTTTCTGCTTGGGACATTGCTCCTATTATGCTTGTGTTATGCAGGGTACAACAAGTGTGGCAGAGGATGTTAGACAACCTCCTTACTTGTGCCCTGTCTGCCTGGCAAAGGTCACACATGCCCTGATGGGCGTCTCACCCGACATTGGAAACAATGAGCAGGCATACGTCGTGGAAAGATACCAGGCCTTGATGGATTTCTGCCAAAGTTGGCTGCACGTGAGTATGTTTGGTGGTTTCCATGCATGGCTTGAGAAAAGGGTCCAGATTCTCTCCATAGGGCGTAGTGCCTCTTCGCCTATCTGCCTTAACTGACGAACGAGCACTTGTTGGCGTTCGTGAGACATAAGGGCGTGTTCGCTGCGGCATTAGTACAGTGACAGAAACCTTTTTTTGGTGGCAGAAACGCCTTGGATTAGGAATAGAAGAGCTTCTCTTACTGCACTGCTGCCGGAACCAACACATCGTGGTGGGCGGTGTTCTCATATCAAACGGTCACCAGTCACGTCGATCTTGATGTGCAAGATTGAATTCCCCAGTTTCTATTGCATTTCTCGCGTTTCTCTCCAGTATCACTCTTTCGCCCCTTGATACGCGATTCAGAAACCCTACCATCGATGTTCAGGATGCACTTCTGTAGAGGTGACAACTGGCTCCTTCTTGTATGGCATTGGGCCTGGCAACTCGCCCCCTTCATCTCTGACAGGAGCTCTTGATGGTACTGGTGAGTACCGCTTGCGCCGGATCAAGTGCCTGGACCGCGTATTTCTGTCAGTGTTTCTGTCACAAGTAGGTGGATTTCATGGCACAGGCCAGATGAGAACGCAAAGGGGGTAAACTTACACCAAACCGGCAATAACACCAATCAACACCGGTATTCCCAAACCCAACGAGACACCAAGAATAACCTTGTTGCTGACACCATTTGTGTCCTTGTCGAGAAAGTCCTTGACGTCTTGAATGGCTTCACTGGCTTTGGGCAAGAAGCCCTCGTCTGTAGCAGATGGGTTGTACGAGGTCGGAGGCCCGCTGACGGATGAAATCATTTTATGGACGTTAGGCCCAAACTCTGGAATCGAGGACACCGAGTCCATTTGCGTTGCAGGGAAAGTCGGTATCACGCCATCCGGCACGACTGTCACAAGCGTCATGACTGATTTCATCGTCGTGCTTTCCTGCAGCGAGACCGGGCAGTTGACCAGTCCCGGAGACTTGCAAATCTGCCCGAAGAAGGTGGCCGTGGACGAGATGGTGGTGGTGACCAGTTCTTCCTCCCGACGGCCTAAGAGACGGTCGAGCAATGGCGGTGAAGTCATGCGAGGAAGCCAGTTGAGCCTGGGAGATCTACGTTCCTCCAGGCCCGCTGTGGTTGTGGCCGTGACTGTTGCCGTGGGCGTGGTCAGGGTAGCGCAGAAGGCGCCTATCTGGGTATGGAAAACGGGGATAGAAGAGTTAGGACTAGGGCCCCAAGTGTTACCTAGCGCTTCGATGGTGGCACCCGCGGCGACCGCAAGGGCAAAGGTGTAGAAGGCTTCGACTTTGAGCTTGCACTCTTCCTCCTCTTCATCCTCGTCTTTTCGGACTGCGAGGTCGTGTAATGATGACGAACTACCAGGATGCACAGCACCGGTGGATTCTATTTCGTTTCGACGAGCGGCCCTATTTGGGCCCGGGTTCTCGTCACCCGTGGATATCGTGGGCCCTGTAACAGATATTGAGAACTCGGCCACATGAGCAACAACCTCAGCAACCACTCCGGCACCGAATAGCGGCTTGTCGTCCTTCGTCTTCACCTTTGGGAGTTGCTTGGTCACCTGCTTGAACTCCAGTCCAGCCTTTAGCGCGACTCTCAACACCGCCTTGATAGTGGCTGTTGGAGAAGATAAGGTGACTGGCAGAAACTCAAACTTTCCTCCGTTGAAGTTGAAGTCCGAAATGTTGCGGCTGAACATGACAAGTTCAGCACCCACGCCCTTGTCAAACTTCATGTGAAACCCGCTGCTGATGTCAGCCTCTGCGTCAAGCTCGATGATCAGATCAATGACGACCGCAAGGCCCGCTGTGATATCACCTCCCTCGGAGAAGCCAAAGCTCGGATCCTTGGACGAAAAGAGGTTCAGCTCATATGTCGACGCTGCTGATATCTTTGTGTTGAGCTTCAGATACAACTCGAAGTCGTCCTCGAACACGAACCCGATTTTGACCTCTGGCAGAGGAGCGAGATCGACATCAAAATCCAGGTCCACGGTCGGCCAATCTATGTCGGTGAAGTCGGTATCTCCCTCGTATATCAGCTCTTTGAACTCGTTTACGATGACCTCTCCGCTTCCTTTGATGGCGTCGGTGAGCTGGTCGGCTGCTGCCTTGGTCACGTTTTCGATTTCTCTCCCAATCTCGAGAGTGTGGTTCCGGAAGACGTCTGTGAAGTTGCCGTTGACGGTGAACGAGCCAGTGGCGGCCCCCCCTGATGTAGCACTCCTCGCAAACAACCTCGATGTTGAGGCTGGAGCCCAGGCTCTGATTTTTACCGGGCTTGTCTTCCCTTTCGCTGTAGGAGATACAAGACTTGTAAGCATGGGGGATGGGCTATGGGATCGAGAAGAGAGGGGATTCTCTGCAATACGTACAACTGGAGTTTCATAAGTGTGGCTCCCCTCCAGCTTCTGTTGAAGTCTATCCTCCCGGTCGTAAGGTTCTTGTCTCTGCCTTCCAGTCTGACTGCATTTAAACTTCTTGCAAGATGCTTTAATGTTTCTTGGGACGTCATTCCAGGCGCATTTCGGATCTGGTAGGCGGGGACAAGATCACCAGCTACTGGACTGGCGGAAACGGTACCACCCAAGCCCACGAGTGCCCAGGCAAGGGCCGTTGCAAGGCCTCCGAGCACCATGACGATGAAAAAAATAGTATGCTACTCGTTTGATGAGTGACAAGAGAAAGGAACAGTGGATGCGTGCAAGGAACGAGCAGGCTGGTCTGCAGCTGCTTGGGAACTGGCTTCATATATAGATCTATCCACCCATGGTTGTTTATGGTGTCAGCCCTAGCAGGCTCCTGATGTTCTTCTTGCTAGATATGGGGCCAAGGCAAAGTTTCCATCTTGTCGCTGGTACCGAAACGATAATGCAGGAGCAGACTGGCTAGTTGGTGTAGATGTAAGATGGGGTAGCAAGGTCCTCAGCCCTGTAAGACGCTACGGCAAGGTACATGGAGTTCCATGCGGTTGGTACCGAGATTCGAAAAGAAACAACAGCGTTTTGTGTGGCTTGGAAACAGCTGAAATGCAGCTTGCCTTCGTAGCGTTGATCCGTCAAATTTCCAGCCTATCTCGAATCATCCCCGCGAGCAAACTCGATGCGAACTTGAATGTTTGCCTTGAAACGCTCTGGCTGGATGTGTCCCAGGTAAAGTCAGTCTTCTTGATTTTACACTTAGCTCATACATACTTATCAAAAAAGCGCGTCTAACAGCCCTACGAACTTTGTCCTGGAGAGATACCCGGCCTTGACAGTCCTGCCTCATGACATTGCAAGCCCCTGCAAGTTCTGAATGTCTGTTGGTGATAGCATCCCCGGCTTTACATGCGTGCCCGTGGCGTAAAAGCCGCTGCATACCCGACAATATCACGCGGAGCCTTGCGAAAATGAAACGCTGTCTTTGGCCCCCGCATGCTGAGTGCAAGAGATACAGTGCAAAAGTGTCTTTCAAGCTGCTACGCTTCAGCCGAGAAAAAGAGCCACGCACTGGCAATTTCTGCTCCGCCCTCGCCTCGTTGAGTATAAATAAATGTTATATCGCACACTGCTTCCAGGGCTGTGCCAGGCATTGACGACAACTGTTTCAGCCACGGTTCTTGTTGGGGGTGCTCGTCGACATTCTCGAGGGATGACCATGGATTGGACTCATGCGGCGGGCGGGAAGGCTACCAACCTCATCAGCGACCTACACGAATTTTCGAGGCTTGATAGAAGACACGACCAAGGAAGCGCTTGAGTTGGACAATTGTTTGGCAGCATGAAGCTCGTGGGATCCGACAGCAATCCGAACCTTGTTATAGCTGGCGGCCGCTCGTTAGCCTTGGCATTAGACCTATTGAGCTCAGCTTGCAACCTCGATCAGATACGCTGACTCCCAGCCATATCTCCATCACGTCCGAACCGGGCCTTGAGTAAGATGCTCAACGGGCTCAGGTAGAAGCAGAAAAATGAAAGTTGCGCTGATGTGCGGTGTACCTGTGGGCCCGGTGTCGAGAGGCAGATTGCTTCCTTTTGGGCCAAAAGCCGGCATACGTTCTTCTGAAACGGGCCGGGATAATACTGTCAACGTTGATTGATGATGTTCGTTGTGTTTCAGTGTACACCATTCAAGGACGGGGTACAATGACTAACATTAAGACCGCGTGAGGCAGAGCGCAAGTTGAATCTCTAGAGGCGGGGTAAACAAACGGCGGCCATCATTTGGGATTCCGAGGATTGTTGACCGAGTAGGTAAGATAGGGAAGCGGCAACACTCATAAATCACCTTAATAAGGGTCCCAAACCCACTTAATCTCCCTTATGCATCTCGGGTACCCTTCCCTCCTTCCTCTTTCCGTCCGTTCGTTCTTGCCAGACCTCCTGCCTAACCCGGGGTACGTCCAGCTTTTTTGTTCTCTTTCTTCCCGAACATTCACACCTAACTCACCAAACTTTGTTCACAGACGACCGGATCTGCTGATGGTGTTTTCACAGGGCTTGTATGTCCCTCTGTCAAGTGCTGCCTAGGTATCTTTGAGGCCGACGAGATACTGGAGCTCTTTGGCGCGAAGCTGCGAAGAAGCCTGACAAAGGCTACATTTGAGTAATGGTCGGTCTTTAACATTATCTGGTGATTTCGGGAACAAGTGTCTAACAAGCATTTTTTGCAGCTTCACCAGCCCATAGCCACTTCGTTCAATTCCCCGCGAATTTGAGGCTACGAGTCATCTCAGACGACGGCAAAGATCAATGCCGCAGACGCAAGATCACAGCAGTTCGAGCACCTTGGTCTCAAACAACAGATACCCTACCATTCCTACCATTGGGTAACTGATTTTAGATCTGGTGTAACACAGAATATCACCACGTCCTCCCACAATGCGAAAGAGCCAACAGGACCGGACTCCGGTAACCGGTTAGCCAATGTTGCATCTTAAGCCATTGACGTCTTTTCGGGGAGCAGTCTGGATCTTCCCTAGCTTGACAGACGCCATGCCTTGGGTTTTGGGCCTTAGCCAGAATCCACGCTCCTCTCGCGGACCAGTTGCCGGCTCCCGTAATTGGGCAGTTGGGGTACCTTTCACCCAGTGACAGCAGCATCACATGGCTATCCTGCACTGTACACCTCCCACAAGAAACTTCACTCGGACGCTGTCGGCTTTCTAGGGATTGCCTGGAGGCTCTCCGTCTTGTATCGCCACCTCTGGGTATCATATAATGCTGTACGCACTACGGGTCTTCGGATAATCAGTGAAAGCTGGGAACATTCATGACAGAAGATTAGTGCGGCCATTTCGTTCGCCTGGGCGTGAAGCCATTCGAGCTCAAAGAGATACCGGAACGTGGTGTGTAGAGACACACTGTCGTCACACTACCACCTTGAACACACCCAATCCAGACAGGATTCCGCCAGTAAGGGAGAGGGTTACTGCAAATGGCCTCACACTCCGATAAATTGGGTTCTAGGCTTTCCGCTAATGGCATGCCGAGGCACATCAACCCTTCGATATCGCGTTCCTCAGGGATCCCTTGCCTTCTCGAGCGGCCACTAAAGCATATGATTTGCAAAAAAACGCTTTCTACTGTCTCGATAGATGCCTTCTTTGCTCGTAAAAGTGTGGTAGCATAGCTACACATGCACCAGCTTATGGCAAGAATCGTTTCCGAAAAACCGGGTTTTACGGTCAGCTTCGAGCACATGGTGTCGCATTAGGGATGGTATCTTGACACGCCGGTTACATAGGGTCGACGTAAAGATGGACCCTTCCCTGCCTCATGCCTCAGCAGGACCTCCTCCAAGCGTGACAAATCATCCGCGCCTTCTCGAGACTTCATCCAGGATATATTGCCAACAATCGAGGACTCATCCGACTCTCTTCGCCCCATTCCCCTGTCGTCAAGCTTAACGAGGACATCTCAAGCCCGAGCTACCACCAGCTGTAAGATGGATGGTAAAAGCGCACCATGTGTTGCTTACAACAGAGGTTGTGGCACTGGAGATATAGTCGGGTATAGACGCATGGTTCCAGAAAGACGGGAGGCAACGTCTGGTACTTACCTACCCATCAGTCTTCTAGGGTGGTGATGAGCCTTTGCTGCAACCCACAAAGATCAGGATGATCGGCAGCTGTGAAGAATAAGGGAGCTTCTCGGTATCCAATGGAAGCTCTGACTTTCCATTCACAAGCAGTGACGGTCGCACCCATCACGCCACAGGAAGAAGCATTGAAGGGTGCTGGTGTGGTACCCGTATACACGAGTCATCTACCACCGACCTATCGGGGATATCCGCTTAACATCTCGTTGATGTTCACTATACTTTTGGGACCAATTATGTTGCTGACAGTCCGGGGACAAGAATATTGGGCGTACTCACTGCTACCGGATCAGTCTTCCATACTTGCCGGTCTGCCACCATCGGAAACTCAGGCTTCAGATATCGGGTTTTCAATGTGCCATCTGCTTCTTTCGTTGAGAGCTGCAATGCCTTGGCAAGGCGAAACTGGATTATTGTCGGCTGCCTGTGTGCTTTTGCCACCATGAGCCCAACCGTCACGAAACCGACATAAAGTGCCTCCCTCTGGCACCAACTTACTTACACCAAGGAATGTTCTTTCGCCCAACTCCAACGCGCCTTTGGCTTGCCGCCAAAAGAAGATATCAACTCCTTTGAATCCTATTACTCCTGTCCAGGACAAGAACCGGAGGCAGGGCTCTCGCCGACAAGGTGCCATCTTCGACATTTCCACCCAGCACCAGAATACAAGTTCTCTCAGACAGAAGCTCTCATACTCTTTGCCTGTCATTAAAACTCATGCCGGTGAGTAACAATGCACGGGAATATTCCATAAGACAGAACAAGGTATGGAAAACGTACCAACTGACGACATGTGTCTTTTCAGTATCAGATTGGCGATGTTGTCTGCATCCGAGGCGCAAGTCTCCGGTACAAGGTCATTGCAGTTACTGGCTCAATGATTACGATCATCGTCGCGAACCCTCAACCAGACGGCCAGTACTTGCCATTCAACCCCACGTCCCTCCAGAGTGTCGACGAGTCAAGGATCGAAAAGGCTGAGACATAGGTAGCTGGGCCATGCTCATGGTTGATGGTGACCTGGGAGGAACGGCCTTGTGCGTACATCAGAGCCAGGTAGTTTCTGTGCGGGAAGTCAGTTTAACCAACGACCAACGTTCAGCGAAGAAACAACTTAGCCTCGTAGCAGTATGAGGAACATGCATAGGCGGCAGATAATGCCCATATACCATCCGCCATCCATCAGTTGACTACCGGTCGCCAGGCCAACCGTACTTTGCCGTGACTTAAAGTCAAATGGGAATGAGACGGAAGCCCATTCACTTTACCCCGATTGCAAGGCTGCCAGGCAACAATACCATCCGCGCTGCCACGAAACATACCGCCCCGCCGCCTGTTGCCAATTTCATCTCTTGGTACCCTTCTTCCACAGGTTGCCATCCTATTCTTCTTTCGCCTCAACCGACTTGCAAACAAACAGCTTCCGGCCGACGTACCCTCTCGCTTCTTCCACTCATCACCCGGGTTGATCTACACCGAATCCGAGTAAGTATTTAGCCATCTTCCGTCACGCTCCTACAACTGGGACACCACTCGCAGCAACACTTGACGACAATTTTGGCATCATGGAGCAGCCTCTGGTCAAGGTGGTCGGTGGCCGCGAATACGCTGCCACGGGCGCCAAGTTTGGACCCTCTCACCTGCCCGTCAATGCTATGGCTCACGTGAATAAGTCGGCGCAGCAGGATCTCGCAATGTCCGCCGTCGTTTACGTACTAAACCCCTCCCTGCGTGACTTTGAAAGTAGAAAGATTGCTGACATTCGCGCTCTACAGGACAAGCAATCCCCCGACGTCGACACTGGCAAGCACTTAGTCATACCTACCAGCCCCCAGCGTGGTCCCGTCACGTCTACCTTTCGCCCGCTGCCCAAGATCTCCAAGCCCAACGGTAAGCCACCTGCTCGCACGATTTGGATGCCTCGTCAGTTCCGCGTGTGGCGCGAGGAGACTCCCCTTATCACCGTCCCCCCTCCTCGTTTGTCGAAAGCATACGCGACCTCGGATACTCTGAAGTTCAACAGCGCCAAGTCCACGGGAAACCTGAGCGCAAGCTACTACACCTCGACGGCGCGGAAAGAGGAGCTCGCAAAGCTTGCCAACAACCTGAAGCAATGAAGACGTGGCTCCAGTCTCCGGAGATGACACATGCGGAAGATGAAACAAAAACACAAAAAAGAAGCCTAGAATAGTAACAGGCGGAGTGTCATCCACCTCTCGACTACAAATATCTTTGCTCTCTCCTTCATCCCCTATTTAATGCTTTCTTCCCTGCAGTGTTTCGTTCGAAATCGTCTCCCCGCGCAGTGATATCCGCTGCGCCTTTGTCGTTGATCAGGATAGAAAGCTAACCATCTGACCATGTCACGTAAAGGATCTGTCGACTCTCTTTCTTTGCCCATCAGCATCGCCAGCAGCCCCATGGAGGCAGCCATGGTCAGCATTATCAACTCCTTTGTCTCCGGTACCTCCAGCGCCGCCTTTATGGATTTGCTCGCCAACATGGCTGTCCAGACCTATGTCAAGGCCGACCCGGGTTCCGATTCCGATGCTGCTGACGACAACCAAGACAACGACAGCAGCAACAGCAACAGCAACAGCAACAGCAACAGCAACAGCAACAGCAACAGCAACAGCCACAGCAACAGCAATAACAATGGCGACAACGGCAGTGGTGATCGCGGAGCCTCCTCTTCCACTACTACCGCTGCAGCTGATACTACTGCTACCACCACCACTACCGGCATTACCGACACTCCCCGTCGTCGTCGCACCGCTGGCGGCGGTGGCGGCGGCGGCGGCACTCCCCGCAAGCCCGGCGGTACTCCTCGCAAGAAGCCCATGTCCAAGGCCGACATCGAGAAGCGCGGCTCCTGCGAGCGCTGCAAGAAGTCCAAGGCCAAGTGCAAGCCCATCCCCGAGTGCATCCGTTGCGCCAAGGACGGTAAGGAGTGCTCGCTCAAGGAGACCATCATGCAGGACACTGGTCGTCGTTTGGGCGCTTGCCAGCGTTGCAAGAAGGGCAAGATGGGCTGCAAGAAGATTGAGAGCTGCGGTCGTTGCCACAAGGCCGAGCAGCCTTGCTCTTGGGCTTCCCCTAAGGTTTAGGCTGACACCATCCGTGGAGTTGTTGCGCAAGTCCTGGGAAAGGGGTTCTTTGGTGTTCCTATTGCGCTATGATGAAACGATTATCCATTTAGCCTGCTTCTGAAGTCTTCAACAACACTCCGATGCGGACCTGTGGCTTGGAGATACCCGACTTTACGAGCTTTGATTTTGTGGACGTTGGCTTGGCTGAGGTATTCTTTGCATTTTCAAGGATCGATGGTCATCGCAGAGCTTGGAGTTAAGAAGTGTCGCTTGCCGTGAGCTAATCAAGGAGGATGGACCGAGAACGGAAGAGACTTATCCTTGACTGCTTATTGTCAGCTGCTTGGTGTATCTTTTCCTTGCTGTACTTTATGGGCAGAGCATACCTTATGTCCTCGACAGACAGCTAGATTCAACAGTTCCGCGCTTTTGAGGATTGACTGTTGATTGCTCAACGGTGGAAGACATGTGAGTGATGATGTTTGCTCCAGTGCATGTGATTTGGGTTGGGAATAGAAAGGCAACCCACCATAGATTGCACTTTCGTCTTTGACACCATATGCATGCATGTAAGCCTGTACTCGTAAGTGCATATCACAGTAATTACATTATGGCGAACGTGCCTGCATGTTAAGCGACCGTAAGTCATGTAAGAAGCATTTGCTCCTTTCCCTCTTCACACCATCTCACTTTCTCCAAGCACCATAATACTGCCCGACACTCGACTCTGTCGGCACCAGTTCAAGTGGCCAAATGAGCAAACGTAGTAAATATGAATTATTGGGCTCTCCCCATTCCCTTATCCGTAGGTACGCTAACTCAAGTGCTAAAATCGCAACATATCTCACCTCCATGGCCGACCCCTTCCCCCCAACCGTCGCACTAGTCGGCGTCTTCCCCAAGGTCGGGTTCGCCACGTTATCCGGAAACGAGCCTCCTACGGCAACATTGAGCAGCATGAACTTGGGAGTCCGCGTAACCGCCGTCCAAGCCGTCTCGTTATTCACCCGGTTCTCATCCACAGTGAACACGACATTCCCATCGATCCTCCACACGACCTTCTCCCCCTTCCAACTCTCGCCGGGGTTCGTCCGATCGATGTCCACCGAGAACTTATGAAACCTGCTCCTGTCCAGCCCAGCCGCTTGACTGGTGACGCCCGTGTATTCGTTGCATGGTACACCCGGCGCATTAGGCCCGCAGTGAATCGTCTGCCACGCTGTCGACGCGCCGTTGACGTTCTCCAGGATGTCGATCTCGCCAATCATGGGCCAGTTCCAGTAGTTACCTTGATACGCAGAACTCAACATCTAGAACGCAGGCCAGATGCCCAGTTGCTTGCTGGCGGGGAGGTCGCCGAGCTTGATCCAGACTTCGATACGGATTGCTTGGCCGGGAGGACAGACGATATCTCTGGCCGCGACGGTCTCAATACAAGATGTCCAGGCGCCCGTGACTGGGTTCTTGACCGGTGTGATTTGGAGTGTTCCGGAACTGGTGGTGACGATGTTGTTGGTGGAGGAGGTGTAAGTCTGAGCCTCGCCAGTGCCCCAGTTGCCCGGACCTCCGGGGTAGGATATGCCCAAGTCAAAGGCCCATCTGGAGGTGGAAGGCAGGGAGCCGGGACGGTACAGGGAGAAGTTCTCGACGAAAAGTGCCTTCTTGAAGCCCTTGGGGAGGTAGACGTTGAACCCGGCCCCGTAGCCCCATTCCGGAACTGGTGTTGCTGCAGCTTGCGCTCCGCTGAGGAGAGCAAGACCGACGGTCAAGACCACAGAGAAAGCGCCTTTGTTGAAGGATTGGATGCTCGACAGGGAGGACGAACTGGCTCGTGGAAGTTGCAAGGGGAGGAGATTTGATTGAAGCCAAAGGGGCAACAGTAGCGAGACGCCGGGTATTTAACCGTACCGATAAAGGGAGTAAGTGCGGTCGCATCGTCAAACGAAAGCTACCGTATGGGTCATCTTATATGCGAGTCATCCAGGCGCTTCACCATATCCTGGACGGAGGCTGGTTTATTGCAGCTCCTATCATCGCCGCGCCAGCATGATTCGCGTTCGGGAACGCTAACATTCCAGTTTACCCCTGACCTGACCGACAAAGCTGGTCGAATCATGGAGGCTGAGAAGCTAACATGTCTCAGATCCCGCTAGCCACGCGACCGCCCCCCTTGGAAATAGGCAGTCCCGAGAACGAGCAAGTCCAGACCTGTTATGGTCGCTTGAGATCCAAGACAAAAGATATACATATCCATGGTCTAGATCGAACCGAAGGCCACATGGGCAATAAGACCGAGGCAGAGGTTGCAAGCACAAGGGCTATTAGCTGAAAACCATGCGAGAACGAGAGCGAGCATATTTTTCAGATGCCACTATACCATCTTGATACCTCCTCTATCCTTTCATCGGGCATTCACCCAAAGATTTAGCTGCGATGTGTTGTACATCTGTTTACCTACTCCTTTGGTCACATATTGGAAGGTGAATGGGCCCTGAGGGTCGCTGGCTACCTATCTTAGTGCGCACTGCAAACGTGTTGTGATACATCGCGAGTCCCTCAGGCTGTGGGTGCAGTCTGACTTCCCAACCCCACGGGTCAAGTAGGAGTATAAATATTAGGAAGTGATAGTCTTCGGATTATTTCGAGACAGTATCCGGAAACAAGACTTCGAAGCAGATTGCGCAGAACATCAACTACTACATAAGGCCATCGACTAATCCAGGAATCACCACCATGTGTAACCGCCGATTTGCCGAAAAGAAGTGTTGGGAGTGCAAGAACATCATTTGGAGCGAGGTCAAGGAGGAAAAGTGCTGGGCAATGGTTCTGGAAACGGAGGATGAGGCTAAGAAAAAAGGTCGGCCCTGAGGGCAGTTCGGAGGATGCAAAGAAGGGGTGGCCAAAAAGACTAACACAGACTTGAGCACTTGCTCTGACTGTGCTAGAAAGTCATACGTGTAGGGCGTCGACGGTAGGGTTCAAGTCAAGTCGATCTACGATGACTCGATGGGAGCATGATGGATTAGGAGAGCTGACAGCCTAATGCTCTGAGCAATAGCAACTTCAGATTACCACAAAGCATGACGCTTTCCCGACTACTTACAGGGGGACATCCAAAAGGCAAAATATTGCGCACCGACAACCTTGATAACGGCCGGTAAGACATATCTCCAGTCGCACAATGGCACATCCAACATGTCACTACAGTAAAGAGTGAGAAGCGTCTCGTCGATCTGTAAGCCAACCCAATATCTCGTTCTAGGGTGCTGAATTTTAATAAAGACTAGCAGAACCGAGAAGTACGTCCCCCATCTCGGTTCCTGTAGCTAACTCCAAGTCCCAAACGACACGACTTCAACACTTACTCCACCACTCGACAGTTATAACTACAACAATCAAGATGTGCACAATAACCGCATACCATGTCTACTGCTCTGATTGCGGCAGGTACATGGGCTCGCATAGCGGAAGGGAAAATTGCCAATATATTCGTTATTACGGCAGAGACGGATATGGCAGGTGCAGAATGGGAGAGACGAGTCAACATTTCCAGAACACGGACGTATGCTTCGATTGCAGGAGGAAGAGGGATGAGAGAGAGGAGGCATCGCGGTATAGTTTCCGGCATGGGTTTATTAGGTACCATGGGAGTCGTTAGGTAGGGCCACGCGTAGCGCACGGATGTCTGGTTGATGGGAAAGCTGTAAGTACCAAGGTAAAAGTAAATTGAAAGGAGTTATATCAGTTGCTATTTGACGCTTCTCTGCTTTTTGGAAGGTGTGATAAGTTTCAAGAGAAGGAGGTAAAGAAAGAAACGTGAGATTACCCAACTGGCACAGCCATTTAGTTGGAAGTAATGATGCAGGGCAATCATGTAATCCCAAGTGCTAAATGAAACGGTTACCTGATTCGAACAGTCATATGACTGACAGAGACCGCTCTCGAACGCAGAGTAACGTTGCTTGAAACCTAAGCTGACCAAGGAGCAACGGATAACAAGAGAAGAAGAGGTCAACTGCGAAATAAATACCTCCCGTCTCTCCGCCTCTACCGGCCCATCGCTCTGTCCTATCCATCTCGCCATTCCCAAAACCAGGCAGCCCACGGTGCTAAAGAGCCCAAAATACTCGTAGTTGCCAGCCACTCCAGCGTTGCCTCAAGACCAGGAACAGACAGCCAACAAAATGTGCCGAACAACTATATACCAAATCCACTGCGCCGACTGCAACGGATTCATGCGCGAGCACAAGAGCAGAGAATATTGTCAACAAATTGACCAGTACTACAGCAATGGCTACCGATCAGGGCAACAATGGCCCAGTCCGTCTCCTACAACAGCAAGCCTGGGTGGGTCAGAATCAAGCGCTTCCTGGCCTGACGGGTATGGCAAGTGCGCGACTGGAGAGATGACCAACACGTTCACGGACGCGAATACGCAGCGATGCTTTGCTTGCAAGAGGAAGAGAGATGAGAGAGCCCTAGGGGAGTCGCTCGGGAGCGGGAAGGGGAGGAACATTATGGTGAGGCGCTTGAGTTTATGAGTACCGTGGGAGTTACCATAGGTCCCGTTCGTTGTGATAGAAGCCGTCTTTGGGTGGCAGATATGCCTTGCGTTAGGGGCAGAAGAACTTCTTGACAGACATTATTGGCGGGCTGGGCGGAAAGGCATGCCTCGAATCCTAGCAAAAATGTTAACTCGGTAAAGGGAGGAATCGAGGTAGAAGGTAGGTTGGAAAGATGTCTCGGTCGCTATTTGAGGCTTCTCTGCTCTTTGACAAGCAGCTGTTATCAGTGGGAAAGAGAAGAAAAGGAGAATACACGAAAGTAATTGGTAGATGCATTTGTTTGCAGGAAGTGTAGCGAGAAGAGAGAAGCTACGTGCATGTGTGAGCACTTGCGATACGTACCGTATAAATGTACATGGTGTCCGATTTCCATCTAACTCTTGGATATTTTTTTGATAGTTTTTTCCCATTTGCATAACAGCTCCAAACCTCCGTGGTACTTTTGATCCATCTTCCTTCAACTTCTACCTTTCAATCAACACATCCTCCCTTTGCGCCTTCCCGTACCCTCATCAACGCCCCCACCAACACCTGCCAACATTCAGGAGTATTCAGCAGGTCAATTCTCCACTACAGTGTATGTATGCTTCCTAATGAACTACACGTCTTAGCGCAGAGAGGTCCAAAAGCTCAATTTCCGATGTCAACAGCAAGCTTCTAATATCACCACTCAATCACCTCCACCACAACCCTCCCTCCACCACCTCATCGACTACAGCATAGCCAAACGCCCACAAACGTGTAGTATCCAACCTCAGTTCCACTTCAAAATAACTCCCGTCCTTGAACCCCCGAGTTCCGCCACCGAGATACTTCCGAAACACCGATCTGGCTGTCTCCTTCGAAGCTCCAAACTTCAACAAGTTCCGTCAGAACAATCTCAGCATGTGCAAACACAACGTCCACTCATTCACGTGCATGTCATGCGGCGTGGAGTACGAAACATGGATCCGCGAGAAGCCATGCCAGAAGCAGTTGGCTCGTCAACCACCTAACCCACAGCTTTACGACGAGATGGACGGATTTTGCAAAGTCGACAAGTGTGAATGGGTTATAGAACAGCAGGGGGTTGGGCACGTGTGTAGCGATTTGGTGCTCTGCGGGATTGAGTGGGATGGGATGTGCACGACTTGTCGTGAGTTTCCTAGGGAGGATTGCAAGCTCTGATGAAGGGGTGTTTGGTGTTAGTTGGATTGGTGCAGGAGAAGTGAAGGGGCGTTGGATACTGATGCGGTTGAGGTAATGAAGATGGGGATGTTCTAGGCTTGAAGGTTGTTTGTATTCTAGACGATCCCGCTTTGGAACCGTCTTGGGCTATTGAGTTGGGAGGATGAAACAGTGCAATGCTTGTGAAGTAGAACTAACCACATACTCTCGGAGAAAGGCGGCTTTCACCTAACCTTCCACGTCAATAGCTAGAAAACGAGGTCATCCGAAGTAGGAAGAGACCGCCGCATTTGTGATTCACATCTGGCTCTGACGGAGATTGATCTCGGACGCTAAGTAAAGTTCCTACAGATGACACAAGGAAATTCGAACGGACACAGATGAGACGAGGTCAATTGCAAGATAAATATCTCTACTTCTCACGGGCCCTTTGCTCAATCTTCCTTTCCACCTCACCACTCCCCCAGAGACCACAAACAGTCCACGTCTACACTCCAGAGAAAACACTCACAGAATTACAATCGCCAACCAACTCGTTTTCCCTCACAACCAACCATCCAAAAAAGATGTGCTCCAACAATATAACCGTCATCAGGTGCCCCGGCTGCGCAAGGGAAATGAGAAGAGAGGCCAACGAGACCAAATGCAGCGAAGCCATATCCAAGGGCAGGGCCTGGGGCGAGTGCAGCAGCCGCGGTAGAAATTGGGAGCATTTCACCTACGGGGAGAGGTATTGCTCTCATTGCAAGTGTAAATACAAGGCGAAGTAAGAGCGGGAGGGGGACCGGGGAATGGATCATAACCGGGAGGGATGATGGAATGAGGGAAAGAAAGACGGCGAAGGGGGTGCAAAGGGAGTGGGAACTGGGAACTGGGAAGCAACTAGGTGGGAAGAAGGTACCGAACGTGGTAGGCAGGAATAGGAAAAGGAAAAGGGAAGGAATAGGAAAAGGGAAGGAATAGGAAAAGGGCAGGAATAGGAAAAAAAACAGTCATGTTCCAAAATCCACACGTTTCTTACACCTTTTTGATCAAAATCCAGATATTCGTCGTTCTTGTCGCCGCTGCCGCTGCCGCACTGCCGGCCGGCACGCACCTTCCAGGCATCAGACGACAAGCCACTAACCCGCGGCCCGCACCGCCCTCACCTACCTAACCTACTGTAGCCCAAGCACCAGTACCTAGGTTTATGAGGTGCGTTCCTTAGCCCTTTTATCACAACGGGTCCAAGTTTTGGGTCTACATGGCGCAGCGGTTCCATGTGGTGCCTGTCCCGTTGATGAAAACATTGCGGGGTGCGTTTGGTACCCCGGGGTACAGTCCTCGTAGGGCTGCAGCTGGAGCATGGTCGGTTCGGTCCGACCAAGTCTCACTTGGCGACTGAGCTTTTTGCTTTTTTTATTTAATGGAGCTGTTAGTGACGATACTGGAAATGGGGTTTATGCATTTTTTATTTTGTTCTTGGGTGTTTTGTTTGCATCAGAATGGGAAGGAAGAGGAGAGAAAGGAAGAAGAAGAAGAAGAGGGCGATGTTGGTGATGCGTGACTGGACATTACCCCCTACCGAAACAAGCTGTTCACATTCGAGTGGAAAGGTGGTCTGAGTGATCTGTAGGATGGGGCATGCCAGTAGGAATAATGGATGGGTAACCTTCTTGGATGATGGTATTGTTGATGCTATTCGGAAGAGCGAAGAGGCCACTGTCGACGGAAGCCATGAGCTGGAAAGAGGATGATGGACGAAGAGGAGAACCTTTTCTCTTCGTCTGAATCCTGTGAAAACGACATGTCGGATTGTCCCTAAAACCAACAATTCACCTGCCCGTAATCCAGTCACCTAGGCGACGAAGTCGTACGTGAAATATATCCAGCGCTGCACTCGCCGTGAAGGTGACCGATTCACTCGGCTTGCCCACTCGGACGTGAACGGCCTCAGGGGAAAATATCTCGAGAACTACAGAGTCTTAATATCCTACTACTTCCGCCTTGGAAACGTCAACCAGTTCAGTACCGACAACAGCAAGCAAGTCCCAGGACCAAAACCACCTACCAAACCCAACAAAAACCCAAACCACCCAGACAAAATGTGCACCAACCACATTTACGTGACTATCTGCCCCCAGTGCGATGCCCAACACGGCGCCACCACGACGAGGGAGGTCAAATGCAACGAGATCCAGTCGAATCGCTACACCCGGTCGTATGGTGATTGTGGTTACATGTCGAACATGGAGCATTGCCGCTTCGCGACCTGCTCGTCGTGCAGCAGGAGATCCGAGGACAGAAACTCGAGAGACTCGAGAAGCAGGAGGTCGGGAAGCAGGAGATAGGTGGAGGACGAGTGGAGGACTACCTCTACCTACGAACGGAAGTGGTGAAGAGGAAGGGGTAGAAGGAGGACTGGAGGAGGGAAGGAGGGAAGGAGGGAAGGAGGGAAGGAGTGAAGGAGGGAAGGAGTGAAGGAGGAAAAGACATGGAGGGAGAAGGCATGAAGGAAAAGCACAGAAGGGAACAAACATGGAGGGATTGAATGAGGAGGGGAACAACAAGGACGGAAGTCCATGTGAAGGCACGGAATGGGAAATCTGAGGGACGGAGGTCAAAGTCCAGGAAGGGAAAAGGAAGAAACGAAACACACTGCTTCAGTGATGACGGGAAATTTTGAAACTCAAGCCCCAATACAGTTTTGAACGAACCAGCCCGTGATACAGGACAATCGCCCAGTCATTACCCATGACATCAACAATTACCAATAAACACCGAAGCTCCAGAGCAGAAGCCACCTTTGGCCGTAACATTATCCATTTTGATTGACGAAGCACAAACCCCTTGCAACCCGCATAGTCTCCATGCCCCTTACGACCCGTCATTATCATCATTAAACATCGATACACTCAGTCCCACCCCTATCCTATACATCCTCAACCCCGGTGATGTTCACCATCTCCACCGTCTTCACCGTCTTCACCGTCCTCGTGGTCTTGGTATTCCTCATCCACCACCCCTGAAACCTCTTCGTTTTTCCGCCTGTGCTGATGCCCATGCCCGTGGTGACCTTCAAACAATCCTCAGCCTCCTTTAGCAAAGCCTCGAGTTCCTCTTCCGTGACATTTCTTGTCAGGAGGGGCTGCATGGAGGCAGTAAGACGGTCCAGTCGTGCTTGGTCGAAGCCGTGGATGAATCCGTCAGCTGGGGTGAATTTGGTGGTCTTTTTGAGAGGCATCGAATACTGATTCTGTAGTCCGACAAGTTCGGTAGGTGAGGAGGTCGGTTGGTTGGTTATGAATATGTTGTCACTAACGCTTCTTGTGGGTAATTGCGACTGCGACTAGTTCTGTGATACAATAGAGATAGCTGAGATAGCAGGAATGTTTTCTTGTGATTGGTGTGATTTGTTGCCGATAAAATCGGAATGCCTGAAGATCGAGGCGGCACGGAAGCGCATATTAAGGGATCCTAGTAGTTTTCTAGAAGTAAATGCGTTCCTACTGTCTTTGAGATTAGAACTTGTTCTTGCAAACAAGGCGCCCATTGTCAAGCCTTTGCTCACTTGAGGCAGGATCTCGGCAAGAGGACCATACAGAGAAGTCAGGTATGCGCCAGGCTGGCTGAATGGCTTTGAGGACGAGCGGGTTAGAACAAAGAACGGCGATGGGAAAGAAGCGAGTCCGCGCCTTCGGGAATAGCAACGTTCTCTTGGGTCGTGGATGTCCAACCGGAAAGCACTCTGCGGTAGCGATTTCCATGTCGGGGCAGTCGACCCCTCGGTGGCTTGATGCTGACCCGAAGAGTCGGGTGGCAGAAGGCACGGGAAACCATGAGGCACCGGCAGTTGATGGATCTATCTGCCGGAAAACAGGTCAACGAAACGGGACAAGATAGTAAGTAGCGGATCATGAAGTAGTTTGTCGTAGGCATGAAAGGAATAGCGAGCAAAAATAGGTTGTTAGATGTCAAATCAGACCTAGTTGACCTTGGTTCGTAGCATAGAGCGAAAGAGCAAAAGAGCAGTGCAACAGAACGGACGATGAAGCCGGTCATGACTGTAAAAACCAACCAGCCAAAGCAGAATCATAGCCACTCGGCGATAGTCATCATCACTTGGGACAGTCAGAAAGTTAAAGTGCTTTGGTATCACTCGCTTAAACCAATCCGCTGGCTGACATAAACGAAACATAACTCTTTGACCGTACAATATCCATCCGAGAGGCATGTTTTCCAATGCCAAAAGAAGCCGGAACGCCTATATATCCACCAAGCCCAAGAACGCCAGTATGCAGAATCAACAGGATGGGCACGAAAAGGATGAAAGCAGACCAAAAGAGAACACCCTATTCCTCATACCACTGCTTGGGTGACTGTGTCTGTGAATGAGAAGCGACCACCGTGTTCACCTAGATACTCCTGTTGTGCGCTTCCCTCAGACGCTTAATCCAATGTATGCGCAAAGGCGGGGGCATCTTGCAGAACACCATGGCCTTGTTCTCGTCCGTGAGGGCCTTTTCGGCCACCTTGAGCGCAAAGTCCATGTCCTCCTGGGGGAAGTCCCGGAAGAAGATCTCGACGGCTTGCTCTGCGTAGCTTGGCCTATGCTTGAAAAAACGGGCCTCTGCCGCCTCTTCCGCAGTCGGCAGTCTATCTACTCCCGACGCGGCAGCCCTGGCAATACCCGGGGCTTGGGAAGCGTGGTCAACAGAGTTCGAGGCAGTACGACGGCGTTTTTCAGCGTTCGTAGAGCCGCTAGAGCCACTGCTGTCAGGCATGTGAGGTCTTCTCCGGTTCTGGGCAGGATTCTCCTCGGGTGGCGTTAGGGCGGACGCGCTTGGGTTATTTCGTGGTTGATGTGCAGTATGGTTGGGCCGCGAATGTGGTGGTGGTGGTTGAGAGGACGGCAAGGTTGGTGGAGTGGGAATGGGGGCCAACACGGCGGCCGGGATGGGAGACGGAAGAGGGGCGGAAGCAGGATGGACTGGAGGTGGTGGAGGCATGTGGCCTTGTGAATGAGGGTTCGCGTATGATGTGTCGGCAAGGAGGTTCATGATTGTCGTATTAGGGGCATCCTGGTCGGCGTGGCCGGGACCATGACCGGAACCGGGGCCGGAGGGGTTGAGGTTATCATTCGGCTTGCGGGGGCGTTGTTTGGTCAGTCGCTTAGGGGCGCCGCCGGAGCCGATGACATCGGGAACAAGATCTCGTATAGTTCTTCATGTTCAAAGGGTCTGCCACGAAGGGAGCGAGAGAGCGGCTCCATCTAAACAGAGACGGACATAAGGTTAGCGGAGTGATAAACGGGATGCCGACCATGACATGACATGACATGACGCACCTGCAAATGTCGGGCCCATGCTTCCTCGGATGCGTTCACCGTCCTGGTCATGACATCGTAATGGAAGTCGGGATCCTCACGCAAACCACGCCATAGACGGAACTTTTTTCGAGCATTGTCGCTCTTGTTGATGAGGTGGCCCTTGTTGGCATAGGCGTTGTGATGGCTGATGAGGGCTTGCAATGCGCGGTCCCAGGCCTCGGGCTTGAACGTGTTACCCTCGCGGAGACCGAGATGGACAGACTCGCAGAGGGAGGTGAAGAAGGTGGTCTCATAGGCCGTGTTCCAGCTGAAGCGGGGGCCGCGGTGCTTCCCGGGAGCCAAGGCGGGAGGGCCGGCGCCGGGAGCGGAGGCCGGGAAGGGGTCGTCGGACATTGGGGGCCGTGTGGTCCGTGGTCCGTCCGTCCGTGTGGTTCCGTCCGGGATCCGTACGGGGGGTCCGTCGACTACCTAGGTATTTGTACGGACCACGCGCAGTAGGTACTGTACGGTAGAGGTACTACCGTTAGGGTGCGTTGTCGGGATGGGTGGAGCCCCCTTCTTTCTGGTCCGATGTTTTGACGGATGGATGTTGACGCCGTTTGATTGACGCCGTTGAAGTGTCCGACGGAGGGCTAGACAGTGGCCCCGTCCAACCCGTCTGTTTATCCGTCTAGCAACGGGGATTGACGGATGTGATAGTCAAGAAGGAAAATGGAAATCCAAGACGGTAACCAAGGAGCCCGGGGGTTGGTCGAGAGAGTGCGAAAATATGAAACGGAGGCAGAAAGAGATGGATTGAATGCAGTCAGTGGTGGGTCGAGGCGGGCCGGGACTGTGAAGTCGGTTGGGAAGCGTCAAGCAAGCGTCAACACTAACTGCACACAGGCACAGCTGCCAGGTGATTGATTGATTGATTGATTGATTGATTGATTGATTGTGAGTGTGATTGCGACTGCGACGGAGACGACGGCGACGACGGGAACCGAGTGCGCCTCGGCGTTTCAATGAATAAAGACAAATGTTTCGTTTCAATCGCGCTTCCGTTTCATGGCAATCATGGAAATCCCATCATCATCAACCGCGTGGATGAATCGATGGTTGGGAAGGTTATGGAGTGGCAATCGGGGGTTGGTGCAGAGTCAATCAATGACAGTCAGACTCAGACCAGACGAGGACGGGAATGCGATGCGAGAAGGGAAACCGTGAATGCGCAGTCCAGATCCCGTCACCGTTTTGCCGAACGATCGCCACACACAGGAAAGGCTGGCAGAAGACTGGACGGGAGGCTGCACTCTGAAGACGGAAGAGCGGGGCCTGACGGACTGCAGATAAGAGCGGCTGACAGCTGGCACAATCGTCCCCCCCTGGCAGAGGTACAAGCAGAGGTACAAGACATTCGAGCAGCTGGGAAGTCAAGGCGCAACATTACAAGTCACCAACAGTGAAACGGAACATGACTGCCAGGGTCGAGTCGAGACCTTTGATTCCCTCTTCTGCCAAGGCAGATCACGGGACCTCATGGATCGTGCTCCCTTCGCCTGTCTGTTGGAGTCTGGCCCCGTCTGCACTAACAATTTCGACGCCCACCGCGCAACCAGCAGGTTGCTCACTGAGTGCTTCCACTTCACACAGAACTTTCCTGTCGTCGGTCCCATGCCCACCCATCCTCCAAACGCCCATCTCGTTCTCCAATCAAATATCTCTAGCCTTTCACTTACCACAATATTTGGCGTATATGCCTTATCGGATCATGAGGTTATGTGTGTCAGAACAGCTCCAAGTGCAAGTGCCAGTCCCCGGGGAAATACGGAAGTCGTCCTCTTTCGAAATCCGGGGATAGCTTCTCCAACCACTCCACGACAGCACAATAACGAGTCGCTCAAGCTGATCATAATCCACAGAGTTTCATCAGGCATACTCGGCCAATTATTGATTAGGTGTGTTCCAGACCACTTACACGCCCAGTTTCAGAATGCCAAGCCCTTTGTTTCAACTGTTTCGAAGATTACCGACTTCATGAGTCGCATCACCACAACCACATGGGGTACACTCGCTCATCTCTACCATAGTCGACAAGTGTCACAGCCATCAACAGCTACCAATGTCCACAATGCTGGCCTTTGGTACTTGCCGGGTGAAGAGAAGGATATGCCTGCTTACGCGGTCAGCCCCTTGGAGTTTCGATGCTCTTCTCTCCAGAAGCCTCCTGACGAAGCCTCATCCTTTCGGCGTCAATGGTCTAGACAGCGGACCAAGGCTAACCCGGACTCAACAACACACACTGCCCCTCCTCTAAATTGCTACTGTTATCATATACATCATGTTGCTGGTACTCCATCGCCGACTTGCCTCCGTTCCCCTTCTTTTGCCCTGTCGCCAGTCTAGTGATTCTGGTAATCACACCTCCTGACGTCCGAGCGGTTCTGTGTTTGAGTCGATATTGCCTCTTTACTGTCCTTTCAAGAACATAAAAGATGCAGTATTGACATCCAGAGCTTAGTTTGTCTCTTCTTTAGGCATCTTCGTCTGTGTTTTTTCCCTTCGCTTCTGCTAAAGTCTACCACCTGGCGTGGTAGTTGCCCTATTATTCTGTCTTTTGAGCCTCCATCACTCCCTCACAATGCTTTCCTATTCAAGCTTTTCATTCTTAGCGTCTTGCTTTCGCTGGTGGTGGCTGCGCCACTCACTAAACGCTCATTCAAGATCGAACGGGTCAGGAACCCGAACTTCAAGGGACGCAATGGCCCCAGGGAGCTGTTGAAGGCGTACCAAAAATACAGAATGCCAGTTCCACAACCTCTACTCGACGCCATGAACAATCAGAGAAACGGCACCCTATCAACAATCACAACAGTAACCCAGACAAACAGCGCCGGGAGCTGTTCTTGTAACTGTCCTTGTGGTTGTGGATGTGGAGGCACTGGCGCTGGATCTCCTCAGGGCCAACAACCCAACAGCCCGTCTCCTTCTCCCATCCCACAGGGCCAGCCAAACTCCCCATACAATCCTACGCCGCAGCCACAATCGCCTTGCAATCCTCAGCCAAACTCTCCCAACACACCGCAGCCAGACGCTGGTGGCAGCAGCGGTACAGATGCAGCAGGAGAGGTTGGTGTCGTTACAGCCACCCCAGAACAGGACGACGTGGAATATCTTGCTCCGGTCAAGATTGGCGGCCAAACCATCAACCTCGATTTCGATTCGGGCTCATCCGATCTATGGGTCTTCAACACACAACTCAGCCCCCAAATAACAAGAGGCCATCAAGTCTACAACCCTGCTGCATCCAAGACCTTCAAGTTGCTACAGGGTCAGACCTTTTCCATCAGCTATGGAGATGGCTCTGCCGCTTCCGGTAATGTTGGTACCGACGTGGTCGAGATCGGTGGTGTCGCTGTCCAGAACCAGGCAGTTGAACTGGCCACCAAAGTTTCCCAGACATTCATCCAAGATACCCAGAACAACGGCTTGCTCGGCCTTGCCTTTTCCAAGCTCAACACCGTTCAGCCTCAGCAGCAAAAGACCTTCTTCGACAACATTCTCCCCTCTCTCGCTGAGCCCGTTTTCACTGCCGATCTCCGCCATAACGCCGTCGGTGCTTATGAGTTTGGCCGCATTGACAACTCAAAGTTCACGGGACAGTTGGCATGGATTCCTGTCAACACGGCTATGGGCTTCTGGCAGTTCACAACGTCTTCCTTCTCTGTTGGAAACAGCCAGGCTCAGAGAGTGGCACCTGCCCAGGCTATTGCCGATACGGGCACCACTTTGATGCTTGTTTCCCAGGCGGTCGCAAACGCCTATTATAGCCAGGTCCAAGGAGCTCGGAACGATCCCAATGCTGGAGGAGTCATATTCCCTTGCAATACCAACCTTCCGGATCTCTTTGTGGATGTTGGAGGGCGGTACATGGCCCGCATCAAGGGCGATGACATCAGATTCGCTCAAATCGATGCTACTAGTAAGTTTGTACCTTCTTCCATAACTAGTCGAAAACAAATGCTAACCTCGATGCTTCAGCTTGCTTTGGTGGTGTTCAGCCCACAACATCTGGATTGGAAATTTGGGGCGATATCTTCTTCAAGTCTCAATTTGTCGTTTTCAACGGCGGCAATAACTCGCTCGGCATGGCCCAGCATGTGTAGAGCACATGCTTCCTGTCGACAAGTAATGACCGCTATGACTTGTTTTCAAGCGATTATGATTAAATATAGTATACTTAATAATATCCTTTTGAAGAACAGTCCTTCGGGATCTATTGGCTTGTTTCAGCTTGGCCGGTGTATGTTTTGTGATCACTCAACTTACCTTGTGAGTTTCCGATGTCAAGTGGACGGCTGATCATTCACGTCTGTCTCACAGCTACATAACTTCGGCGTTTTTCTCGAAAACCACGATATATGGATGATTGGTGGGAAGATTCTCCATGCATTACACGAAGATCTGTGGTTGATCGTTTCCGCGAACCATTTCCGATCTCGTCACAAAGTTGCATTTGCCATACGGCTATAACCCGGTCCCGCACTCAATCCGACATAACATCCAAGAACATCCCAGTCTTCGAAACATCACGCGAACTTCAACGGGTTAATCCCCCGCATTTCCAGCCCAGCACTGACGACTGTGGCTTCGACCTGAACTTCTTCTCTTGGTAGGATCTCCCAGTCCCGAGTCCCGGAAACCACGGTGGGAGTTCGGTCTTTCTCAGGAAGGGTGGCGGGGTGTTGCACAGCGCGAAAAGAGGTTGCATGTCTGTCGCCTAATTAATATATGGCAATGCGGCCCGGCTGTTGTCGGTGGCCACAACCGCTCGGAATGCTTCCTTGGCCTCCAGTTGAAAGCACATCATCATATTATTCGCGCGCCTCGTGGCCTTCCTTGGGATCTCCACACATCTTTCTCGTCCACTGCCGGGAGCTCTAGCTGCACCCCAGTCCCGCCCATAATTTATCCCGCACATGAAAGCCGGAAGCATGACCCCAATGCATTAACGACGATCATTCGGGGCCTCAGCGCCCGATGTTTTCCAAGTCTGAATCCAGGTCTTTGCATGCATGCCCGGAAGATCGTATTGAGGATGGGGTTAGGTAAAGTGGCGGTAGCTATCCGTTCATGGAAGTTCGCCGTGGTTCCGACTGGGCATTCCTTGGTTGTCAGTATAAAGAGGAGGCTGTGTCTTTGTGTGGTGAGAAGAGATGAGAAGGGTTGGTATAAAGGGAAGAACTTGAGCCGGACTAAACAGCCACCAAGCACCGGGACTCAACACTCAACACAACACCAGTCATGTATCTTCAAACATTCGCGGTGTTGGCCGCGTCTTCCCTCGCCTGGGCCGAGACTGGCGAGAAGCAAGCCCGTCAAGCCAGCTCAGGTTCTGCGGCATGGGACGCTGCCTATTCTCAAGCGAGCTCTGCTCTCTCCAAGCTATCACAACAAGACAAGGTCAACATTGTCACCGGAGTCGGTTGGAACAAGGGCCCCTGTGTTGGCAACACACCAGCAATCAGATCTATCGGCTATCCCCAACTCTGTCTACAAGACGGGCCTCTCGGCATCCGATTTGGAGGAAGCGTCACCGCGTTCACACCCGGTATCCAGGCAGCTTCAACATGGGACGTCGAACTGATTCGACAACGCGGCGTCTACCTCGGTGCAGAAGCTAAAGGGGTCGGCGTACACGTTCTTCTCGGACCTGTGGCCGGAGCGCTTGGCAAGATCCCCAACGGTGGACGTAACTGGGAGGGCTTTGGACCAGACCCCTATCTTACGGGTATTGCTATGAGCGAGACCATTGAAGGAATCCAGAGCAATGGTGTACAGGCTTGCGCCAAGCACTTCATCCTCAACGAGCAGGAGACCAACCGCGAAACTATCAGCAGTGTCGTCGACGACCGAACCATGCATGAGCTTTATCTCTTTCCTTTTGCTGATGCTGTACACTCAAACGTTGCAAGCGTGATGTGCAGTTATAACAAGGTATGTTCACTCTTGCCACTCTTACAAACCGAAGGATCGAATAACTGACAATCTTGTAGGTCAATGGAACGTGGGCGTGCGAGAATGACAAGATCCAAAACGGCCTTTTGAAGAAAGAGTTAGGCTTCAAGGGATATGTCATGAGTGACTGGAACGCCCAACACACCACCAACGGCGCTGCAAACAGTGGTATGGACATGACCATGCCTGGCAGCGACTACAACGGCAAGACGATCCTATGGGGCCCACAACTCAACACCGCCGTCAACAACGGCCAGGTCTCCAAAGCGAGACTAGACGACATGGCCAAGCGCATTCTGGCAGGGTGGTACCTACTCAAGCAGAACTCCGGCTACCCAGCCACCAACCTGAAGGCCAACGTCCAAGGGAACCACAAGGAAAACGTCCGCGCAGTGGCACGAGACGGCATCGTCCTGCTCAAGAACGATGACAGCATCCTCCCGCTCAAGAAACCCAGCAAGCTAGCCGTCATCGGCTCCTCATCCGTCGTCAACCCCGCCGGCAGAAACGCCTGCACGGACCGAGGCTGCAACACCGGCGCGCTCGGCATGGGCTGGGGCTCCGGCACGACCGAATACCCTTACTTCGTCGCACCCTACGACGCCCTCAAGGCCCGCGCCCAATCCGACGGAACAATCATCAACCTCTCCAGCTCCGACAGCACCAGCGGGGTAGCCGCCGCCGCCTCCGGCGCCGACGCGGCACTGGTCTTCATCACCGCCGATTCGGGAGAGGGGTACATCACTGTCGAGGGCGTGACAGGCGACCGCCCCAACCTCGACCCGTGGCACAACGGCAACGCACTAGTGCAAGCCGTGGCGCAAGCCAACAAGAACACCATCGTCGTGGTGCACAGCACCGGCCCGATCATCCTGGAGACCATCCTCGCGCAGCCCGGCGTGAAAGCCGTCGTGTGGGCGGGCCTGCCTAGCCAGGAGAACGGGAACGCGCTCGTTGATGTTTTGTATGGATTGGTGAGCCCGTCGGGGAAGCTGCCGTATACCATTGCCAAGAGCGAGAGCGATTATGGTGCCCCTGTGGCGAGGGGCGGGACGGATACGTTCCCTGAGGGACTGTTTATCGATTATCGACACTTTGATAAGCAGGGGATAAGTCCGAGGTATGAGTTTGGGTTTGGGCTTTGTAAGTTTTTCTTTGTTCATTTCCCCTTCCCTCTCCTTTCCGTACTATGAATAGTCCACTCACCTGTTGTATCTGTAGCATACACAAACTTCACCTACTCCTCCCTCATCATAACCTCTACCGCCTCCCCCGGCCCCGCCAAGGGAGAAACCATTCCAGGCGGCCGCTCCGACCTCTGGGAAACCGTCGCCACCATCACCGCGACCATCAAAAACACCGGCGGCGTTACAGGCGCCGAGGTACCGCAGTTGTACATCACGTTGCCGTCTTCGGCCCCGTCGAGCCCGCCGAAACAACTGAGAGGGTTCACCAAGCTCAAGCTGGCGCCCGGGGAGCGTAAGACGGCTACGTTCAATTTGCGGAAGAGGGATTTGAGCTATTGGGATACGGCGAAGCAGAATTGGGTTGTTCCCGCTGGGAGCTTTGGCGTGAGTGTGGGGGCGAGTTCGAGGGATTTGAGGTTGAGTGGGAAGTTTGATGTCTAGTTAGTTCTAAGTGGTCTTGGATTGAGGGGAGTATAGGAAGCTAATGCCCTTGCTTTTTGGTTGACTCCCCTCAGGCTGGATGATGGATTCTGCTTCTTGGATGAGAGATGTTGAGTAAAAGTTTGGAACGTCTATTACGTTTGTTCATCAGCCGTCTGGAAATGAGTTCGCGGGACCAAGCCGCTAGTCTTGACCATGTGACATGATATTGATGAGTGAGTACTTCAGGTAAGCAAACAGTCCAATACTGGTTTGTTTGTCAGCTCGAGACCTCAGACCAGCCCTCTTAGGCGTTTTGATACCTACCCAATTCGTTTCGTTCTGTAACCAAGGCGTAATCATACCTTGAATATGCTATTTCGGAGTTTCAATATGCTGTATTGAATCTTATTGATGCCTTTCCGGTCCGTACTTAGTTATTACATCCTGTCTTTCTGGGGTTTGGAACAATTAGGGATAGCTCTCCCCTGGTATGGTAGGAGTACCAAGCTAACAAACAAACCAGTATCGGAGTGTACAGGTCGAGAGGTTAGAACGTGGGAGCAGCTAGTCCACAGTACCTATGAAGGCCGGCAGTGAGGCGCGTGGGGAGAATCATGATCTCCAGCAGTAATAAACTTGGGTTGAAATGCCTCCCATGGTCTTTGACAATCCAGTCGCTGGGGGATCATGCTGACATGCATGTTGCTGAGCAGATTGTCGGACTCAAGACCAGTCCCCATTCAGTGTGAGAAAGGCCTAGAAGAGACTAGAGGTTGAGCTGAGGCGATCAGCTAAGGCCACGAGCAGTAGATCAACTTTGGCACAAGTCATGATTCACCTTAATTCCACAGGTGAGCATACACGTGGATTCGAAGTCTCCGCGGATGCTCGGATCTTTCCTTTGCCTTGCTCTGGAAGACTGGACTGGCCTTCTTTCTCCCCTTCTCATTCCCGGAGCCGGATGAGATTCGCGGATGCGCGAGAGAGGCACGAGTCACATCCCGTGTAGTATCAGCCCATGAAGTACCGCCGCCCAGCCTCCCCACAACCACATTTATGTCATAACCAGCTCCTATCCACAAGTAATAGAGCAGTTCGTAGCCGGATCGTCACCCTCTTGAACTCCACAACTGAGCCGGGCATTGCCATCCAGAAAGCGACGACATAAACCGAAGCAACCAACCGGCACCTCTTCCCCAGATGCCAGTCCCGTACTATTGATCTGATACCATGGTTCATGCTGAGTGACAAAAACCCCCCATCCGCCCAGAAGGCCGGGATCAAGGGGCGATGGTAAGTTCTTCTCATGTCACACGATGACATGCTTGTCTCTAGACTTCGGTTGTGGTGCGGGTGATTCGGAAGACGCTCGAGGGTGGGTGAACTCAGCGAACCTTCCTTCTTCCCACTTAAGCAGGTATCGTTTATGAACCCCTCCAGCATCGTTCTTTCAGCGTTCTCCCCGCCAAGTAAGCTGAACCTTCAAAGTCTTTCGAGAACTATGTAGCTCACTGTCCCTGCTGTACTCGACTGCCTGTAGCCGGCGTGGTAGCCGGCGTGGTCGGTAGTCAAGAGTGGAGAGATTTGACATGGAGTGTAACCGGCCTGCCTGCAGCTAGCCAGCCTATCACCAAGACCATGAAGTTTAATGGGGGCCACATAGACCACACCAAGCAAATCACCTGTTGTTCCCACCCCTCCGCATGCCTCAGCACGGCTTTTGCGCCCTGCATGCATCGCTGGAATCCGCCGCCTGCTTGGCTTTGATTGGGAAAGAAAGTTGCAACTTGTACACCAAGCCCGCGAAATGCGCTCACGGGTGTGTGTGTGTGTGTGTGTGTGTCAGACGGGACTGCTTGACTGCCAGTGTTTGTTCGTTCGTTGTTCCCCTCACTTCTTCCAGACCCTAGACTTAGTGGGGGGAAGAATGACCTGAATAAATGAGGGGATCGTATTAAAAATAAGTGCAGGGCGAACAGGGCGTGACGGCGTGGCTGTCCCCTTATTCGTCTCACCAAAAGCCACTAGTGACTAGTCGGGCTAGTAGTCGCGATGCTAAGCTTGTTGGGCTGCTACTGTGAACTTAGTGCTGCAAGTGCTGGGCAGTTAGCGTAGCGCCACTACCGCGGGCGCGGGCAGGGCTTCGACTGGGAGATATAAGAATTGAACTTCCCCTCATACCTCAGTCTAATGTTTTCTTTCTTGCTTCTCTTTTAAGACTCTGCAACTTCATATCACGACCTTGAACGAATATCACCAACCTTCCCACAACAAAACCCCCAACCAAAACAATCATCAAAATGTGCGGTGACTCTTGCTCTTGTGGTGACAGCTGCAGCTGCGCCAACTGCACCAAGCACGGCAAGTAAATACACTTGACGATGCAAAATTGTAAGTCACACACAGCTTTTCGTGCCTGTTCAACTTCATCAAGACATCTAACACAACCCAGAAACCATTTCTCAACTGTGTTATCAAACCCGACATCTCCACCCCTTCTTCCGACGTTTTCCGATCTTCTCATCTCATCAAGACATCGCCTCTCACTGAACCGTCAACCGACTAGAGTACCTGACCTAGCAAAAGGGACTGGAGGCAACCGGCAACACCGACAACGGGGTATCACCTCATCCTCACGCTTACCTCACCACTACGGCCTGGGTCAGTTTCTTCAAGGGGGTTATGAATCGGTTCCGAAATTCGGTCTGACAGGGTGGAAGTGATGGACATTCGGGTTTACCACAATAGGAATGTTTGTGGATGGACGACCGACTCGTTGTGCTGCGTTAGACAGGCATTAGCGTGAGCTTTAAATCCAAGGAAGATGACCAAACTTTCTTTTTCGTTCGGTCCCCTGATCCCACAACTTGGTGGAACCCGGGACCGAATCACTGCATGCCCGGATGGAGGTTCCCCTGTTTTAACCGTGCAGGCTTTTCGGACTGGAGCTGTTATGGGAGGGAAACTTGCTCATTCCGCTATGCTCGCATGCTGCTGCTCATTTCCATTCGAAGACGATGTGGGTTGGGAAAGGTGAGTGCCGTGAACCTCCAGCTTCCGGCCCTGGCTTCTGTGACCGCGCGCATGTCAAGAGACAGTAGAAAGACACTGCTATACTTTGTCGGCTTCGACACTGGTATGGCTTCCATGTGCAAACGAAGTTGTTGCACTGAGCTCGAAGCTTCCAAAGCCTGTGATCTTCACGGCCACACATTGGAAGTGACAGTAGTAGCAGCGGCGAGACACTTGGTAAGTGCTTGTAAGGTTCACAGTATCTGTCTCGAAACCTCAAAGTAAGCTCGTCATCAGAGCTCACCACATCCCAAGCCAGACAAATAGATCCCCTTCTCTGCCAGCTACCATAACAAGCTCCCCAGACAGCGATAAGTCCAGCTGTTAGGGCTGAAGAAGAACACGACGATAGCCAAAGAATAACTTGCAACGCAGATCCGTATCTCCGAAGAGTCACAGCAAAACAAACGTCAAAATCACACCACCAGTGTACCGTATCGCAACATCTTCGAATGGTTCTCCGATCTAAAACATTGTGAGAACGTGAAACGGACACTGGTGCAACCCATAAACACCAACTTCCACATTCCCATCGGAGTGGCCGAGCCGCGAGACAGAAATGCCATTTGAGCTTCTCGAAGCACAAACACAAGCTTAATACTCTTCTCTAGAAGTGATTGGCATCTTACAACCCGTCAGCAGCATGTTGTGGAAGCAGCAGAGCAGATCAGACAACCCGTTCCCATCCCACATTCTCCAACGCTGGTTAGGTCCGATATGACCTTAAGGCCTTAAGCTCAGCTCCCCTCATTCAAGGGTTGGATTTTGATGATGCCCCAACGTCATCGTAATACATTATACTCACCACCACCCCACCACCGGTTGATATAATTCTCCGATGTCACCTGTATCAGATGAAATATGTAGCGATGCAGGGACTTGAGGGGATATGCACCATCGAAATCCCCAAGACTATGGTCTTGTACTGGGCACAGCCACTCTGTCAATAACTCGACAGTGTGGGAGGTACCTGTAGATCTTGAGTCAGTCAGGATTCCAGAAACATCGAACACTATACCAGATACCTGCATGTGAGCCCACGATGATGAGGGAGGGAGAGGGAGAGGGAGAGGGAAGAGAGAAAGAAAGAAAGGAAAAACCGTTCAAAACCTCCCTTCAAGTAGCCTTCTATCCAACCGTTTTCCTCCCTATCGAGCTCTCAGCAACCAAAATCACACCTCCATATCTCAGAGCCAAACATCTTTGACATCCTCAGCCTCAATCACTAACCTCAACCCCAACCTCAACCTCAACCTTTCCTCCAATCACACTCATCACTCCTCACTTTCTACTCAGGCCCAGTCATCCTCGCCCACCGGGGCATCACCAAAGATGTGCACCCAAGCAATAACCCAATCCCTCTGCTCCCACTGCAAGGAGCTTCTCCTGGAAATAACCACCGAAGAGCGCTGCACCAAAGTCATCCAAGCGCAAGCCTACACCTTCTCGTGCGGCACCAAGAGGACGAGCAGAGCCAAAGAGTACCCGAGGAAATGTGCGAACTGTGTGAAGAGGGAGCAATCGGGGAAGGGGATGGAGAGATCTGGTGAGTTTTTCTTTGCTTCGGGACTTTGTCATGTCATGTTTGATGTGTACAATGAATGGCGAAAGGATGAAGGGCTGACTTCTTTTGTGTTTGCAGCATCGACGTACCTGTTGAGCCCTATCGTCGCTGGTCGTGGTATCCGCTGCCACTCTTGCCCGTCTCTTTGGCAGCTGGGAGGACGGAGTCGATAAGGCTGGAGATGCGCAAACTGAGCGCTACGAGATATTAGGTGGATTCCAACCCATTACCTTAAGTTAAGGAAATCAGAACGAAATGGCGACAGAGCTGGAACTTAATATAGCGAGTGGGAAAGAGAGAGTCAACCACGAAACGACCAGTCAAAAAGAGAGATGAGGGTTGCGAAAAAACCATCAAAAAACATACAACACCAGGGATTCGCTGGTCGTCACCGACCCAACTACTAGTCTGGCCCTCACTGGCTTATCTATGGGAGAGCGGACGGGATCCCGAGTTTTCCAGTGGGTATGGTCGTATGTGCTTATCTACTCAGAATGTGGAGTTTATCAAGCTAGGCGGCTCGGGGCAGGTGGGAAAATCCTGTGGGGCCTCTCTGCCCGTCCTGTTTTCTTTCTCGTCGTCGAGGACACTGCCTGATAAAACGTTTTAGGATGAATATCAGCAAGGCGTCTGGAAATAGATTTAATTAGATGTTAGTTGCTTCTCGGATATCCTTCCAATTTAATCTTCCTAAGGGGGTCATGCTCGTGTTCACACTCTGTCTGACCTTCTCTTTCTGCACACTCAACCCCGTGATAAACGTTGGCAACCCACCTAATCGTTTCCCACAGTTCCCACAAGACAAACACCTCCCTTCCTCTTTCCCCCGTTGCCTTCTCCTAATGCCCCACATCCTACCTCACACAACCTCACACCTCAGAGTTTAGAGCTCCAAAACCTCATCCTCTTCTGGTGGTAGTCACCATCAAAATGCCCCCCTCCTCCCCCTTCAAGTTCACCCAGATGCACCCTCAGCCTCGTCGTCCTCAAAGGCCCAATCGCAAAATTCCTCCTCCCCTTGACCAAATCCTCAAACACGCTCCCCCACTGATGCTTATACTTCATCACCTCAGCCCAATCACTTGGACTGAACTCCACCCACTTGAACAACTCAATAAACTGCCCCGCTATTTTCGACAACACTGGTCCTTTTGACCAAATGCTCCGCTGCTCGTCCCTGCTGCTGCTGCTCCCGCTCCCGCTCTCGGATTCCTGAGCATGTTGAGCTTGAGCTCTCGCTCTCGCTCTCCACTCCTGTAAAACCTCGTGTATTCCAGTCAAGACAATCCGGTCGTCAGTGACCTGTACCACACTGGCACCGGCTCGGTTGCACCAGAGAATGTGGTCGCGGATGTAACCGCGAAGCTCCTCGCGCTCGGCGGGGAAGGGGACGGTGGCTTGGAGGCGCTCTTCCCAGGGCATGAACCAAGCTGGGTTGCCGGGGACGCTGATGATATTGCAGCAATCACCGACGAGCCGGATGGCGATGATGGGTCGGCCATCTTCACTCTCTCTGATGACGAATCGGACGGTTAGTTTGAGGCCCGGGCGGAGCTGAGGAGGGGCCGGGAATTCGAAGCGCTGTAGGACATTGTGTGAATGGTTAGTCAGTCAGGTCTTGGTCTGGAACGTGGACTACCACACCGTTCAAGGGTCGATCATATATATCGTATACGGGCTGACCCGTGCGATATCTCGAGGACCCCATCCTGCCCTTGACCGGTCCCGCCAATGCGTTACCCATTATTAGGGCAGCGTTTGTGACAAGATGGGCGTTGAATCTTGTGTGCACTACTGATGCGGGGAGGAGCTTTGTGAGTTGAGGATGGTTAGCAAACAGGAGGTATGAAAAAGAGATCCGGACACTCTTATGGGTGTTGTTTGATGTAAGCGTGTCCGGCCTTTCTTTTCAGACCACTTGGCAAACTTGACAAGAGTTGAGACTGCACATGCTGAAGTGTGATGCATGAAGTTGGCACACAGCGGCAATGTACATGGTGCCTGGCATTGCGCTTCTCTAGCCGAGATCACCGTGATGGAACAGCTATCGTGCGCCAGTCAGTGAAAATGCGAAGCGAGGAATCGAACCATGGAGAACAGAGATGAGATGTCAATTTGACGGGAATTGACCCAGAAGAGCTAAACAAACGCCAAAGTTGGAGTATCAGAAAATTGCAAACCATACCCCCCGTCATAGCCCGTAAACGTAATATTTCGACAAAAAGGAACAAGTGTTGCCCTGCAACATAGAAGAGAAGGATCGGTCGTGATCAATGCCGCGCGGACTTTTTCAGACTTGCAGTACCGGATTCATATCCTCTATTGGCCCTTGGCCTTCTTGCCCTTGGCGAGGTACCTGTACACGGAATGTTAGCATTGTGGAACATCTTGTGGTGGTTGTCGCATAGAGATAACGTACCCGCTGAATACACTCTCAAAGACGGCGACAGCGGCGAGAATACCGGCGCCACGGCCGGCATGCTGCCATGTGAACTGCCTGCGGTCGTAGAGACCCCAGGCCCTGTAGCCGAGCCATCCACTAAGACCAACAACAGCGAAGAGGTTGACGGCAGCGAGAGCGCCGGTGGTGCCATCGCTCAAGCTGGCGAACTGCTTGGTCAACCAGTTGTCGGCCTTCTTGGCCTTGGATTTGGCCTTCTTCTTCGCGAGGTCGGCCTCAGCGCGGGCCTTGGCCTTGATTTTTTCGGCCTCCTCCTTGGCTTCTTGTTCCTCCTCCTTCTCAACGCGGGTGGCCTGAGTCTCGGTCTTGATCTCCTGCTCCTGGAAGTCGGAAGGGACGGTATGGACGGAAGGGGTATCGACGTCGATCAGGGAGGCGGTGGAAGTAGACTCTGTACCATCAACCTCGATCTGGGGAGGGAGAGGGGCAGCAGCCTGAGAACAAAGGATATGTTAGATTCGTTTGATTATGGCGCGCGAACGAACCAAGTGGAGGCTCGTTTCTGGGCGCGCAGTAAAGACAGGAGTATCGAGAACCTACCTCCTCAGGAGTCTGCTTGGGGCCCTTGGCAGCAATCTCAGCGTAAGACACTATCGCGAGTGGTGGTTAGCGAAGTTCCTCGGAAGTGTCGCGTGGCTCTGGGCTCGGGGAGATATGCCGCGCAAAGCCGTCGAGAGAAAGGCAGAAGCTTACTGTTAACTGGTTGTGGTAAAGAAGTATTTGTGTGGTGATTTAGTGGTAGATGGGAGGATGTGAGTGATCGCAAAGGTGAAGCGACGTCGAAGCTGTTTTACTGGATGTTGTTCTTGAAGTGATGATGATCTGGGGAAGGGAAGCTCTTTGGAGTTGACGGCCGAAAGGATTTGTATTTAGGGACGAACGAGCACGGCATTGGACGAGCGTGAGGTCACTTCGTCAACCAAGGAACTTGAAAAGCCGGAGAAGGGGAGAATTCAACTTGGTCAAAGCTTGGCAACAACGGCCAGATACCTTACAATTTCAAGTCATGCAAACGGCCTCCACGGCTCAAAACGGAACAGCTACCTATATCCACGATCTACGCACAGATGCTGGGCAGTCACATTCAGTGGTGCAATGCCCCGTGCCTGCTTGACTTTCCGCTTGAAAACGCCTGTGATTGCCGACTGCAAATGGTGACAGCGCATGACGGGGTTGAGCTCCAAAACGGTGACGCAACCGGACGGAGCCAAGGTCAGCTCACCACCCCGGAAAACAGGCCCCAAAACAACCCCGCTGCCCCGCTATACCCACTAAAAAGCCCAAAAATGGAAGCCAGCACAGCTGAGCACCCATGTCGCGAATGACGTCTGCGGCTCCGCTAGCACGCTTTTCTTAGCTTCCAGGCCTCTCCGATCCAAGCAACGCGAAGCTGCTCGCGACTTGGAGAAAGTCAACACACACAGGGTAGTTCCCCTGGCATCAGGATACGGCGGGAAGCCCCAAGTTGTCAATTGGGTTGAGGTTGGAAATGGTCCCTGATCAGCATGTCATTCTCCGTTTCCCCCTTCCTTGAAGACGGGGCCGTTGGAAATGATAATTTGTAGGGGCTACAATATTCTAGGTAACGGAGGCCTTCCGTCGACAGCAACACTTCCTCCTAGCCCGAGGTATGATGAGCATGGGATATGTCTATTTTGCGCTTGCATTACATGGTATGAATACACAAAGTCGTACATTGCCCTTCAAAAGCGAAAGGCAAACCAACCTCAACCCTCTTCGCATGCGCCTCTAAACTCCCATTATCCCAGATGATACTAGACTAGCCAGTCGCTTGACCGTGATCGCCGTCGTTGCGCCTGTCTTATCTCCTCCCTCTCTCTCCGTCTCCCTCTCTCTGTCTATGCCATATGTCAAATCGTACAGAGCAATGGTACTAAAAGTTGTAGAAATTTGCAGCAACAGGCTAGCTGTGTGTTGTTTGTCATTGTTCGTGGTCTGTTTTTATTTATTGCTGCTTCTTGTCGCCGTTGGCAGCAGTAGCATCGTGGGCGGCGGTGGGGACGACCTCGGAGGTCTTCTCGGTGGTGGCATCGCTGGCAGAGGCGGGGATATCAGAGGGAGCGTCGTCAACGGGAGAGGCGGCAGCAGGAAGCTCAGGATCCTCCTTGGCGGGGGTGCCCTCGGCGGCAGGGGCAGGGACAGAGCCGTTCTCAGCCGCCTCATCGTCAGCTAGCTCGGCGCCGTAGATCTCGGGGTACTTGCGGAAGCAGTCCTGCATGTGACTGTTAGGTAGTTAGCTCTCAATGTTCCACCAAATTCCGGTTGGACAAGAACGTCAGCCGACAGTTCGGGTACGTACGAGAACTTGTCAATGCAGTCCATGCCCTTGGGCTCCTCCTTGGAGTAGACGAAGCAGCTGAAAGCCTCCTTGAACTCCTCGCCGCAGGGGCCGTGGGCCATGCCACCCAGGCACGGGCAGTCCCAGTTGATCTCGCCGGTCTCGGGGTTGAAGGCGCCCTGGGCATCGGCCTCCTGCTGGAGAGCCTCAGGGGAGGCACCAGCCTCGGGGATGGCACCCTCGCTTGACTCGGACTTGGGCTTGGACTTGCCCTCGGGGATGGCCTCAGCCTGGGCTTCGACCTTGGTGGTCTGTTCCTCTACCGACTCGGAAGGTGTGGCAGGGGTGGCGTCCTTCTTGGCGGCAGCCTGGGCAGCCTTCCTGGCGGCAGCATGCTCGGCGGCCTGGCGTCTCTTCTCTTCGACAATGGCATCGACAGTGGGAAGGTCGGCGTCGGTCAGCTGGGAGGGGGCGGTACCGGCGGTCTCTGTGCGAATTGGCCCATCACGTATTAGCATTGGCGCATTGTGGTGTCAATAAACACGATGGTGAAGCTGAGGGCGCGCATGGCAACAAGGTTGGTATATAACTAAAAGGGGCGCATACCGGGAAGCTCATCGGAAAAGACGGGGCTGGTGTTGTAGTAGTAGACGGCAGCGGCGGCAAGACCCCATCGTACGGCGGCACCCTTCCATGTGCTCTTCTTGGGCGCGGCGGATGTGGAGGCGAAGCGGCGGGCAGTAGAGGAGACGAGGGCCGACGGGGAGGAGGTGGTGGTGGGCCGGATTGCGCGCAATGCGCTTTGCGAAGGGCGGAGAGCCGTGCGGTACATTGTGTCGGTGTCGGGACTCGAAAATCAACAAGACAGGCGCAAACGGTCGGAGGTTCAGTCGGGAAAAACGAGGGTCGGATGGTGCTTCCGCAGCAGCTCCACGGGTCCGGGAATCAAGAGGTTTGTCATCATTTCCCGGATCCGACCCACGTCGACCCGACAAATTTCTGGCGATGCTCCAGTGCAGGCCGACCGCCGACCGACCGGGCGGGCCAGGGCGCTGTTACTCCAATTCGCTATCCGATTGGTCACATCCGCTTAAAAGTGGCACCCTCATCCTGTAGAATGCCATTGTTTGAAGCATGTGCAATATAGGAAATTGGAGAAGGCAACCACCAATACAAGGTGACAGGTGAATGAGAAAGAATAACAGGGCGTTTACATTGTCAAGTTTCCGCAAGGAAAGATGGAAAGTTTGGCGAGGAGCCTCGAGGCAGCAAGACAATCCAAGTCTCGACTTACATCCCCAAAGCTCCAGTAGGGTTGGGGTTCGGGCTGACTGTGTGTGTAGCGTATCTCCGCATGAAGCTATTACAAGCTCGACATTTTACAAATGTTTGCTTCTGGTCGTCGACAGATTCATTGCGCCAAGTTTTGTATTGGAGAAAATGACCAAGCAAAATGAACTTAGAATTCCCGAAGTACACAAATGACGAGTATTCGGTCATGGAAGGAATTTAAAGTTTCTAGCCGCCCTACTATAAAAGACGGTCTTAATAGACATCGGTGATGGTCCGAACACCGGTACCCACCACATGCTGCAACGCCGGACAGCCCAACGGAAGCACCGAAACGGGCCCCGGGAAAGAAAGAAACAAAGACACTGACATCGACTGCCAAACCTACGAGTCACCACCGACCTAACTTATAATTCCTCATATACTGGGAAAGCTCAGATTAGTATCGTTTATTTTCAAGCAACATCTTCATCACATTCTCACAGTCCCGCTATTGCACAGGTTATCACCGAGCCTTACGTTCACCATCTATCTATACCAAAGGAAGGGTGTGCAAATCATCCGGATCAAGTCATGAGCACAACCAACGACGACACCACACAGACAACCGGGGCGGCCGGTGATGACCATACTTTCGAATGGCATCCCCTCGATTTGATCAGAGATCATGAATATCAGAAGCAAGATGACTCAAACGATCAGTTGCAGAACGGCTCAAATGGAACAACAACAACCACTCACAAGCCCGGACGATTCGCACTGGTCGTCCTCAACCAACCACTTACTCATTTGGGCTTGGTAAAGCGTCTGTGGAAGAACGGTATGTTTTGTTTTGACATGTGAACACTTCAGACGGAAAAGAACAGGAAACGGGTATTAACATTCAACTTTCCACACACAAAAGCATCGATCCGCGTCGCCGCCGACGGAGGTGCAAACTGCCTGTATGACGTTGCTGGCAAGAATGGCGACCGTTACTTTGTAAGTCCATCCCATTCTAAACCTCGTAATCAACCCACACCCAAACTATCTCGCTAACAACAACCTCCAGGACGATCTCACAGCAATAATAGGCGACCTCGACTCCCTCACCACCGAAACACGCACCTACTTCACCACCCACTCATCCTCTTCCTCTGCCAAGAAGACCGCCATCATCCACGATCCCAACCAATACTCAACCGACTTCGGTAAATCCGTCGATTACCTCCGCGGTCCCTCCTGCTCCAAACCTGACGTTCCCACGCCCGACATCGTCGCTGTTGGCGGTCTCGGGGGCCGCGTCGACCAAGGTCTCTCCCAGCTTCACCATCTCTACCTCTTCCAGTCCTCGCCCACCTACGCCGACGGGAGGATGTACCTGTTCAGCGGGGAATCGCTTACCTTTTTGCTCAAATCGGGCACTCATCGTATCCGGGTGCGTGAGCCAGGCCAGGGCCAGGTCAGCGAGACAGAGAAGAAGGATGTATTTGCAAAATGGGTGGGCATCCTGCCGGTCAAAGAACCGAGCAGGATCTGGACGAAAGGACTAGAGTGGGATGTGGAGGATTGGCCGACTGAGTTTGGTGGACAGATGAGCACGAGTAACCATGTGTTGCCGGAGACGGAAGTGGTGGAGGTTAGGACGACGAGGGACGTGTTGTTTACTATTGCGCTCAGGGACGTTTAGGGGGCGTCTTCCTTTGGCGTGCTTTTGAGGAGACGTGTGACGGGGGATTGGTTGACTAGGCAGGGCATCACATGTACGAGAGCTGAAGATGGGAGCTTAGTATCTGCTATTCAATGGTTACGATCCGGTCATTTTTAATGGGTAGTAGGCACATGATGGATAAAGGGGAAATGGGGCATATGGTACCTTCTTTTAAATAGATGAAATTGTTTCACGCATTGCTGCTGCTGCTCCCCATGATATTAGACCATGTTTGTTTAGTTAAAAAGTAAACCAGACCAAGCCCAACACCCAAAACGCCGCGCTTGATGACTGTGAGACAGATGCCGCCGCCGTCGCCGTTGGGCCCCATGCCGCAATCTGACCGAACTTTCGCTAGTAGCCCTGCTCCTCCTCCGCTAATAATGTGATCCATGAACAAATTAGTTCCCGTCTCTCTGACTTTGCTCCCTTCCCATAAAAATACCATTCCTTAAACCACCATCATAGCAATAGCAGCAAGCTCACCTCAAATAATGCAACACCAACCAGCAGAACAAGAAGAAAACCACCACGCCTCCCCAAAAGATCCACTTATCCTGCTTTGCTCTCCTCTCAATCATCCTGATGGTATCGCCACTGATCCCCAGCGTGTTGCCGACCGAGTACAGCTTCCGCTGCGTGTTCTTCATGATCTCCCTCTGCTGGTTCAGATCGCCCAGCACCGCCTGGCCCCGCGCAATGTAATCGTCCAGCGCCGAGTGCGTGCTCCGGAAGAAATCCTGCTCCCGCAGCGCATGCTGCTCGCGACTCGCGTCCCCTGAGCCCAACACGCTGCTACTTTGCAACCTCCCCGCCTCGGCCATACTATTAGTCCTGGCGTGCGAATGTGAGCCTATTCCATATCCACCACTCGTCGCGGTCGCTGTCGCCGACGCCGAAGCTGACGAAGCATACGGGTTCTCAGGCGTACTAGCCACAAACGGTCTTCGACCCAATAATTCGGCGCGGTTCTGCGCGTGCATGTGTTCCTCGCGCTTGGACTTGAGCGCGTCCAGCTGCGTCCGGAAGTCGTGCAGTTCCGAGCGGAAGCTGCGTATCCTCTCGTAGGCTTTTTCTTGCTTGGCGGCGTTGAGCTCCTGCTTGGCTAGGTGGTTGTATTCGTCGATGGTCCGGTTGAAGGCGGTTAGCGAGGCGGAGAGAGAGCCCAGGGCGGCGGGCGTGAGGGAGGTTGGGTCGAGCTCGTGCTCGTGCGAGGAGAGGGCGGCGAGGTCTTTGCGGATTGAGGTGCTCTGCTTGAGAGCTGAGTTGAAGGTTGTGTTCTGGAGGGAGGAGGGCGAGTAGTTAGCTTGGGGACGTATTGTAGGTAGGGTTTACGATAAGACGTGAGAACCGTGATGGTGACCTGTTGTTGTTGTTGCTGCTGGGTCGCTTACCATGATGGGCTGACTTTCAGGGGTTCATTCGAGGATTGCTGAGTTTTGAAACAAGAGTAGCAAGCAGCGATGCCTATCGTTGATGGGAGTTGATGTGAGGAAAATATCGTGTATTAGAAGCTATAATGGATGGGTCTCGAAACGATGGACAAGGTAGAAAGGTAGGTAGCTTTCAAGCTATGGTCAAATGCTTCTGGAAGCTTTGCAAGGTGGCATCTGCAATTGTTGGAGTTGTGATTTGGAGAGTCTGGGATGTTGCTCATGGCTGTCTTGGCGGCCGCAGTTTAGCGCTGCGGGTGGGGTGTATCTAAGCTCCCCGCCGGGTCTGGGCGCAAGTGGGTTTGTGGGGAACTGTCAACAGTGGAGGAGAGAAGAACGGAGGGTTGGGGGTTGTCCGGAGGGTTGGGGGTTGTCCGTCTTCCTCCTCCACGTCAACGTCAACGTCAACGTCAACCTCATCTTACTTCTTCATCACGAGCGAGACGAACCGAAAGGCAATAATCAAGAGTGCGCTCTTTTAATGCTACATGCAAAGTCTTTGACAAATACGAACAGCGAGCCTGCGGGACAACGTCAAACGACTTTTCAGCTGCCCGTTTGACATACATACCGGTACCATGCGCATCATCCTGCGTCGGCAACACGTCGACGTGGAATTGGCCAATCACTAGCCGAGTCAGCAAAGCACGATGGCTGTCGTTGAGCCTTGTTTGGACTTCACATGGTGCTCAATATTTAGTCTTGGTATTCTGCGAAGCTTCTGAAAGATGCTTGTCATCCCATGAGGTGGTTGATCTAACGACACCCTTCCGCCTACGAGACCTACAAGCCCAGACCCCAAGCGCCATCGCATTCTCCCGGAACGTTGCCATCACACTGAGCCTGCCTCCAACGATTTCCATGTCACGTTTGAGACGGGCGAGTTCCATTTGTAACCCTGAGCAGACACGCACCGCGCCAGCCCATAGTCTGTCTCTTCGCATTCCAGCTGGGGCAGCTTGGTGGGTGCGACGCCGCTGAACTGGACCCTATTATTTTGCACCTTTGTCAGCCGATATTCCTATACCTAGAAAGCACGGGAAAGAAAACTTACGGATGTTCCGGATCAATGTCTATACAAACCCAATCCATCTTGATAGCAATCTCCTGTGTCTTATCATGATACCGGAACGAGGCAGTCTTTGGCGCAAGAGGCTGTTCACCAGCGCCAAATGAACCGGGATACCAGGTCTCGGCGTCACCCAACTTGACATCGTCATGGTAGACGAACACAGGGAAATCGAAGAGGCTATTCTGGGTGTTGAGATGCAGGTTGAAGCTGATGGCTGCCGAGCTTACGTCGTCACCCGTGCTCTTGTCGAGCTCAAAGTTGCTGAAAGCCCACGAAGGAGAGAGGACGGACGAAATGGTGCAACCATCTGCCGTTGGGATGGGATCTTCGATGGAGTAAGGGGCGAGGGCAGTTTTCGAAAGGACCTGACCTTGAACGGGAACGCCGTCGGCTTGGCAGTATGTGGTGGTCGACCCGGTGTCGCAGTTGAGAGGGAGAGTGGTGCTTCCTGTGCCTGTGATGCTTACTCTGTGATGTCGCACGGGATTAGCACTCTTTCTTCCACCAAACCAGACGGCCGATAGCTTACGGCTTTGCGGAATCCACATCGTCGCAGTACCACGTCTCGTTGATCTCAAACTTCCAGCTTCTTGGATAAAACACGGTGCCGGTTCGGATGTTATATCGGCTCTTGCGATCTGTACCGCCGCCGCAGTTGATTTGGATACGCGGATCTTCTCCTGGACCAGCAAGGAAGTAGTTCAGGCAACCAACTACGTGCCCAGTGGCTTCGTTGGTGACTTGGAACTGGATCGACTGAGACTGGATGGCAGATGACCCGTCACCTGTCTCGTTGATGAAGATGATGGTCCCCAGTGTCCACTTTGGCGTCTTGGAAAGGGCGCCACAGCCTGGGCTCTTGTGTCCCGGCGGTCCTTCGGCATACGCAGGTGTGATTGCCACAGGTTCTGAGAGCGAGCCCTTGACCAAGTCGACAGGGTTGGATGACTTACACACATCGCCGTTACAAACGAGAGCAACGGTTGCGTTGCCAGATGCCTCGAATTTCAATCCGTCGTATGCTTGACGTACTGACTGACGAGCAGCATCCGCTTTAGGGGTCTGTCTGTCATCGCAGTACCAAAATTCAGACACATGGACGATGGCGATGGTTGCTTTCGGCTCGACTGCTCCACCAAACGTCATTGCATATCGCGGGCCCGAGGCAAGGCAAGTGTAATAAGTGCCATCTTGTCCTTGACAACCTACGCTCAGAGTGTAGTTGGTTGCTCTGTTCACAAGCGTGTAATGCGCTTGGTATTTGGCAGGATTCGTGGTGAAATTGTGGACGAACCAGCTCGGGAAGGTGAAGGAGTTGGTGGTACAGCCTCCAGGAGCGGGCTGGGTCTGTGCCACTGCGCTGGCGGCGCCGAAAGCGAGGAATATAGACTTGAGCATGGCCGTGATGGTGTGTTTTGTCTCAAAGCAATGCAGTCAGACGAGCTTACTGGACAAGGTGGTTGGAGATGACAATGGCTTGATGGGTGAAGCAATCAGCGTGAGAAGACAAGGAAGAGCAAAGCTGCAAATCTCGTGTTGGCTGGCTCACATGCCCAGATGCCGCTTCCCCTCACCATTTCACCCGCTGCAGGTACCATGAAGCAATAAGGGGGACTTTAGCCTTTGAACGGGGCTAATACCGGGACTGGACCTTTCGGTACGTGCCGCTACCTCCGGCAATTGAGCCTCATGTTAAACCGGCTGGGCTATTTCACTCGGTGCCGTTTCAGAGACGGGACATATCTGGACCACAACCAGTGACGACGGCCTATGGTCAATGGTCACCACATAATGCCACGGAATACACGGCCAAGACTCATGGATATACTGAAGACAGACGGGATGTCGGATGAAAAAGAAGAGGGAACGTTGTCACTCCAACGTATCCACCCTCACCCTCTTGTTGGCATATCTTCACAACAACCAAGGCATCTCCGACTCTCGGTTTACCCTCCACCATAAAGAGTACTTTGATGACAAGAGCCCCAAAGTAGATTAGCAAGAGTGGTACATCCCCTCAACCCAGAGCAGGATGACGTACCGGCGACTACTGACTAAGCAAGCGTGATGGTCTCCGATGGACTCCGATCACGACTCATGCCCAATTCGGAAGGAGTTGATCGAGAGCGACCGGTCACCACATAGCCGCTAGTCTCCGATCTCGGTGCCCTAGTTGCAACTATTGCAGGAGAAGGAGCTTTCCGCGATAGGGACGCTCCTTCCATGACTCCGTCCTTGACACAGTCATACGCAGATTTCCAGGCTTCCAAGGCAGTTGCGAAGCAGACTGGCTCCGTTCTGGCAAGCACGACCAGATCCAACTAGAGAGGCAAATTCCGTCTTGCAAAGACTTCCACAACGCATCTGGGACACTCTCTCGAAACTACCTCTTTTCCCCCTTACATTCTTTCACTCGCATCTGGGCGCGTTTCTGCCCGCCCTCGAAAATCTGGTTCAAAGCCCATCGAGCTATCCATCTACTTACCTTCCACGAACAAGCGTTTCGTTTTGCACAATTAGGTTCCCGGACGCGTTGAGTGACATCCATCCTCTTTCTCAAGCACCGACAGCAACTGAACGGAAACAACCTCCATCATGTCAGCTTTCTTTTTATCCTGATGAGCGTCCTCGTCTCTGCCGATGGTTCGTACCAGAGGCAACGGGAATAACCACAATGCCCCTACGTTGTTAGCAAGTTCCTCCCATGGCTTCTTGCTCAGGGCATGACGACCTTCAATCTTTGCTCTCGAGCCCCGATATTCTCGGTCATCAGCCTCTTGGGAATTCTGTCACTCCAGGTAAGTGAATGGTGTACCAAATCTCCCAGCAGATGCTGACAGTGACTGCACAGCTAGGCTCTCTTCAAAACATTCTGTCCTCCATGCCATATGTGCCATCGAGAGACGCGGTCGCCAAACGCCAGTGGCTCCGAGATTGCGATGCAGAAGCCCTTGGAACAAAGCACAAGGACTGCGTCAATGCCGTCATGTGTTCGAAGACGGAGGAAGTTACCATCCCTCGAGTTACTTCTTCCATCGACACCCTGGGCATGACGGAGGTGTAAAGACCAGAAAGAGCTTGTCCAGTGACTAGCAACTACCAGGGCGGTTAGGACGTCGAAGCCGGCTCATGACCGCATCGACACATTTTGCCAACGCGCTCAACTTTCTCGCAAGTCGTGAGCATTGTCGATCGTGCGGTTGGGACCAAGAAAGAGTTCTTGTTGTTGGAGTACCGAAATTCGACGACTTTTGTCTGCTTGCTGCGTCTACCGACCGTCCATATCGGCTAGCCTCGATTGTCTCATCGCCCTAGCATTCAGTCAGCTGAGCTCACAAAACGACAACTCAACACCTCGAACGTCTCGGCTTCAGCCTTATGCCAATACGAGCCGTCACGCCATAACCCCCAAATATCGACGGCCACCAACAACACCATCAGTGGATTGATAAATCAGGAAATATGGAAAAGCCATCACTGCAAAGGGACGAACTGCAGCATTGTGGCTGCTAGCAGTCATCGTGATCGCCAGGTTTTGGGGGTAACCAAACCACCTTCCTAGCTAGGGAGCTGCAACACAACCACGAGCAATTCGTCAGGATAGCCAAGGATTCGCTCATGGCGACAATTCATCAAAGGATGTGATGGTGACGTCTTGGGCATATCGTCACTCTGGATTCAGGATTCAGGGATGGGGCTGTCGTACCCGCCTCGCACGGACCACATAACACGCTTTCCTTCATGGTGGACCTCGTCGTCGAGAACTTCAGTTGGGGACATCATGGAGATTTCCTCATGGCGATTTCACGAAACATATAAAGTCGCCTCCCCCAGATCTTCAATTCAGCCTTGAGACTACCATCCTGATGTTTCGATGAGTCAATTATCACGCCTTGGGGGAGGGATTTGGGGTCCATGGACAGGGGAAGGACATAGAGAGGCACAACTCCTTTTCGTCATTCTCGATTGTTGCATGGCTTCTGATGGGTCAACTGGACATCGGGATACCCGGACGCAAGGAAGAAAGGGAACGGCCATGTTGTCGTCGGCTTACAGAAGAGTGACAAAAGTTGGTGGCATGTCCGATGTCTGGTGATTGCCCGGTATTCTAGCATCAGGTACCGGCCGCTGGGATTGGGGGAGCTCCAGTAGGCTGCATTGCATTGGCTCCCATGGTCGTTGCCGCAATTCTTGGCTCTGAGCACGACATCGACAATTTTTCCATTTTGTGGACCATGCCCGCCCATTGCCTGTCGAGCTCGTTGCATGCGGCGACTGAGAAAGTGCCAAAAGGCCCCACAGGACCCGGGAATCCACCTGTGTCTCGGCCTCTGTTGCCTTCAACTGCATCGCATCCCGCAACCCATCAGCCCCATCTGTGATATCCCTTTCGAATCCCACACCACGCCGTCTTGGCTATGCCGGCGAAGCTTTCTGGATTCCATACGCAATACGGGGCCAGGACAGGACTCCCAAGTCAAAGAATTTCTGAGGAATTGTCCTTCCTGATCGAGATTCTCATTGCGTAAAAGCTGTCAGCCTTGCGTCCCTCTGGACATTGACCGCCTGGGGGTCGTTACACGCTACGTACTAGAACCTGGTTAGACCGATGTGCTCGGCAGGGTGTTCGATGGCGTGCGGCTCGTTGTTGCAAGTTGCATCCACCGAACGCAACTTTGGCAGGTTGACCACACCGAAAACTACAGCGCTTTTGGGTCCACCTCCGAAAGCTCCCCGGAGGTCCGGGATGCCTTGAGAGACCTCACCACAATGTCGCCATGGGATGACGCCAGGGCCGATCCCTGCGGGCCTCGCACACTCTCAAGCATCCCGCAGCGCCGCCACCCCGACCTTTATATCAAATGCTCGCAACTTATAAACCGTCAGTCGCCCTCTGCTCAGCGTCTCCTCTTCATTCAGTCATCAACATCAACCAAATCGTCAACAACCTTATCAAGGCCGAAGGGCAACAATATACATTATGGGTTCTTTTGACAAGTCCTCCGACCCGGAGGCTGTCAAGGCCACCCCTGTGGCGTTTAACGACAATGACAGTGCCGTCGTCGGTGAGGTCCAGGCAGCTGAGAAGTTTGCCTTTGGTGAAGACCGAAAGATCGGTATCACTGGTGCCGTCTTCTTGATTCTCAACAAGATGATTGGTACTGGTATCTTCTCGACTCCCTCCGCTATTTTCCAGGCCACGGGCTCTGTCGGTGTCAGCATTTTCCTTTGGATTATTGGTAAGTTTTAGCTACAAGCCTTGTTTCAGCCCTACAGTTGGGGATTCTCCATCTTGCTGGGACATGTCATCTCTTTTCTCTGGGGCCACTCCGTCCTAACCTCATCCCTACACAGGTGGCTTCTTGACCTGCTGCGGTCTCAGCGTATGGCTTGAATTCGGTCTTGCCATTCCTCGCTCCGGTGGTGAGAAGAACTACCTCGAGTACATCTACAAGCACCCCAAGTACCTCGCCTCCTGCGTGCTCGCCGCGCAGATGATCTTCCTCGGCTTCTCTTCTGGAAACTCGCTCGCCTTCGGTCGCTACATCCTTTACGCCCACAACGGAGAGGCCGAAGACAGCTACAAGGCTCGCGGTATTGGTGTTGCTTGCGCTACCTTTGCTTGCGCCCTGCACGCCTTCCTTCCTAAGTGGGGTGTCCGCTTGGTCAACGTCCTTGGTGTCTTCAAAGTTGTCATCGTATTATTCATCGTCTTCGCCGGTTTTGCCGCCCTTGCCGGTCATCGCCACGTCCCTGATCCCAAGAACTTCGAGCACTCCTTCCGCATTGAAACGACTGAGACATACGGCGGTGGTGGTGCTTATGCTTACTCCAACGCCCTGCTCAACATTGTCTACAGTTACAAGGGTTGGGAAAACGCCAATTACGTCATGAGCGAACTTAAGGATCCTCGCCGTACCTTGACCGTCGCCGCTCCTATCGCCGTTGCCGGCGTCACCGTTCTTTATGTCTTGGCCAACGTTGCCTATTTCGCCGCTGTCCCCAAGGGCGAAATTGCTACCTCTGAGGTTCTTGTCGCTGGTATTTTCTTCAAGAACGTTTTTGGTGAGGGCGCCGGTGTCAAGGCCCTTCCTGTCTTCGTCGCTCTCAGTAACTTGGGCAACGTTTTGGCTGTCGCTTTCGCTCACGCTCGTCTCAACCAGGAGTTGGGCAAGGAGGGTCTGCTTCCTCTTAGCAGGTTCTGGGGCTCCAACAAGCCTTGCAATGCTCCTGCTGCTTCGCTTTTCCTGCATTGGCTGGTCACCATCATCGTCCTGCTTGCTCCTCCTCCTGGACCTGCTTATAACTTTTTGGTCAACCTCTACACTTATCCTGGTGTCTGGATCAACGGCTTTGTTTCTGGCGGTCTTATCTGGCTTCACTTCTTCCGGAGAGATACCTGGAAGCCAACATGGCGCTGCTGGGAGCCCATTCTCGTCATTTTCTTCCTCCTCAACGTCTTCTTGGCTGTCGTTCCCTTCATCCCTCCTGTTGGAGACTGGAACGCCGAGGGCTACCCCTACTACGTCTTCCCCATCGTCGGTGTTGCCGTTCTGCTCCTTGGCGCCTTCTACTGGTTCGTTTGGACCAAGTTCTGGCCGTGGGTTCGCGGACACAGCATCGTGGCGGAGAGAATCGTCGACGAGGATGGCAATGAGGTCATCAGGTACAAGAAGATCAAGAGGGCATAAATGCTCTCTTGAACGCATATCACTATTACGGATTAATGATGTTTCTTTTGGGAGTTAACGGTTATTGTTTTTGGTTGGAACACACACTTTGTTTTGGCGGGCGGTTTTGTTCAAGATACCCTTGTTTATCACATGACGACTATCTTTATAGTATCTAATAACCCTATTCAACAGAGGGTCTGGCATCTTATTTGCCATCATCATTTTTTGGTTCCTTTCCATGCTGTTCATGTGACAAACGACGCAGTGCAGTTGAATGCTTTCCTGGGTTATTCTTGGTGTAATTAGCATTGAAAACTGATGTCAAACCAACGCCCATTTCCTTGCGCAATCACCTTCACACAATAAAGGGCCAAAACGTTCCAGACGTTGAACAACATTCATGCTATGATCAGCAACTTTTAACATCCTGGCAACTTCCAATTTCCAACGCAAGCACGCAATCGCTGAGATTTTTTCTGTGCACCTTGTCCCTTGAAACCTCACCGCCTGGAACGTTGATCTACCCAGGAACTACCCGACACTAACAGTTCGGCGAACGGGTACCATAGTTAGCGGAGATCCACCTTGTCTCCGAGCAACTTACAAGAAGCTTAGCGCCAGGTCCAGCGCTTACCCCTGAGAAATGTAAACAGACTGATCCCAAACAACAGAAGGGACGGACCCACTTGGTGGTTTGGGGTCAACGAGATGGGATGTGATGAGATGAATGGGACGGATGGGATGGATTATGGTTGCCAAAGGATTTGGAATGATGCTGATCAGTCGGATCGGATAAGGTTAAGACTGCTGCAGGGCCAGCGCATTGATAGTCAGGGCGCAGCAGAGGCGGACTTGGGGTTATCAAGTGTTAGAGTTGCGTTAATTTAGCGTTGGTTGGCGTTAGCAAGACACCAGAACGACGCCAGAGAAACACCAGAAAAATCTTGGAGAACGCGAAGAATGTCGCTAGTTTAGTTCGACACGTGCAAGACTTTTCGAGATTGAAGATGTGTAAGATCCAACGATCTAACGATCAAGACAGATATGGCGATCACCGGCAGGATAGCAAGCGGTTCGATACGGATACCGAAGACCTGGATGGAGTGCGAGTAAGAACCCCAACTCCCAGCTTCCCACCCGCATTGCGTGCTCGACAACTCCAGGGTTCAACCAAGCACATCTGATCAACAACTTCACCGGCTCGCCGCGTGTTCGAGGGTTCGCAGTTCGCATATCAAAACCCCAACGACGAAACCGCAAGCCACAATGCGGGGAGGAAATTTACATTTTACCGAGACACGGGGTTTATTCACTGGGATTCACAGGGCAAATTAGAGTTCGCACTAACGTTATCTTGCGCAATGCGTTGGGCAATGCGTGCGTTAGGGTTGGACGTTGTCGGGGCTTGTGGCTCGTGGCCCGTGGCTCGTGGGAGCTAGGGAGAATCCCAGGAACATAAAAGAAGCACGTGCTTGGTGAATCGACACAGATAAAGCTGGGAAGGAAAGCGATGATAATGGCAGGTTCCGTTGGCGGTGTTTTGGGGTTTGGAGAGTGGTGGGAGGGTTGAGAGTTGCCGTCCGAACTCTGGAACTGGAAGTGCTCGCTGGGGGTGGGAGCTTGGACTTTCTGACTCGTGCCCGAGCGGAGACGCAGGACTTTGACCCGGTAGTGAGTTTTAACGGGGATATCCTGTTCACGAAGAGATGGTGTAAACGGACGACGTGTGCCGGGATCGGAGGAGTACCGCACGCAGTACACTACCAATTTGTTCTTGAACACCATGATTTCATCGGTTATAACAGACTAGAAGAAGCCAATAATACATGCCCTAAATAGTTGGAGCATATACAGGTACGTTCGGATTGTTGTACATCCCCTAGACATGATGATTGGAGAACACAGTCGGAGTGTCTAGCTGTCTGGGAGGTATACTTGGCCTTTGGACCAGTACGGAACACCAGCCGTACACACGAAATACCGACACAGACACCGACAGCCAGCACCGAGAGCCGGACACATACGGAATCCAGAAAGAAGACAAGCGTGATAGGCTGAAACCATCAGTGGCTTGTGGGGAGTCGAGAGAAGCTTACGTAGCTCTGAGGTTGGCAGTGGGTTTCCATGGCAGTAGCTCGAGAAGTTGAGGCTATTCAGGACCAATCAGACAGTACAGGCAGCGAGGGTATGGAGACTTTGAAGTGGGAAGTGAAGTGGGAAGTATCTGTGACTCCGCGGGAAGGAAAGACGGAGAGAAGTAAAGAAGCTAGAGAGGTTCAGGTCCCTTTATCTGTTGGAAGGAGGGAAGGTACGTACCTCTACCAGTGCCAACGTGACTGGTGGTCTCTGAGGCTCTATCGTTCCTTCACGCGGGCCAAGTCACACAGCTTGATCGTACCTACCTCGTTGGAAGAGACCACCCCCGTTTTATCATGGCTACTCGCGATCAGCCGATGTGTCGAAATTCCGTAGTTGACGACGTTCTGGGATAGCAACACGAAGGCCACTCGATGGCTTCTGGGAGGTTAAGTCAAGCGAGAGATCATCGTCAAGCCAGATCTTCGCCACCTACCTACTGAGCTACCCTATAAACCCATGATAGTTCTCACCTTTCGTTTCTTCCCGTCCCGAGATTGCCGACCTTCCCATCCGTCACCCGACAACTACCACGGCGAGCACGGCACTGCCATCTGGATGACAAGACGGACCAACTTCCGGCCCCCATTTGCTTCTCAGTTTCCATTCTTCTTCCCCTAAGTGGTCGAAGTCGACGTGATGTGTTGTACACAGTACCTCCAAACTCCCCAGACACTCACTCACCTTCTTCCAGTACATAGCTTCCTGCCATCCCATCGTTAAACACTGTCGCTTTGCCATGTACACAGTACCTCCCAACTCCCCAGACACTCACACACATAATCGTTCGACAAGCGGAAACCCCCCGCTGAAGAGTGAGGATACCGGCCTTTGACCGAGACTTGCCCGAGCTTTTCAACAAGCCCTCTAGCATCGACACCCGCCTTCTCATCCACCAAACTTCTCCCCAGCCTCTCCAACCTCCAGCGTACGTGTACAGGTTCGATTCATGAGAAGCTTGGCTTGCAGGCGGTTATTTCCGACATCTCCACCGGCTGGTGAGCAACTTGCGCTTCGCTATGTGCATCTGCTCGTCCCTCCACCTTCTCCCCCTCTGTACGAATGTGTGATCGCAAAACCGGGGAGTGACACTTAACCTTGGTTGGCTCTTGAGAAGTGGCCGTATAGCCTATGCCCCTGTGGAACGCGACGCCAACCTTGTTTGTTAGGTTCAGCCTTCCCCTGGCGCTGAGTGGGATTAACAAGGCTGTTGGCTTCCTTATACGGCTGGATACATCAGACTACTGGGGTGAATAGCTCACAATTGAACAGATAAGTCGAGGGGGGGTTCGATAAACAAGTGTTGATTGAGATTTGACTAGATTACTATCCAATATCGTATGCGAAAATCAAAAGCCCCCTTCTCACTTCGTAACTATCTAAGCTCACGGGCCGCTCACTGATTAATTGAAGCAGCTGACAGGCAAACAAGCAAGCAAGCAATCTGCATGGGCTCAACGTGTCGTGTGACCCTAAAGCTTCACCATCAGGAGTCCAGGAATCTTGGAATTCTGGAATCGAGGCTAGGTACATGTGCAGTAAGATGCAGCAACCCTTTCGATAACGCATGTGGTAGTGCACTGATAATGCCAGCTGATAGCTGCGCTGCATGCCCCAAGCCAGCTTATCAGACCTTTGCAGGGTCGAAATCAGAGAATTTGAGTGTGCGTCGCCGGAGGTAGGCAGAGATGCTGCCGTTCCGCCAACTCTGCCACCGCCACCGCCACCTCGGCCTCCGTCTCGGTGCTCGGGGTTCTCGGGGTTCTCGGGTGGATGGTTCGGCCGCATATTCGGTTAGGGCAGGGAGTTCGATCGTGCTCGAGGCTGCGTCTTAATGCTACGTTCGCGAGTGTTGTGATTGTCGAGAGGGTTGCGGGGCTGTTGACTGATCTGTTCGCTCCGAAGTCTGGCTCGCTGGTGGTAGTTGTCGTTGTTGTTGTTCTCGGGCTGATTCGGCCTGGAGGGTGAAACCATCATCCCCATCCAGAGATAGCCACGCCCGCGGTAAGCAGGACGATTGCGAGGCTCTTGGGGAGGTTGTTGTTGAGGCTGGACGTTTTGCTGAGGCATGGCTCTCGCTCTCGCTTGGTTGTCATGGATACGGTTGTTGTTGTCGTTGTCATTAATCGCAGGCTTATTGCGGTCCCACTCAGCCTGTACAGCCTTCCCGATCCTCGCCTTCTCCCTCGCCAGCTTCAGCTTCAGTACCCTCTCCGCCTCCATCTCGTTACGCCTTGCCAGCGCTAGCTCCCTCACCATCAACCTCTCCAGCTCCAGCTCTCTTCTAAACTCTCTTGCCCGCTCCTGAGACCGCTCTTGAGATCGTAACTTTTCCTCCGTCCACGTCTCTTTCCAACCTCGCCCCAAATTCCGCCACCGATCCTTGATTATTCTCAGAACGCTGGGTTTATTGCGACGGGGCTGCAGCTGCTCCTCTGGCGGAGGTCCGTTTTCAATGGCGGGATTGACGGCGTCATCGACGGCGGCGGTGGCGGCAGCATAGCCATGATCGGGTGGCCCCCAACAAGTTCTGTGCCATGTGTGGCGCCGATCATCCAAGCTGTTGGCACTTAGTTAGCAATATAGTCTATCAAAACAATAGGTGGGAAAGGAGTGAGGGGAAGAATGGGCTGGCCTACCTTGACTTGTTGGAGGCGCCACACTCGTAGCAAAATGACCAGGAACATCTACACTTGATTATGTGGCAGCCCCTGACCAGTTCGATCATGTAGTTGCACATTGGGCATTGTTTCCACCCTTTCTTCTTGCCCAGAGCGAGCACCTTGAGTGTATCCTGGTCTTGGGTGCAAACCACGGTCGGGTGGTAAGGCTGACGGCAATGTTTGCAGGTGCTGGCGGAGCACTCGAGACAAATAGCGAGATCGCTCTGAATCATATCGGGTTTGATGAAGCTGCTGCACTGAGGGTTAGAGCAGTAAACCGGGCTTGGTGTGTTGATCTCCACGACCATGTCCTCGTACGCCTCCTTTTCCTCGGCGGACAAGGAGACACATGAGTACTCGTTTGTGTTGAATGTCTTGCCGCAGCAGCGGAATGGATAACGACCCTCGGTTGCACTGCGGATGCCGTCGACGAGGCAGCCGTCGCAGTAACCGTGGCTCGCGTGAGAGGTGTTCGATTCCGATGTTGTTTTGGAATAAGAGGCAGAGCAAAAATAAATGAGCTGGTCTGTCGGGTGCTCCTCCATGCACACAACACATTCGGAGCTCCTGGGATCTTCGGAAGCATCGTCACAGTCGACTGTGGTGGAGGTATAACGGTCCCTGTGACTTTTAGGGTCCTCATCGTAGTCGGTAGTTGCGGAGTTGACGACCATGATGTTCTTGTTGAGGGATGTGGAAAGCCGGTTTGTTGAGTGTCTCGTCAGCGGGAGCGTCGTAGTCTCGATATTGTCTCTGCTGATCTTAACCTTTGCTTGAAATTTCTCCAAAAAGGCGGAAAACTGTTTCTCAAGGCGCACGATTTGCGAGGGATGAGTCTGGCTTGTGTGATGTCAGATTTTTGACACCAAAACCGAGGCGAGGATGATCAAGAGCCGTCCACAAAACAGAATGGCCGTGCCAGAGATCTGGAGGTAAGGAGTTTGACGATGCGATGGACATTTAGCATAGTCTATGCACTTTCGGACTTGGCAGAGGCTGTGGACGGGAAGCAAAAGGGTCTGATGATGGTGGCAGCATGCTGCTTTTATATGATAGCTATGGCTCTTGCCTGGACCACGGTGTCTTTAATGAGCACATGTCCGCAGGAAAAGCGGGGGATGCTGCAGTAAAGGACCAAGTCTGCCCCCTCATGCCCTCTTATCGGAAACGTGAATGACCAGCTTGCCGTGCGTCTTGCCCTTCCTGAGGTCCCCGAAGGCTGTCGGAACATCCTCAAAGTCATAGGTATGCTCAATCACAGGCTTGACTTTGCCCTCTGCGACCATCTGGCCGAGTATCGTCAAGTCCTGGTGTTGATCGCTCGTCAACGTGTACAACTGAAACTTGCGTTTTCCGCCACCGAGAAAAGAGGGTCTTAACAGCCTGGACATTGTCGAAGACACGGCAGCTAAGGACATAGGCCCGCCGACCTGCACGAACTTTCCATCGGGCAAGAGATAGTCATCGCCGGCTTTGTACAGTTCCGCCGGCAAACCGACATTGTCGACGGCGAGCTTGAAGACTTGACCGCGTTCTCGCAAGGCCTGGCAGACATCGACAGCTGTGTAGTCGATGATTTCGTCGGCGCCCAGGGCCTTGCACTGTTCGGCTTTGGCGGCAGAGCATGAGACGGTGACATGGCAGCCGAGAGCCTTTGCAATTTGGATGCCAAAGGAGCCAACACCACCGGAACCTCCATTGAGGAAGACCTTGTCGCCAGGCTTGACATTGGGAGCAATGGTCTGGTAGGCGGTCAATCCGGCGCAGGGGATGGAGGCGGCTTCGTCGACGTCGACGCCCGAAGGCAAGGAAGCACAAGCCTTTGCCGAAGCCACGATGTATTGACCACAAGCGCCCTGCTGAGTAGGGGGTTGACGACCAAACACAATCTCGCCGACACGGAAGTTGTCGACAGTATTGGTGGTCTTGACGACGCGTCCGCAAAAGTCCCAGGCGGGAGTGGCCGGAGTGCGGACGACAGCACGGCCCAGATTCAGGGGCAGTTCGGCGACCTTGTAGTCTGAAGGGTTGATGCTCGCGCTGAGAACCTCGATGAGCAGCTCGTTGTCGCCCACACGCGGCGAGAGGGTGGGCACGTGAACATCGTCCTTGAGCACCAGGTTCTGTTCCAGGCCACCAGTGGTCTGTGAGTACTGCCAGGCGCGCATCGTAGGGGGGATATCGAACGACATGGTTGGGACTCGATGGTCGCGGATCTGGTGATCAACAGTTGTTGGTGTTGACTATCGCTTCAGTGGTAAATGTTAGTGTCAAGCTGTTCCGTGAGACCAGGAGCTTAACAGAATGTCGTGGTGCTCTCAGCTGCAGTCAGGAACAAATTCGAGGTTTGGGGGGGACGGATGACTTCGCAGTTGAACTAGATACACTTGGCAAGCTCGGAGAAAACGGAAGATGGAAAGAGTGTTAGGTTGTTGCAAGCAGATAAAGAGAAAGAATGCGGCGTCGTCGTCGTCGATAGTCCAGAGCTGAATGCCAAAAGCGGGAGGGTGCACAGACCATCATGACCTCATCATTGGGTTCGACGCGCGGGGGTGTCCTGACACAGCAGGAATGCCTATCAATAGTGACCTCTTTATTCAAAAACACCATCACATACGAGCGGGCTCATGCTTTGACGTTGTCTTCGAAGCTAAATCCGAAATAATAATCAACAAATAGGTATACCCAAGAGCTTCTCTACAAACGTCATCAACCGCAATGCTGATAATAAAAGGCAGTGACTCCCCGACGCCAAGTCTCCTGTGATGACGGATATACGTTAGATAACCTGCTATCTGGAACTCCAGCTATTACCAGCCAACACACTCGTTAGAGCTGCCTGAGCTGTTAGCAACTAAACTGGATTGTTGCACGCTCTCGCTGTGCCTGCGACATCAAGCGCCCCCCAGAGTCACAGCTTCAATTCCGTCTCAAGATATGCAACACCACTTGGATCTATTTAAAAGAAAACGGGTACCCGTCGGCAACATGCCGAAACTTGGGATGAGAGCGGCCATCATCAAGCCGCTATCACTGCCACTGCCGCAGACACCCGAGTGCCAATACAAACTATGCCTGCTATGCCACATGCCACCAAAGCTTTAGAACAAAGGCCCCCTGGCCCCCTACTTTACATGTTGATTATCAATATGAAGCAAACTGCATTCGCGCATCAAACACCATGAGGACGGGTTACATCCAACTTTATTTAGGTTGCGCTAACGATTCTTTGAGCAGATTCTCTCCCCAAAGCAGACACCATCGAGCCTCAAATGCTTGATACCATGTTTGCCTCCCAACAGTCCGGATGAAAGGCTGCTCCCGAGTCCCGTTCGCACTTGGAAACAACCATTACCACGTGGTCTGTCGGGACGATATAGCTTCCCACCATGTCAACAACTTCCATAATTTACAAAGGCCGAGTCTTATCCTTCGCCCCACTCTCTTCCTGAACCAACTTGAACTTTGCCTCAACGGCCTCACCTACTCACGATGGATTCGGCCGATGCTCCTGACAACACGAGGCATGGCTATGAGATGCTGGGCGTTAATCTTGGCTCGTGGGCACTCGCCTTCATCGCCGTCGCCCTTCGTGCCTACACCCGTCTCTGGCTCAGGAGGGACTGCTTCGGGACTGACGATATCCTCATGTTCATTTCCATGGCCTGCTTCACGACATACGCTGCCTTTGCTATGAGCGGGCTCGTCCAAGGATCCAAGACCGATGACTATGCCATCTCCACGTCCAACAGTGTTACAGAAGCCAAAAAGGTGTGTATCACACATCCCCCAAGGGTCAAGCCCGACCGAGTTCTTGCCTAACCTGACGGCGTTCTCAGTTTTGGTGGGCCTGCTATCACGCCTACGCCCTCACCATCTTATTCGCCAAGCTATCCGTCAGTTGGTTCTTGCTACGCCTCACGACCATCAACAAAATACACAGATACATCATCTACGGCAGCGTAGTAATCGCAATCTGCAATAGCACTGCCTTCGTGTTTTTTACGATATTCCAGTGCACACCGGTTTCCTACTTCTGGGATGATGTGACACAACCCGGGCAATGTGTTAGACCTCTCGTGGCGGAATATGTGTGCAGTGCCTTGAACATCGTTACCGATCTCGTCTGCGCGCTGCTCCCAGCTTGGATTATTTATCATTTGAAGATCAGGCTTAGGACGCGGATTGCCCTCATGACACTGATGGGCATGGGTTGTTTGTACGTATTTACTTTTTGCTTCACTCGAAACTTGGATCACCCGCTAACTTCAAGAAACCCCACAACAGTGCAAGCTGCGCAGTTATAGTCCGCATGACATACTTCAAACTGCAAATCGAGAACTCGAGCTCAACCGACCTCAGCGACACAATGATACGCTCGAATTCGGTCCCCCTCATAGCCAACATAGCTATCTGGTCCAGCGTGGAACAAAGCCTGGCCATCACAGCGGGTAGTCTAGCCACTCTACGCCCGCTGCTCAAAAAGGTCGGCCGCAAGCTCGGATTTGCCAGTGGTACAACCGGGTCTACATACGACATTGAACATGGCCCGAGGGGACCACCGGTGGTGCTTAAGGACCGCGCAAACTCCTTGTTTTCGAGAAAAGGACTGTCGGGGCCTACAGGTAGCGATGCGGTGCTGCTTGAGACAACGACGGCAGTGTCATTTGACGGGGCGCATGTAAGTTGGGGTTATGGAGGAAGACAGGGAAATCACCTATGGACGAGGCTAACCAGAGTTCTTTTTGGAGCATATTCTAGACACGTTGTTGTTACGAGAACCGTCGACAAAACCCCGTCATTGGAAGGCGATCAATCACACTCAGATTCTACGTCTTCATGGCCGCCGAAGACGTAGTTCGTCCTTCGTCGGTGCCCGCCCGTTGCGTCTACCAAGCATCAGCGAGCCATTACTCTTTGATTTAGCGCAGTTAAACACGCTCTCTTTCCCAATGCGTCGCAATCCCTGGATAGGCCATTCTTTGTGCTTTCCTTACCTTTCAGACATTCCGTTGAAGGACTTCAGGGGTATTTCAAGGATCACGGCTCAGATATGCTGGCGGGGTCTGGAAGGTAACCGCCAGATATGGGGGCAGCAGTCAACAGGTCATGAAGACAAACTACGGGGACGCAGCAGTCAAGGTCATGGGAACACAGTACTGAAAGAGCACACGCGGAGGATGGACAATCAGAACCAGAGCTAATCGATCAGACGTTCACCTCACGCAAGACGAGGTACCAAACGCATACGAAAGTAGCCAACTATCATCATTCACAAGTTCTCATTGAGAAGTTCAAGTGGTTATACCATGATTACGAACGAAATGCTATTGTTCCCGATACTCCCATCCATTTAAATCCCAGTCCATAGCCCTGTCTCTCGGCCCAATGCTCAAAACCGCCAACATCACCAATAAGTTCCACAACATTCTCAGTTCATTTCCTTCCTTGCTTTAACCCTCCAAACTATCAAATCACATGATAGAATAGAGGTCAACAACAAAGCCAGCCAAATCTCATAAAGAACTTTGAAATGATATTATTATCTCATGATTACAAAACACATTCGCTAATGATCCATCCTCCCTTGACCAGATCCCTGTCCCGTCTATCCCGTCCGTCTCCCTTGCCTTTAACTCCACAAAGCCTTTACAACCCACCACCACCTTAGTTCTTCTTCAACCCCTCCAAAATATCCACCGCCGCCTTCTCCGCAGCAAGATACGTGCTAACCGCCGTAAACGTGCCCGGAATCCTAGGATACACACTCGCATCGACAACCCTCAATCCCTTGACGCCCCTAACCCTAAACTTGCTATCCAACACCGCCATGGGGTCCCCATCCGCCCCAATGGGACAAGTGCTAGAAGCATGGTGTCCCCACGCTCCGTCCTTGATGAACTGCTCTATCTCCCCATCGCTCTGGATATCCGCCCCCGGCCTGACCTCCTGCGTGCGCACCACCTGTCTCTTGAGCGCGTCGCGCGCAAGGCCGATAGCTTCGCGCATGGCGGTCAGGTCGGCTTGGTAATCGCCGGACCCGAAGTCGAAGTAGTTATAGTTGATTACCGGGGTGTCCAACGGGTTGGAGGAGCGAAGAGACACGGTGCCGGCTCTGTTACGCGGGTGCGCTTTTAAGATAGCCCACGTCCACCAGTCGTGTTCCGCAGTGATGTCTACCGAATAACCGGGGTAGTAACCAGCAAAGTTCACGGGGCCGCCAAACGTAAAAACGTCGTAACTATCATCTGTCGTGACCGAGGACTTGTAAAGCATAGCGACCGCCAGACCGGAAGAAGCATATGTCCCCCTATCGCCCAAAACGGGGTTTAACCACCTATCCAAGCACGGGTCGGAGGTGTTCCCGTAGAGCTGGAAAGTACATCCCTTGAGAGCAGTCCAGTCCTTGGGAACCTTCACGTTGACGCCGATCTCGTAGTGATCCTGCAAGTTCCCGCCGACGCCGGGGAGGTCGACCAACACAGGGATGCCGAACTTTTCGAGCTCCGTGCGCGGGCCGATACCTGATAGCTTGAGGATTTGCGGGCTGTTGTAGGCGCCGCCGGAGATGATCACCTCGCGCGAAGCGTGGGCGGAGCCGGGAGTGCCGTTGGGGCGGACGTTATTGGCTCTGTTGGCGGAAAGGGGAGAGGCGCGGTAGAGGTGTGCGCCGTCGAGGAATTCGACGCCTGTGGCGATAGGTTCTGAGGAAGAGGAGGAAGTGTTGAAGGTAATGCGCGTGACGTGGCAGTTCAAGCGTACGTCCAGGGGGTACTTTTTGCTGCCGTCGGGCTTGCGCGCGTCACGCACGGCGACGACGAAGTCACGCGAGCCGGAACGGGCGCCGTTCTTGCTGCTGAGGGGCGTCTCGTAGTAAGCGGGCTTCTTGTCGCGGGCAATGGTGTTGGCGTTGAGATCACCCGCGAGAACGGTGGCGAGGTTGATGGGTGATTGGGTGATGTTCCCCAAAGCGAAAGCGCCTCCTAGTGTCAAGGAAAGAAGTTGCGGGTCCTTGAGCGGGATGGTTAAAGGTGTGACTTCCGTGGAAAGCCAGCCGTCCCGGCCGTGGCCAGAGTATAGCCCGTTGACGTAGTTCTTGTCTTCCATGGAGACGAAGTGCTTGCGCATGTTGGAGGGCGACCACCCCTGATCGCCGGTTAGGTCGGCTAGGTACTGGAAGTCGGACTGGTGCGGGTAGACGGCGATGAGGGCGTTGTGGGCTGTGCAGCCGCCGAGGACGCCGGCGCGCGGGTAGAGCGTTCCCAACATCTCGGCGCCCTCGGGCGGGAAGAGACCGGTGTAGATGCTCCCGTCGGGGAGCCGGTAGCTGGTCTTCCAGTCGCGGGCTTGCTGCTTGTCGTCCGGGTAGTGGCGGACGTAGAAATCCCAGGACATCTTCTCGTCTTCGGAGGACCGGGCGTTGTAAGCTGGCACGGTCACGTTGATGTTGTTGCCTTGGTCATCGCCGGCTTCGATCAGGAGCGTCTTGTGGCCGGCCATGGCGAGGCGGGCGGCGAGGGGACCGCCGCCGGCGCCGGAGCCGACGACGATATATTCATAGCCTGTGAGCTCGACGGCCGAGGCGAGAGGGACGGCGGCGAAGGCCAGCCCTAGGAGACGACGGAGGATCATGATATGTGTTGTTTCTCGGTTGCTGCAGAACCTGGAGAAACAGAAGGGAGTGGGTAGAGTAGTGATGAGACTGGCAGCCACGAGGAGGAGGCTGTTCTTATACCATGTTGCTCGACACTGAGAGACCGGGAGGGGGTTGGACCCGTCAGTCAATGGTCTGGAACTGGAACTCCACACGATGTTGTTGAGTTGGTACAACCATGGCAAGCAACAAACAAGGATACAACATCGGTGTAGCCATGCACACCATCCAACATCTGGACCGGGGAACCTGCCTCGAGCCTGCAAATCATATCAGCCCGAAAGAGGTTCACAGAACCCACGAGGGCGGAACCTTTTGGCAATAGTCTGTTAGTGTCATGACGATCATTGTCCCCGTATGTACCAGGAAGTCGTTGCAAGTTTCAGGCTGTGTAAGGCAAGGCCCCTTCCTCCTTCATCTTGCTTTTTGGATTGTGTTCCCCGATGCAAGCCATGATTCGACGATAATGCACCATTAACAAGAAGTGTATCCTCAACCAGGCAGGAACCATGTTCAGACGGGGAAATCTGATCGCCGAACTAAAAATCCTAAAGGTTGGCAAACGGAAAGGTAAGGGTCACGGGGATGGGGGTCCGGGAAGGTATTCTAGACTAGGTGATCGTCTCTCTGGGTCTCTCTAGGGCTCTTTAGGGATCTCAAGCGAAAGCGAAATTCATCGACGACCAGCCTCCAATACCCCATAGGATAACCACCGACTTCCATTGTCATCAGTTCTTTTGAGAATGAATTATCGAACTCAGTCTGCTCGGATTCTGGTGAGGTAAACGAACTATTGGCTTCAAAAGTCCGAGTATCAGTCACGCCGCGACCAACGCACTTCCTCTCTCGAACATCAAAGGATACAATACTGTCCCACTTGGGGTAATGAAATTGCAATACGTCACCACACCTCACCGTGATTTAAAGAGGGTGTACCTATGTTATGGTGTCATGGTATGGTGGCATCGTGAGTTGAGGCTGCAATTCAATTTGCGACGAGGGGGAGGGAGAATTGAGGAAGAGCAATGCATCTCCCCCGCAAAGTCGCAAACAAAACAAAAAGTGGTGTTAACATCGGGGCACCGCAGATCGTGTTCTGCAGGATTGAGAAGCGGTTTAATCAGTGTCCACCATCTCCTGTTGAGCACTTAAGCTATTCCGCTTCCTAACTAGTGTAATTGGTTGAGCTTGACGGGAAAGGTGATGGCATTGTCGATCACTGAATGGGATTCAGTGATGGTGGGGAAATTTGGATTTGGTGGTGACCAGCACGACCCAGGACCTGGAAACGGGATTGACGAGGGGAGCAGGCTGCAGCGGACTCTGGTCCGTTCCGTCCAACAACAACCAACTTGAGGGATCAAACTGGGTAGGTATCGTCAGGGGAAGCTCAAACAGGAACTTGAACTCCAGGTTCGAGTCGTTCGTTCATTTGACTGAAGTTGGGAAGATGGAAATGAAGATGAGCTGGAAACCTTCCACTCCAGTCCAGCTAGGCAGGGGCATCATCGTGTTGGATGTCGCACAAACATCAAAATGACGATGACGGCGTCCGCCATTCAAAGCCATTCGGGTTCCCTTTCCCACGAATCCCATCTGTCCATCTACCCATCGCCACCAAATCTTGCATCCGGACGACGGTGAAACCTAGCGTATGACTGCCTAAAGATCTTCCGGGGGCGCAAGTTGAGGCTGAAGACAATACCACGACCAAGCCGACTGGTCTGCCTCAGGTAGATTGATCTCGTAACCCTTCCACGGGTTTGCAGGTGTTGATATCGTGGGCTGCATGGGTGTCCTGGTTGCTCCTCATTTTACACCACGAACCCTAGAGTCTCGAGCGATGAATGTTGAATCTCGAGCCCAGGCTTTCGGGGACGGAGACGGGGACGGGGGGCTTGAAATCCCCGAAGATGGATGTCTTATCAAGGAGGATGTGACGATGATAATCGCCCACAGTCATCAAAATCCATCATATCAAAGGGAATCAATAGTCTTCCCAAGAAGCGGAGTTTTTGCTTTCGAAGTTTCGATAGTTTTACAACCGTTGAAATACAATTTACTCCAGGCTCCTCTTCCCCAGAATGTCTTACGTACAAGCGAAGTCTGACGGGCACGGGATATGTACCCCAGAAAGGGGGAATGGAGACGAGGGCACGAGGCGGGAGGTGGAGCCCATGACATGAGGAGAGCGACAAGGTGAGAAGGTGAGAAGGTGAGAAGGCGGTGAAGTCGAGTGGTGAACTGAGAAAGGGTATTGTTTCCAAAATGATTAACAAAGGTGACGATGGTCTTTCACTTTTCTCTGCCTGTCCATATCATATCAACTGTACACATCAGTCCTGGTAAGTTTGTTAGCGTGCAACTTCAAAGCGTACCCTTCGCAACTCAACGAATATTCCACCAATTTTTATACCGAAAGCTGGTATCAACCCAGGGCGCTTTTCCCGGCTGATATACTGTCTCCAACTTTCCGTTTTGAGTGTGGTTATTCCATTGTTTTTTGGTGAAGCTTTGAGGACCCTTGTCACAAGAACCGCGCTAACAAACTCACCACGACTGATGTATATGACTTCGGTGGTTCGGTGGATATCTTGTCAAGATCCTCCACTGCCGCACCAATGACTTGATGCTCCCTTCCCTTTACAGCAAGAGTTTGCACAACCCCGTATGATCAACAGGCAACACGTACCTGTCGAGCTTGCTGTGTAAATTAGGAACCCGAACCATTCAATGCTGCTGGTCAATATTCACAAATAAAAGATGTGCCAAAACCAACACCAACACCAACACCAACACCAACACGCAAGTAGGCAATATCTTCGTACTGTAGCACTGGTTGGCTTCGTGTTGGTGATTTGGTGATTTGGCAATGCGAGAAATCGGACTTGTCATGAAATGAAGAACGTCAGCCAAGCCTGCCAAATGCGAATGTGCCTTGCATGTCCACGTTGAGGGTTGAGGTGGAGGTGGAGAGAAGGGTGGACTTGGCCGTCAGCTTTCATCCTTGGCACGGCGGGAAGCGGACTCTTACCTTCTCCGCTGTCAGCTCCCGGGTGACTTTAACAAGATGTGACGAGGCTGCAGAGAGCCTCCGTTGGTAATTTGGTATGAATGACTGGCCTTGTTCTAACAACGCCGAAACATCTAGTGCAACGGTGTGCATCTACTAGTGATACATGTGAATAGCTTCACTGGCGGCTGGCGGCTGGCGGCTATCCGCGACACCATTTGACAGTAACTCAGGATAATCGCAGAGGCGAAGGACCAACAAGTGATGAGAAAGTTATGAGTATTATATATATACCGAAAAATGCTGCAGGCGACGCTACACCTGCCACGATTTGGGGCGTTTATACATCGAGTGCCCCCTCTTAAATGTTCATGCCAACTCTGGCTATCCAAACATTATCCATCATAGAAGCCATTTCAGGCCATATTTTCCATTACAAATCATTTTATACATTCCAACGAGGGTAAGGGAAAAGGACACCTTAGACCCTCCCCTGGCGACCAACGCTCTCCACGCGGAAGCCCAACTTCTCCATGCCGGACACCTCCAACACTCCCCTACCATCAAACACCCAGTGAGGCTTGTGCATGTGGTAGTGGACCTTTCTCCAGTCGAGTCTGCCCTTGAAGACGTGCTCTTGTCCCGCTCCATACCCACTGGTACCCGTCACCTGCTCAATGTAGCAGTCTGGGCAGTCCTCAGCGCAGTCCGGTACGGGGTTGAAGCGATGTAATGGGTCCTCCTTATCCTCCGCGTCCGTTGACTGCAGGAGAAAGGTATGGAGAGCAAGGAGCTCAGTCTCAGTTGGCTCATCGCCCTTGAACGGCCGTGGGTCAGGGACAACAGCCTTGACGGGAGCGGCCTTGGGGGCTAGAACCTCGGCAGATGCCGATACTGGCTCGCCGGTATTTTTGAACTCGTCGAACTCGGTCGTAATCAGGAGCGCATCGGAGGAGTGACAGGCTTCATAAGCATCTGCATAGACGATGACAGGACCACCGTTCCTCTGTAGTACCTCGGCGCCGACATAGCGACCAATATCCTCGGCCATTTGCGCTGGGTTGCAGCAGGGGTCGTAGACGGCGATTTCTCGTGGCCCTTCCTCGACAAGCGTCCTGATAATCTCCACCGCTGGCGACTCGCGGGTATCATTGGTATCCTTCTTGAAGGCGTAGCCGAGGATGGTAAGCTTCTTGCCGATCAGGGTATTGTTGAGACACCTCACGACACGCGAAGCGAACCTGTTCCTGGCAAACTCGTTCATGGTGATGACGTTACGCCAGTAGTCTGCAACCTCGGGTAGTTGGAGGCTCTCGGCAAGGTAAGCCAAACTGAGCACATCCTTCTTGAAGCAGCTGCCACCGAAACCGATACCGGCCTTGAGGAACTTGCTGCCGATACGGGGGTCGGCACCAATTGCGCCTGCGACCTCGCTGACATCGGCGCCAGTCGCCTCGCACATGGCCGCAATCGAGTTGATACTGCTGATGCGCTGGGCGAGCATGGAGTTTGCAACAAGCTTGGCGAGCTCGGAACTGAACACATTGGTAGTGATGATGCGTGACCTCGGGATCCAGGCGGAGTAGACGGACGCTAAAGCGGCGGCAGCGCGTTGACCAGATGGCGTAGGATTGGAGCCGATCAGGATACGGTCTGCGTTGAGAAGATCCTTGATAGCAGTTCCGGCAGCCAAGAACTCGGGGTTGCTGAGAACCTCGAAGTGAACGCCGGGCCTATGAAGCGCAAGCTAGGGCACAGTTAGCCGGTCAAGCCCTCTCCTCAAAAAGATTGATTCTCCTTACAGTGTCTTGTACAAACTGCGCTGTCCGGCAGGGAACCGTAGACTTCTCTACAATGATGGCGCCCGGCCGAGCATGTTGAGCAACCACGTTGGTAACCGCCTCGAAAGCAGTCATATCCGTCGCAGCACCTGCGCCAGCACCACGGATCTTGGTTGGTGTGTTAACCGCAATCAGAACGATGTCGGCTTCGCTGATGGACTTGCCCACATCGGCTGTGAAGAAGAGGTTCGGCTGGCGGGCAGCAATGGGTTTGGAAACATGGTCTTCGCACTGGCTGCCGCATTCTGAGGCCGGGGTAGAGGCATCAGAGACATCCGGGGTATTCGAAGATGTGGTGTTTGTAGTAGAGAGGGGCCTAGTCTCGATGGCGCATTCCTTGGATCCGTCTCGGGCAATGCGCAGGATGTGGTTCAAGCCGGGCTCATAGATGGGGGGATGTACGGAGTTCCATCTTTGAATGCGCTTCTCGTCCTTGTCGACTACCGTAACTCGGATATGGGGGTTGTTGAAGGCAATGACAGCCGCAGTAGGGCCACCTGGAGGTTTGTTAGTCTACGAACACTTGACTGTGACCTCCACATGGCTGTAAGACTCACCAACGTAGCCAGCGCCAACGCAGCAGATGTTGCGAGCTGGTGGTGTCCTGGCCGTAGTGTCGAACAACGTGGACGACAACGACCTGGAGGCACTCTGGGGCTTCATAGCGGGGATCCCCGGTTGTTGATCCGCAGCCTGAAGGACGGGACTGAAGGACAAGTTGCTTCCTGGGGTCGTTGGCGCAGTGGAGACGTCGAGACTAACGTCGTTCCCCAGATCGAGTGTCGAGGGCAACTGATGGGCCATTGCTTTGTTGCAAGTGTTTCTCCCAGAGACAGGCGGTGATGATGGGGAGAAAGGGGGCAGCGGAAGGGAGGAAGGGAGAAACAAGTGGGAATTCTAGGGAATGGAGATGAGGGAGGAAGTGAACTGGACACTTGGACTACTTCCACTCTGAGAAAGCAGGAGACATGGCCCGACACAGCGCCAGTGGGATGGTCTAAAAAGAGGCTGCCAAGAATGGAGAATCCGGCTTTAGTGCGTGTGAAAGCGAACGATTCCGGGGAAGAAAGGGGAGCGACGGGCGTGAGGGCGGCGAGGCTTCAGGAATGGTTAGATTCAGGAGGCCAAGAGGGTGGACATGACGAAAAGGTGGAGCGGTGGAGGTGGATCGGCCGGGTTGTTACATGTCGAGGGTATTTCCATCTTCCATCCGTCGGCCAAACACGACATGTCGACAAGAAAGTCCTGAGCAGGGTCTTGGTATTAGTCGGGCTTTTCTTGGACTTGGCCATTGTTGGTGGGATTGGATCTCACTCACATCCTGCCTTTGTCTGTTCCTGTCCGCCATGGTGTGAATACCGCCGGGCATCACAAATCAACCCCCTCAGAGACAACTTAACATGTCCATCATATTGAAGCGCTCTTCTCTTCCGGCGCTGTTGTTGACATTGGCATCTTGACGAAAACGGGAATGAAGAAAAGTTATGTCTTGTCTCAGACAGAAACGAACACGACAGACGGGAACAAGCACATGAATCTGCAAGGTGCAAGCGGCCTGTAGGTACACATGCACAAGAAGCCGAGGGAAGAATCGTGATGATTGTTCCTCAACGGTCCAGTTGGCGCCGACAAGACTGATTCGAGTTGAGGACTTGCCCGAAGTTGATCTTTGGTCCGATTTCCTAGTCTTGTCAACTTGTCAATTGCAACTGCCAGTGTCCAAAACATCGAGCAACGTCCACCGCTGCTACCGTCTGATGTTCTTTTTGCTCGCATGTGTTGGTCTTGGCGGGCGTGATTCCTGGCCCTCAGATTTCTCAACCGGCCAATCATTGGACCGAACTTGGAGAAGTGGACCCCAACAGTCAGGGGCCAAGAAACCTTCCGCTGCATGGACGGGGATGTTCCCCTCCTCATCCAGGACGCGCGTCTGTGCCAAGTTTGGAAAACGCGTAGAATGTCCTGACTGTGGCTGCCACTTTGCGCCGTCACATCCGAGAGAGCAACTGCGATTCAATTCAGGAACTGCAAGTGCAACCAACAACTCTTCCGAGACCACCAATTCGCATCGCTATCTTCGAAAAGGAAGGCGCAACAGCCATCGTACCAGGCAGCGACACTCTGTCACTTGCCAGGCGCGCGAACAATGTCCTCGACTGGTCGGTGAGCCGCGGCACAAATCGAACTTGGCCCAATCGCTCCCTCTCTGCCCTTCCGAGAAACAACTTCCATCATCACTTCATCAGATTGGCAGTGTTCGAATCCTTTCGTTGTGCTTATCCTCCCACTTGTCCGATCCAGTTTCGCTCGTTACCAACAATCCTCGACCGGCCATTCGGACACCATGATCTTTCCAAGGCGTCAATCGCGCAACAGCCAGTCTCCGTCCGATGAGCCACGCCCGCTCAAAGAGAACATCCGATCCGATCGATACCTACCACGCGCTTCCACTATATCTTCAGATCCCACCTTCGAGACGATACACAAACATCAAGCGATGGTACAGTATCGAAGCTCAACGCAAGTTTCCAGTGTGTACTGGCATACTATAATAAGCCAGGATGACGTACCGTGTGTCCTTCCCGCACCGCGGGAGCACCGTAGCATTGGAGCTATTGGTAACAAGAAACACCATCCCTTACCCATGCCATCCCGTGATCCCTCGTTGTTTTAGCCTCAACAGAAATCCCCGACGGCGAGTCTGCGACTGCTTACTCTTCAGCTGTTCTTACATCGCACGCGGAGCCGCAAGATAGCAATGGCAGTCCACGTACCAGTCGTGCTGCAGAAACCTTGACCGTTGAGAGGCACACTTCTACCTAGGCACAGCTACCCAATGGTGGCGGTGAGCATGGGGTGTCAGGGCCCTATCCATTGATGGGCGGTATTCACATCTCATACCCTGAGCGGTAGTGGGCCTGCTCGCGAACAAATGCCCCGACGGCTTCTAATTTCGAGAGTGCCGGTGGTGCAGGGTATCGTGTCTCACGGGGGTGCATTTCGGGGACGGGATCTGGATGGGATTTGGACGACAGCTGGCCTTTCATTATCCGGAGTTCGGACCCGGGCCCGGGCCTGGAAGCATCGCCGGAGAACACGACGACCGGGGTACAACTACTTGACTCTGGCGCGATCTTCTTTTACGCATAGTGAAAACTGCTCTTCTTCACAAGTTCTTCGACTTACATAGCAATCACTTGTTCTATGGCCGTTATTTCCCCTGAATGGATTGATTTGATTCAGGCTTGTCATGGTTCGGCGCCAACATCGCATCCGACTGGGCGTGTACAGCAACAAACGGTCTTTGCCCACAGACATGGCATCTTTACTCTAAAATCGATTGCTGTCTGGGTTGGTCTTCGTTTTCTTGATCAATCCGTTTAGTTGTTCTATTCAACAGATGTCGCCAGAACCGGTCTTTTGTAGGGTTTGAATAGGAATATCTCCCGGCCCCACCGGCATGGAATGCGCGTAAACGACATGGAAACCCCCCAAGCAGAATCTATGCATAGCTTCTTCCCAAATTCTTCCCTCCGTCCTTTCGGCATGCAAACCCATTCTTCAGGGCCTTGAAAGGCGTCTGTTTCTGCACTTTTCCTTTTGGCGTGCATGCTCGTTTGGTCATCTCAGCAGGAACACTATAAGACAGGGTCTGCGGAATGGGAAAGTTGAGACCCGAATACCACCACCATCATCAATTCACAACTACATCAACCCCACAAACCGTCACGATGAGTACCCTCAAGAACGAGGTGCTCAAGGAGCTTGCATCCAAGGACCAACTCCAGCTCCTGGATTCCATCGACCGTCTTCGCCGACAGGGCATCAACAAATTCGTCTCCCTCCCCCAAATCATAGTGTGCGGAGACCAGTCGTCCGGCAAAAGTTCTGTCCTTGAAGCCATATCCGGGGTCGCTTTTCCCGTCAAGAGCAATCTGTGCACTCGATTCCCTACAGAGTTGGTCTTGCGCCGCACTCCCCATCAACGCGCCAGGATCACCATCGTACCGCACGAGTCCAACCCTGAAACCCAGCGCGCCGCCCTCCAAAACTTCCGCGAGAAGCTCAATGGCTTCGATGGCCTACCAGACATCATTGAGAAGGCCAAGGGCGTCATGGGCATCACGCCTCATGGCAAGTCGTTTTCCAGGGACATATTGCGCGTTGAGGTCACGGGTCCTGACCGTCCTCATCTGACCGTGGTCGATCTTCCCGGCTTGATTCATACGGAGACCAAGTATCAGTCCAGCACCGATGTCGCTATGATCCAGGAAATTGTTCAACATTACATGAGGCAATCTCGAAGTGTTATTCTCTCCGTTATCTCGGCCAAAAACGACTTCGCCAACCAGATCGTTCTGAGGATGGTGAGGGAGGCGGATCCTGAAGGACAGCGGACCTTGGGCATAATCACGAAGCCGGATATGCTGGTCCCGGGGTCAGAGAACGAGCTACAGTACGTGGACTTAGCCAGGAATCAGGAGATTGTTCTACGTTTGGGATGGCATGTTCTCAGAAACAGAGATTCGGAAAGAGAAGAGGGCGACCAAGAGAGCCGCGATGCGAAAGAGACGGAATTCTTTGACCAGGGCGTCTGGCTTGACCTACCACGCTCGTCGGTTGGTGTCAAGACACTGCGCACGAGGCTCATTAAACTTCTTCTGAGGCAGATTGCTACTGAACTTCCCAGCTTGATGACGGAGTTGGCTCACAAATATTTCTCCTGCAGCGAACAACTTGAGGCATTGGGAGAGCCTCGCGTCACAGAGCACGATCAGCGACTCTACCTCTTCCAAGTTGGCCAGGAGTTCTCAACTCTGGTCAAGTCTTCTGTGGACGCCACCTACAATCATGCCTTTTTCGAGGATGCCAAAACGGACAAAGTCTATCGGCAGCGGATTCGAGCAATTGTTCAAAATAAGAATGAGGACTTTGCTACGACTATCACAAAGCGTGGCCACTACCGCGAGATTTGCACCAATCAACCTGATGGGATGTTGGAGCCGACGCCTGGCTCTCCAATTCCCATCAACGAGAAGGATTTTCTCGAACATATTGAGAAACTCATGCGTCGCACGCGTGGTAGAGAGCTCCCTGATACCCTCAGTCCTATGATCGTCGCCGATCTTTTCCTTGAGCAGTCTCGTCCCTGGGAGGCGATAGCCCGTAGCCATGTTGAGGACGCCTGGAAGGTCGCACAGGACTTCCTCGATCTTGTGATCGAGTACCTCGCGGATGAGCCAGCATACAGGGCTCTCAAGCAGGAGATCTTCGACCCAGCCATGAAAGGTATACTGAACGAAATGAACGCCAAGATTAAAGAACTTCTCAAGCCCCATCAAAGCGGCCATCCCATTACATACAACCAGGATTTTGTCACCGCACTGCGTACTGCGCGAAAGGACAGAATGGTCCAAGACCCTTCGAAGATTATCGCAGAATTCTTCGAAGTTAGCTCGCTCAACCAGTTCGTCACGATCACTGGAACCTACAATTTGCAAGCCCTAGCCCAGGCGATCAGCGAAAGCACTCCGCTTGAAATGAAACACTTCGCCGCCAAGGAAGCCCTCGACTGCTTGAACGCCTACTACAAGGTAGCTCTGAAGCGCTTCATCGACGACGTCGCCACCCAAGTAATTGAGGACAAGCTTGTCGGTGCTCTTCATACCATTTTGACATCTGTCTCCGTCTTCCAAATGACGCCTGAGAAGGTTGCACAGATAGCTGGAGAGCCCGAGGACTCTCGGCAAGAACGCGAGACGCTCACGAGGCAACTTGAGGTTCTCCAAAACGGCATCGAGACTTGCAAGCGGTTTGTGAATCTGAGAATTCACGGTGGTAAGTGATATACAGAACCTACGCCAACTTGTAAAATGTAACTAACTCACCTTTGTCATTGCAGATTCGGTTTACGTTGCGAAAGAGCGTGATGGGGACGAATTTGATACCGATGATGATGATGAGTCCAAGGTATCGAACGCGTTCCCGGAGGATGAGGCTGAAGGCGACGCTCCGGAATCGGGGACACCTCTGTTCGAAGACCTGCAAGACGTCAAGGACCAGCTCGAGTTCTACCATCTGTTCGAGTAAGGATTTTACTGCAAATCAGCTTGATGCTTAGGTTATCTGGCACGATAACTATGTAGCAGTTGGAATGCCAGAAGTAGGGAAGGCACTTCACTAATAGAGACTATTGCTCGCTACGCTTCCTATGTGATCCCGGCCATGGTTCGTTGGAGGTGAAAATAGCTCTTGCCCCTTCCGGGTGGTGTCTTTGATGTTCTTGACCCGCTTAACCTATCATTGAGCTGAACTTCACAAAGAATTGGAGGCCATGCCCCAAGACAAAGAATGGTAAGTCGATCCGCCTGCCCTCTCCTTTGTTCGAGATGGCGCTTCGCAACCCAGATTATATTTTAGGCTCACCTTATATGGAACAATCTCCTTGACGAATGCGCCCGACAATCCATGGCCATCGCGAGCTCAGCAAACAATCCAAAGAATTGACCGACAATACAATCCAGCAGCCCGGAGACCGACAGAAGACTCGAAGCTGTGATGCTCCCCTCAACCGCCAACCGAGGCGCCAAACGCCGCTACACATCCCCCAACGGGCCCAACTACGACGAGTTCGAACCCCGTCGCGTCCCTCTCTTCTCCATGCCCCTAACCAAAAGCCGCAAAATCATTCGCTTCCCTTACACCCCGATGGTCTCCTCCGCCCAGCACGACATAGACACCCCGCGACCGACCAAGCGAGTAAAATGGAACAAGGAACCCGCGCACTGGCGCGCAACAAAAGGCGAATTTGTCGACGGCACCATCCTCCACCCTTCTTCCTCCTCCAGCAGTGACGGCGACGCCGACTCCGACTCCGACGGCACCAACGAAACCGACCTCAGCCCAAAAAAATAATAATACCGACCCCTTTTCCTCCCCTCCATCCCTTCTCAAAACCACACTGATGAAAGGGGGTTTTGACTCAGGAGGCTTGGGACTAAACAACACCTCCAACACCTCCAACACCTCTAATACATCCAACACCTCCGACCCAGACATAATAATGCTCGACGGCTCCCCTTGCTCTTCCAAAGCCGAACTAGCTGTAGCTCGTCTCGACGGGCAACGTCAACGCCGCCAGCAGCCGGGGCAGTTTCGGGGGTCTGGATCTGGATCTGGACTAGGACCCCTGGGCTTTTTATCTGAACCGGCTTTGTACCAAACCATTGACCAGGCAGTGTCCAAGACGCTGAAACAAAAATTGGTGCCGCATCTGAATAAAGTCGAGAAAATGGTCGCCAAGAACTCGGCTGATGTAATAGAGAAAATGAGGGAGAGGATGCGGGTGGCGTATCAGTGGGATTTTGAGCAATTGGAGGACCAAGTACGAAAAGAGAAGAGGGTTGTTAGGGAGAAGGAGAGGGAGATTGAGCGGTTGGTTAAAGAAAGGGAAGAGGGTTATTGGCTTGATAGTAGTTTTGAAGTTGGGGGTGAAAGGGAGGAGGAAAAGGGGGAAGAGATGACCTTGCAGAGAGTCCGGGAGATGTTCAAGAGATTTAGGGGGAAGGTGTGGGAGTTTGTGTGTAGCTCTGCACTACAACTGGAGACGAAAGGAGGGAAGGTGACGGAGGTGGATATTATGCGCTTACCCTGGGTGCCGGATAAGCAATTGTTTGACAACGCGTCGGTGGAGGTCAGGAGACACTTGATTATGGCTGCGATTTCCAGGTGTTGTATTCGGAGGATTTTGAGACCGGGGCACAGGACGTTTGGGGCGGAGCTGGAGGAGGGAGCGGATGAGCGTGGAGAGACGGGACGGGTGGAGAGGCAGTTGGAGGCTATTGAAGGATTTTTGATGAGGAGTGGGAAAGGTATGTTTTGCGCTGCTGATTCCGAAAACCTGAAAGGGAAACGGAATGCTAACGAAGACATTGACACGACAGTCGGACAAAAAAGTGAAGCAAAATGGCGAGCGGTAAACATCAGCCTCTTCAAGCAACTTCGAAACGGGATCCTGACAGCCGAAGCGAAGAGTGCAGCCCAAACACTCATAGGCTATCTCGAGCCGTTGATGATATTTACTTTCGCACGAAACAAGAAAATGGTCGAAAAGACTATCGAACAACTGTGCGAACAGGCCGTGGATCTCAAACTGGCAATCAGGAAATCACCAGTCCCGTTACGGATCGAAATCGCCTCAAAGAACACCAACGAGGAAGACAACGACGACGGCGACGACGACGACGACGACGACGACGACGAAGATCCTCCCGAGTGGGAACCAAAGATAGACAGAAAGAATGGCAAACCGTTGATCGACCCACGTTGGCACGAGAAAATGGGCCAGTTGAAGTTGACCACGGAGGAGGAGAGCAGCAATGCCAGGATTAAATACATTGCTTTTATCCCGTTCGGAGCGTTGGTGAAATGCGAGCCTAATGAACCGAAGGTGGTGGTGGTGAGGGCGTGGGTTATTGGGAGGGCTTAGTCGTCGTTGTCGTCTCGATCGGGGTTGAAGATGGCCGAGAAGCTTCCGTAGGTAGAGAGAGAGAGATGTGATCAACAGTTGAGTCCGCGCGGCCCCGAACCGCTGGATCGGGAGTCACTGCACTCCGGGGCTGTGTTATGTTCCACTGCCACTTTCCACTTTGTCGGTGATGCGGCCGCAAACCCGCTCCGGCCCGCTCCGGCCCGCTCCCGGATATTGGGACCCCGTGGGGCCCGGAGGTAAGATGGGAGATGTGATTGGATGGAAGGAGTTAAGGGACGACACAATGCGGCTGACGACACAATGCGGCTTCGGCTTATGTCAGATTCAAGAAGGGACGATGACAGGGTCAACAGGCAGGGTAACACCAGGCATGTATTAGATAGCATCATTATCTTGTCGGCCGCTTTGTGGATGAAGATTGTAACATAATGATGTATATTTCTTCTTATTTTCCCTTTACAAGTTCTGTCTTTCAACATCCACCTTCCCTTTACACAGTTCTTGACCCAACTACAGTCGAAAGCAAACCTACATCCATCAACAACAACACCAACACCACCAAACGCAAAATGCATCTAATCCTAACAGGCGCCACCGGCCTCGTTGGCTCCGCCGTTCTAGACGCCATGATCAAGACCAAAGATATCACCAAGATCTCCATCATCAGCCGACGACCGGTCAAGATGGTCGAAGACGCCAAGGACCATCGCATCAACGTCATCTTGCACAAGGATTTCGAGAAGTACGATAGTGAACTGCTCAATTAACTTAAGGGAGCGACGGGATGTGTTTGGGCGCTGGGAATTACTCAGAATGCTGTTGGGAAGGAGTATGTTTTTTTTCTTTCTGCTTTTCTTTTCCCGATGTTTCTCCTCTGTTCCCCAAGCAAAGAAAACCTCAAAATTCATACTGATACTGGTGAAAAGGAATACGTCAAAATAACCAAAGGCTTCCCCCTCGCCGCCGCCGCCGCCGCTTTCCGCACCCTTCCCTTTGGCCCCCCCCCCCTCCTCCTCCCAGTCCCTCTCAGAATCCCAACCCTTCCACTTCATCTACATATCAGGCGAAGGCGCCACCACCACCCCTCTCTCCTCCCAGTCCCTCTTGTCAAGACTCACAACCCCCTGGTACGCCATCATCAAAGGCCAAGCCGAACTCGCCCTTTCCCAGCTCTCTTCCACTCCTTCCCCTTCCTCTCCTGCTTCTTCCAACCCCTTCGTGGTATACAGCATGAGACCAGGTTACGTAGACCCCGCCTCCCACGCCTCTATCCACGCTTACATTCCCCAACTTTCCGCTACCATGAACCTGCTGGCTTGCGTCTTAGGACCGGCTATTAGGACGGGATACAAGAAGCTTTGGAGTCCGACTGAGGAGCTGGGGAAGTTTTGTATTGAGATGGCGATGGGGAGGTGGGATAATACTATAGCCAGGGAAACAGAAGGGATGAAGGTGGGGGATAGTGGGAGGAACGGGTTTGAGAAGTTGGAGGGTGGAGGCGTGGTGATTGGGAATGGGACGTGGAGTAGGGTTGCTAGATTGGGGTAGGGGGATTTGAGGATCAAGGGGGTTGGGATGGATGAGACAGGATATGGGGGGAGGGGAAATTGGAGGTGAGTAGACAGGGTAGATGAGATCGGGTTTACGGGGTGAGATTGCAAGGGTCCAGATGGGTCTATTGTTGGCACCTATAGTATAATGTTCAGCTAGTGCCTTGAACCGTTGGTGCGGAAGCTACTTTAGGCTTTAGATGTTAGGTATGTGTATGTGCTAGCTATTGGTCCTCAATAGCAAATTAAAAATGCCTTTATTTAGTGTTGAGGGACAATGAGTGAGGCGGATGACAACAGCAAAGAAGTCGGAACCAAGGGGGCTCATATGAAGTGAAGGACATCAGACGTCTACGGTAACATTAAGGGTTTATATATGCTCTATCAAAAGGTCCAAAGTTCCAGATAAAAGGCCAGATGTCCCTCATCATGTCCCACAACCCCAATGGTACAGGATCCTGGACTAGGCCGGGGCCCTATATGGCGCGACGACCTTGGGGAACACCTGTTGGCACACACCACGGTTGATTTCCTCACCAAGGCCTCTAGACAGCCACATCTGGGCGCCGCACCAGAGAATGTTGTTTCTGCCCACAGAATCCTGGAGCGTAAGCTCACCGGTGGCGGGGTTCACACATCCCTTAATCTTGCTGATTTGGCTACCGGCCCTAATCTGAGCTTCAACAGTTGCCTTGGTGTTGACTTGGGGCCAGTTGCTAGGCGCATTGTTGATGGTGCTGATGTAAAAGTAGTATATATATGAGTAGGGAGGCACATTGTCGTGAAGGTACAGATAGCCTTCGCTATCAATAGCTATGTTGTACCTATTTTGGATGCTCGCAGCGTTGCTGGTGCTGCCCACTTGCCAGTTGGTACCGCCGGTGAGGGCGTTTAGCAGGTTGGCATATATGTAGTAGTCGTTGCCATTGATCTTACTCGTTGCACGAAAGGCGTCGGTGTTGATTTGGCACACGGGCTGCACGGGCTCAGGAGCCAAAGTCGCGGTCTCGATGGCGATGACAGTGGTAGTGAGGGAGACGACATCGGTCTGAGTGGCGGTCACGGTCTCAACATCCTCCACGATAACAGTCGCGGTAGCCGAGGTTGTGGCCGTTACTGAGACCAACTCAGTCTCCGTGGTGGTAACGGTGGCAGCGACAGAGGCAAAGATGGTCTAAGACAAACAAGTCGAGTTAGCTAGGTTACTCAGCAAGTCTCAAAGTAGTGAAAACTTACAGTGGTCTCCTCGACAGTGACAGTAGAAGCGGAGGCGGGAACGGTGATGGTCGTGACCTCACCACCGACACATTTGCAGGCCGACTTGTACTTGTCGAAGGACGGGCAGTCCAAGGCGTACTCGGGGAGCGCGGGAGAAGATTGAACGGGAGCAAGCTCGACCGAGGCCGAACTGGTGGGCTCGACAAAGGTCAAGGTATCGATGTCACGCTTCTTCTTCTCGGTCGGAGCCGGGGGGAGGGTAATGGTCTCAAAGACGGTCTCGGTGCTGGCAATAGTGGTTTCGGTTGTAACCAGGGAGACTGTCTCGGTGCCAACGGTGACGACAGAACTCTGGGTGAAGAGGATAGTCTCGGTGGCAGCGGTGGTTGACTCGGTCTCAGTGACAATCACGGTGCCAAGGACGGTGGCATATTGGGTAGCGGACACAATAACGGTCTCGGTCACGACGCTGGCTGGGACTGATACAGTCTCGATAAGGACGGCGGCGCAGTCCTCGATTCCGTTCTCGTTTTGGACAATGGCTGTTTAAGAGGATGTGGGTCAGCATTTTCTCCAGCAGTTTCCCAAGAATGACCGTACCCTTCAAGCACTTGTTACTGCGACAGCAGGCGGCCGATGCCAGGTTCAGCCAGGCAAAGCCCGAGGCCAAGAACAAAGCTTGCTTCATAATGAAGACAACGGTGGTCTCGTTAAAGAATGACTGGAGTGAGTGGTAAGCGAGTGTGTTGAGACAGCAACCTTCTTTTGTCGAATCCCGAATCCACGGTTGGCTGTGTCGATCACTTCTTTTTGGAGTGGCAATGGAACCCTTTTTAATCCCAGATCGGGTTGACGACCGAAAGTGTGCCTGACCCAGGACGGCGGTTGAGGGCTCAAGTCGGTCTTTGTGCAATTTCCCGTGTGCTAGCGGTGATAGGACGCCACACGAGCCGTCAGTGAGTTTGCATCTCCTTTTTGGGAGGCCATGCTGGGCCGATTGGACGAGTCTAGATCGAGTAGGATCAACGCTAGCCCATCTCTAGTGTATTGATATGTTCCCGACTATCTGGGAGACGGGCAAGCAACACGTGTAGGCTGATAGGGCCGTACACTTGGATGTTTCCATGGGGGAACCTGGGGTGTTCAAAAACGATAGTGCGCCAATAGCGCGGCCGGATCTGTACTCGCTTGGCGCCCGATGACAGCTGAGCTGCCTGTGTAAAGAGTCGGAAGAAGGTGGAAGTTATTCCCAGACATCTCTGTCGCCTCTATCCTCCGGGGTCCGTATGGCCGGAACCAAAGCCGATCCGAGATGTCGGTGAAAAGGGTCCATCCATTGCTTGTTGAAGTTTGATGTTGGTCTCGGCTGGGAACGAGGCAGATGACCACACCACCAGAGTTTTACAGACTGTACTCGGGCAGTCCGCAAATCTGCGTGTACACTACACCAAGATCAGATTGGATCCGGCGCTGTCGTGGAGAGGTTGCGAGGATCCATGACGACCGTTCAATGCCATTGGAATCCTGTACCCTATGATCTGATCTATCCGCCCTGTTAGCGCTCGGCCTTGTTTTTGTATGGAGTCAGGGGAAGATCGCTAACAGGTAGAAGCCTGGGGTTGTTACCGTCTCACCGAGGCTTGTGCCCAATGTAGGAATACGTTGCGAATTCCATTGGTGATTCGACGGGGGACCAGACTGCGAACAGGCAACACAAGCGAGAAGTTATCAAGAGAAGACTGAGTACTAGTGGAGCAAACAGACTGCCGAAGATGGAAGGATGCTTGTTTCCTGGGGGATCCTTGTCGGGGAGAAAGAGTCCAGAACAGTTGGGACGCGGAGGTATGCAGGACACGTCGAGATTGTGGGGTTGAGAAGAAATTAAGATTGGTGACGTTGATTCAATTTGATGATGTTCTTAAGATTCTTTCTTGATAAATTTCACAAATATGGGAAAGTATGAAAAAAGAAAAATGTAAAGTCGGAATGGCACCCAACAATTTGCAGTGGCCGCTCCCTTCTGCGCCTCTGATCTTGCCTGGCTCAGGCCGATTCGACACCACGGAAGGAGTGGCTTGCAGTGGCTCTAGTGGCTTCAGGGGGCACGCGCGAACTGCTGCAAAATCTCAAATTGCAGTGCACGTGCCAACATTCCTGCCCGTTTCGCCATGTTTGACGTCTCTAGTTTTATTTCATTTTACTGTCCCATGTCATTGTCATCGGTTCATCACCGTTACATGAACTATTTCATCGCAATGTTTCCATCCGGCATCCGCTCGTAGAACAGACGCCGACGACCAATCAGTCACTTCATCACCAACGATGACCGTCGGAACTGATGGCGTAAAGCGAAGATGAAGACGAACTTGAAGACTGCCTCGACACTCGATCGTCGGAGCAACTCTCCCCGACCATTGTTTGACCGCGACGACAGGATGATGGAAGGAGGGCCATAATATCTTTGAGATGGCGGTGTACATACAGTTATGATACAGCATCCGATCAGATTTCTACACTTGATACTCGATAGGCCCGCACGGCATGTTTCCCTCAGACATTGTTCCGACTACGTCTCTCGGACTCGGCGTCGTTCCATGATTCCATCTCGTACTGCCGAACTCCATGAGGCCCATCAGCACCCTTAGACCCAACCTTCTCCGCCCCAGGCTGTAACTGCTCAGCACTGTCGGCATCCGGCATCTTGACAAAGCTGGGGAGCTCGTTCTGCCTGGACGTGTTCCCGCTTACTCCCATGCGGGACAAGAGAGACATGAGGCTCTCGGTTGGTAGAATGCGTGCCAGGATCGGTCGCAGCGTAGGACCGCATGCAGCAATGATACCGATATGGCACTCAGCCAGGTTCCAGATGGAGAGGCCAGTGAGCATGGCTGTACTATTGCGTTAGCTCATCATCTATGAGGCAGAATGGGATAGGAGACACTGGGAGCTTACAGATGGCATCGGACGTCCACAAACCCAAGCTTGCTTTGATGTAGATGTAGGCTTTGGCGATGGAAGCACCCACGGACCTGTCACCTATGTTAGCTTAGTTTTTACCCCATAACTTCAACTAACAAGACTCACAGGGCACCGATCATAAAGGTCAGCAGAGTCAAGAACCTAGTCCGCTTGTCCATCTTCATGCTAAAGACCACGGGGATGGGGATGAGCAGCGTGATAAAGTCCGTGGCAACATCACTGCCCACCATGGCATATCCGGTGGGGATCGCGCTTCCGCAGTGCTCCAAATACTCTTGCGGTTGCCCAAAGATAGCCTTGAGATGCGAGCCGCACTCGAGAAGGCCTCCCAGGACAAAGGCGAGAGTCCATGCAATGATGATTGCGATCCAGACCATGAGGAAACGGCGAAACACGACTCGGGCAAAGAGGTGCCAGAATAGGAAGCACACGGATAGCTTGATCAAGCCGAGGGTAGCGATACCGAGGAGCAGGAACGAGAGTTCAATCTGAGCGACAGTCTGTTAGTGAGGGGCCGACAAACACTTGGCACAAGGAATCGCGTACATGTTTAGCCTTGTTCAGACGTCCGTTGACTGCCTTGGGGTCTTCGATCGAGGCACCCAGTGGATATCCCAACGCGTGTTCCTTCACGCCTTTGTTCGCGGTTAGTACAAGTTGCGCCAAAGAAGACATGGCCAGGACGTCTTCACTCACCATAGATCTCCATTACCGTCATGCCGGTTGTAAAAATGGCAGCCGCCACAATCAGCCAGTCGGCCGTGATGTAGCCTTGTCGCTTCCACCTCTTGGAGTAGAATCTCAAGCTAACACATAGCGTCGAGACAACCCACATGATGACCGACCCGGCGATCAAGGCGCCCGGGCTGTCATACTCGGGTGGTGATAGTTCTGGCTGGGACATGATGGGTCAAAGCGGGTGTTCTGCTGCTGTTGGCAATGACGGGCCCAAGAGTCAATTGATCTCGGGCATTTGGCTTTCAAGGACGAGACATCCGAGGTGTCAATAGCAGCACCCTCAACGGGAAGGGCTACCTTATCACTAAGGGTATCATACCTTTCGTTCCACCACCATTGCGCAATCCAGAAAAGACCCAGACCTACCTCATCCACTCCAGCCTTCTCTTCTGGCCAAGAGTAAGCAACAAGAAGGGAAAATATGCCGACAGCTGATGCCAGCCAGCCAGCCAGCCTTTTCCGTCTTTGCCCGTGCCGTTGTACAACATTCAGTTCCTTCGACCCTTCTTTGAACCCCTAGCATGGTCTTTGGTCCGGGCATGTCCCGTCACAATCCATCCTATTCCTAGGTATCTACCTACCTACGTTCCGCCGACGCTTCTCACCCACCACCAACACGCTGACTGCTGGTATTGAGTAGCAATACACTACATGCTGCCGCCGTATCCTATCAACGGTGTGCCGTGTCCAACCAGCGTTTGAAGGGATGGTTACACAAAAGTTTATAGCATGCCTGCCTGCTATAAATTCATGCAATATCTGCCGCCCGTCAGCCCCTCCGACCGTTCCCTCACCTTACCACCGTACCGTTCCTTGAAACCATTGTTCATTCGTCCAATGCATACAGGAATACCACACAACTGCAGCAGCGACCCATGGACAGCAAGGGGACGAACCGCAACTGCAACCGCAAAATGAGGGGTGGCGGACAACGGGCCGTTTTTATATGGGATATTGGACACAAAGACCACAAAGGCTGCTGCTTCGTTGCGGCGTAGACGGAGCACTCGCAGCATTCGGGGGTATCGCACGGCAAATTCTTACACAAAATGTGGGTAGGATCCAAGTCGGATAAAATAACGAGTGAGAGGATTGATGTTCATTATTCAGCTATACCGTTTGCTACCTACATATCTGTATCCATGGTTGCGTTACATCTACCACCCACCCCATCCACCGTCCGCCGTCCACCGAACGTTCAAGCGAAAGATGCAACCCAAACACCCAAACGAACGGCAGATTTATCAGGAACCACGGCTATCAATTGTCAATGGGGCATGGCATGCAGCGGAATGCTTAGCCGGTGGACGTCCGGTGAGTTTGTGACCACCCCAATAATCCGCATACGAAGGATTTCCTTTGATCGGCTCCTATACGAATGTCAATCCACAGAATCACAACCCCCGGTTCTTCCGTATTGAGGGACCAACAAAAAGACGACGGGCCATGGTACACAAAAGACACCGGTTACGTTTGGGATTACACTGCTGCGCATTTCAGTTCGGATGATCGTATCGGCCAATGCCAATCGCTCAAACTTTGTCGGACTTGGAGATGCTTCCTTGCTGGATGGAGTGGTTGGGCTGACCGTAACGAGGAATCGCAACCAGGCAGTTCGTGTCGTTCTGCAACAATTATGTCGTTGGTGAAGGGGAGCATCAAATCGAAGGTCCAGATGTAACTGTTGGTTTTCGATTACTTCCCCTGCGGTCACAAATTAACAGTGAGCACCTCTCAATCAGTGCCTGACTTGCCATTAAGAGCTAATGACTGATACTTCCCGCAATGCTAATCCCACCCGGCTCTGATTTCCATGTTATTTCCGTTGGGAACTTGATGGATGTTGGACGTTGTACCCCTCCATTTGTGTTCCATTCGTCTTAAGTTGACAGCCGGTTACGGTTGACGGATCGAACGAAACGCCGAAACACCGACCTTTGCCAAAGTTGGTGTTGCAAGTTGCACTAGAACTCACCCTTTTGTCTGGCACATGTCAGTCGCGTCCCGTCATTGATTCGGGCACAAAGTCAACAAAAGATCACATCATCATCACCACCCGTCTTTGCAACAATTGTCGTCAAGCAACCGGCCAAGAACCTTAGCTGCTTGACTGCTTGAAGCACACCGATGCATCCTCATTACCTTTTTTGAGAGTCGAAGTCAAACCACCACCAGCTCCTCACCCACGGACTATCTCACGATGCTAGCGGTTGCCCTCCAACCGCTCCATGCGGTCGCCGTCCTCCTCGGCCTCAGCCTAGCCACAACCTCCATCCACGTCCTCGCCGCCGACCCCCCCTCCCAAGACACCGGCAACAACCCCATCGTCAAAGACCCCATCAACAACCTTTCCTACCGCGGCACCATCACCACCCTCCCCTCCTCTTCCTCAGCAAACCCCAAAGTGCAAATCGAACACTACCTCAACATCCGCTTCGCCTCCGCCCCTCGCTTCTCCCCACCCACCCCCTTCCTTTACCAGTCCGGCTCCCTCATCGACGCCACTCTCCCAGGTCCAGCATGTCCCCAATCCCTCCCCGCCATTCCACCTTTTTTCGCGGAAACACACGCCATAAGCGAAGATTGCCTAAACCTGCGCATTTCCCGCCCGGCCGGCACAGCTCCAGATGCAAACTTACCGGTAGTCGTGCATATCCACGGCGGCGGGGTGGTCAAGGGCAGTGCGTACGATCCACATTTTGATCCCGATCGCCTTTTGTCTCTATCAGTCGAGCTAGGGGAACCGATAATCTACGTGGCTATTAACTACCGGTTAACAATCTTTGGGTTTCCTCGTCTTCCTGTCTTGAAAAAGCAAAAGGCGCTAAACCTAGGGATGAGAGACCAGCGCGTTGCGTTGGAGTGGGTTCGTGACAATATCGTGTACTTTGGCGGGGACCCTTCGAGGGTAACGGCCTTTGGCCTCAGTGCGGGAGGGACATTTACCAGTTTACAAATGGTTGCGTATGCAGGGGAAAAGGGGGCGCCGTTTACTAGGGCGTGGATGATGAGTGGACCGCCGGGGACGGCGCTGAATATGACTGAGGAAAAAGAGACGGAGAGGCATACGAGGAATGTGGCGGAACGGGTGGGGTGTATTTTCAAGAAACCAGAGGATGACGAAGACTTGCTGAGTTGTTTGCGAAACGTGCCCATGGAGGAACTAACAGAAAAAGCGATGGGGTACTCGGTTGAGAATCATCCGCCTGCTGGATTATTTACTTTTATTCCTTCCGTTGATGGGGACTTTATACCCGAGAGACAGTCGGTTTTGTATCAGAGTGGGAGGGTTGTCAAAGGTTTGTCTTCCACTTACCACTCCTTCCCCTCACAACCTATTCTAACAACGTCACAGGAATCCCAACAATCCTCTCCTGGGCTCAAGACGACGGCGCCACCAACGCCGGCCCTGCCCCCCTTTTCGTTTCCGAAGAATCCATGATCCCCGCCCTTACCTCCTTCCTCGGCCACTCCATCCTTTCTCCCTCCGACATCTCCACCCTTTTCTCTCTATACCCCGAATCCGATTTTCTTGAAGAATACCAGTCCTACCTCTCTCGAAAATCAGACACAGATCCAGAAGCACCAATCCACTACTTCCGCATCTCGCGCATCCTACGAGATATACTTTTCACTTGCTCGAGCATTGACTTTGGGCATCACCTCTCGCGCGCATCTTACTCTGAAGACCCCGATTTTGCTGGGGTGCGGCTGTACACTTTGAATCAGAGCATGTTGACCCCCCTTTTCAAGGGGGCGGGCATGCCGTGGTTGGGAGCGGTGCATGGGAGTGATACGAATTATATCTTTAATGGAGTGTTTCCTGAATTTGGTGATGCTTGTTCTGAGGAAGATGGGAAGTTGGCGAGGGAGATGGCGGGGGCTTTTGTTAGGTTTGCTGCTAGTGGGGATCCCAGCCCCAAGGAAAAGGGAAAGAGAGAAAATGAAGACGAGGGGTGGGTGTGGCCTGAGGCGTTTGGCGGGCGTGAACTTGAAGATGGAGTTGAGGCTAAGAGAGGGATGGAAGAGCTACGCGGGGTCAATGTGCATGTTATTGGCGGGCCGGTCGGCACGGGGAGTTGTAAGGTTAGACATCATGGCTTCGTGGCTGACGGAGAAGATCTGGGAAGCATGCAGAAGCCGATTGTGGGTGAGGGAGTGGAGTATAGGGAGATGGGAGGGAAGGATGACGTTGAAGAGAAGGCCAAGAAGCCGAAGCAGCTGAGAAGGAAGAGGGAGGCGCTGTTGGAGAGGGAGAAGTTGCTTAAGCGGTGTGCTTTCATCAACACCTTGAACGAGAAGCTTGGTGTTTGAATCTGGTGGTGTCGAGTTGAGGTACGATCTGGCTCGAAATGGGTCTGGAACATGGTAACTCAGGGATAGTGCAGTACTGGGTCTAGTTACTTGGATAGAAGTGGGAGAGATGCAGCAGGCCGAGGATAAGAATAGCAACACGGAAGCAAGATTCTATATGAAAGATGTAGGCAATACGGTTGTATGTTCAAGAACACGGCTTAGAAGATATCACGCGAGTGGTTGATTGCGACAACGTCCTGCCAAGAGCTGCCGTCCTCTGTGAAGCACAAGCTGAAGCCAAGAACTGTGAAGGAATACCGGTCGAAATGGCTTGTAACGTTGCCTCTCTTGATTGTGCACGATCCGCAGTCATTCTGGGTGTGTCGGTGTTGAGAGAGCCTTTGGGTTTACGAGGCTCTCACCTCCTAGTACATCACCAACAGTGGCTGCTGATGGATCTATCACTCTTCTTCTTGGTACCGTCGGCCACTCTGCCGGTCTCAGCTGGAGCTGTTGCTTGGGGCACTATTCAGCTGTGAATAGCTTTGGATCGCAGGACCGGCACGGAAAGGTTGCGCTACAGAGCAGTGTGGGCAAGTGATTGATGGAACAACAACAAAAGTCTTGGGTATATCAACCTGAAGGCGGTATTGCTATACTGTTGGTCCGGCAGAGTCTCGGTGAACCGTGTAACTACGTCAATATCGGCGCACTCGGTGCTTGAAGGTCCTTGGTGATTATACGAACCTATTAGCTGTGTGTCAGCAAGCCTTGCCAGTAAAGACTTTTGTTCTCTTGGTCTCGGGTTGGGCTGAGGTGTAGTCTGGGTCAGGTACGTCAAGACGGGATTAATCCTGCACGGGTATCAATGCCCAAAGGAGATAACATTGAAAAGGCGGGACTTGTGATCTGGCCTACTTGTGATGGTGGAGGAGGGAAAGCAATGCCGAGGCACAGTCAGCATGGAACGCTGGTAGTTCTCCGTGCGGATGCAGTCATGAGCCACGATCGGACCACTGCCGTCGCCTTGTTTCTTTGAGTTGTTCGCCAGTGGTTGGAACGATGTCTGGGGCAGTTATTACGGCAGCGGATCGTTGTTCCTTGAAGCGCTTTCACTGGGGTTTGATGGCTGGCCTACACACTGGATGCGCTGTAGATGTTCGATGCTGGAAAATTCGGTATTCCTCTTTGGGTGTTTCTTGTAAGACGGACGGTTGGATTGAAGGGTTGTGCTCGGCGTGTCGGTTGGCCCCCAAAAGCGTGATAGCGGTACCCAGAACTACGAGTCGACCGGTGGAATATTCCTGCGAGGGCGCTTGTTGTGACAAGGACCGGAAAGTGATGATACCTTCCGAGATCTTTTGCCGATCGGCTATGGTTGTGGTCTTGGAACTTTGTTTTCCTTTGGCTTGTATATCTACGGTCTGAAGTCATTGTCAGTGCTCAATGGTCTTTTTCTAACTTCTCTCCTTGCTTCATCTCTTCTTCTTCAGACACTCCTCCAACGTGGGTAGTTCACAAGCACCTCTTACCTTTAGCATTACGTCCGCTCCAAGTCAAGCGTTGAAAACATGAAGACGGTCACGCTGTTCATCTTGCTTGCGGCGTCAATTGTCTCCGTCTTTGCTGCTCCCATTCCATCTCCAGGTAAGGAAGCCCCAATGATTCTGAGGAGCCCATAACTGACGACTGACACAGACCTTACTCAAGCAACACGGCGAGATGGGCTGGGGACAGAGTTTGACACGGACCTTTGTCTTCTCAAAAAACGCACGGGAGTAATTGGCGAGGGGATTGACAATTGCGACATGTGAGAAGGATTTGGTTACAGGCATTGGAGTTGTGAGTGTGGACGGGGGGAGAAGTCGGATGGATGTCGGAGCGAAGAAGAGGGGTCCTGTCACACAAGGGCAGCGATGGATGGTGGGGGACGGCCTGTTCCTTCCGAAACGGTCCTTCTTCCCCGGGTTGGGTGTGATTTAAGGCAGGCACGGAAGGATCCGAGAATAGCATCTCCATTGTAACTTCCGAAAGGGCTGAACTGATGAACGGGACAAATTGCGGTTTCCAAGAGAAAGTCGGTGTGCAATCAATTTATTCAATCCCATCAAAGCCAATTAACTGCACATAACGTTGTTCGATCTGACGCCCCCAACTTTAGTTCTGGTACTTGTACACGTTCAATATCATCAATTAACCGGATTCCGGCACAGGGGCCCGTTCTTCCCCGCCGCCTTCCCACGCTTTGTAACACTGTTTGCTGACCACCACCATGACTGGTCCCGTTGGAAACGAGTATTTCACCCCTCATATGATGTGTCTAGCCCTACAGCGCCAAGACCCTGGTTCCTCAGCCAAAGTGAAGAGCCGCCGTTGATATCGGTCCGGCAGATCAGCGTCCCCTCTCCGTTTTAAATGCACCTGTGATGAATCGGGTCTTCAACTGATCAAGAACATGATCACCGGCATAGCTTACGCCGCTAACAGACCTGTTCCCTCTTTGGCCATATCGTATGAGATGTTTCCAGGTGGTTATTGGGCCAATAATTTCACTCCTTCATTAATCCATGAAGCACAGGCTTTTAACTTTTCCAGTACTTGACATTACTGTCTTTCCCGGTACTGTGTGGTTGACCTGAAAGCGCCTACTGGCAAGGATGAGAGGCAGAAGGATCATGGAATGCATAGCACTTCACACGCATGCTTGCTGGTTATCTTCAATATCAGATGCTATGCTGCCAGCTTCAAGTCAAGAGGGAAGTGCCTTGATGCAATGCCGGCACTTTCGCTCGGTTGATGTCACTCCCATACGATGGGTCTCTGCTCCTTCATCCATCACTTGTCTTCCAGTCCGTCATTGTACCCGTAGCTTTTACTTAATCCTCCTGTCATAGTTTTTCAGACTTCTTTGACGAGCTTCTCATAAAGACTCCATCATGGAGCCATTGATCACAGACGAGAAGCCCCGGTATGCTCGTCTACATGGCGATGATGAGAACGTCCCCGAGAACCCAGAGGCATTAGCCCTCATACGGAAGTGGAAACGAAGATTCTACGTCCTTCTCGCTTCATCTCTGTCCTTCATCACAATTATCTTCGGCGTTGGAGTCTACAGCATCTTGTCATTGCAAGATTGTTCGCCATCTAAATCTGGGGCTGTGATACCATATTGCACGTTCTTTCCTACCTCACACGACTTTCTTTCCAAACAGTTTACTAACACCATTCACAGCTCCGGCTCCAGTTCAATACGTCAACAAATGGCTAACCGGTGACCCGGACACCAAAAAGTTCATGGGCAAACCTCGCCCTGAACTCGACCAGGCATGGCATGACCTACTCGATAGTACTCTGATCAAGTACTCAGCCGATGAGCTTTTCCTCGCCAATAACGCCACATCTGTTCAGCACAAAGACGGTGGTTTTGTTGGCGGACTGGGGATTTCCCATTCGTTGCACTGCCTTGTGAGTGGCCCCCTTGCCCCATTCTTACCGGGTACCGACCATCGCGTCTCGGCGTCTCCACTCCCCCCTTTACGCTCCATCATGCCAAGCATCACCAAGTAAACAAACTTCCGAATCGGTTCAATCATGTCACTAACACCATTACGCAAAATAGAAACGACTAAAGCAATACATTCATCGGGACTACTATTACGACCATGAGACGCAAGATTGGGACGAGCTCTACTCACACGTCGACCACTGTCTCGAGTCGCTGCGGCAAGAGATCCTATGCAACGCCGATGTGAACGTCTACACGCTCAAGTGGACGCCTCACAGTCGGTTCAAGCCTACGGTAAAGGTACCGCAGCCCCATGCTTGTGTCGATTGGGAGGCGCTGCATGGGTGGATGAAGGGAAGACAGGCTAGGTTGGAGGATATGGTTGGTCCGCCGGAGAGCTTGTTTGAGGGGAAGGACTCCAAGGAGAAAGGGGGTGCAGAGGGTGCAGAAGGGGGGAAGGGAAAGGGAAAGGGGACTGGGAAGGGAAGGAGGGAAATAAAACTGAATGAGCTTTCTTGTTGTCGGAGCTATGGTTGAGGAATCCATTGTCCTTGGGATAACAGAAGATCCACAGGCGCCAAGACATACCCTTTGGAGCCACGGAAGGCCATGGAGCATATCCCACCTTTGAGCAAAGCAAAAGTTGGACTGAACAAACCTACATAACAGTCCTCTCTCCAATCCCAACATCGATGGTGCCTTCAAATCTCTCTTGCATGTATCGTAAGGGCCCAAAAACATTGAGTGTCCCTCTGACGACCCAGGTTGGTTCTGCCCACAGACGGGGAAGGAACGTGTCTCGCAGGCCGCAACCCCAAGTCTTGTAGAAAGCAAGAGCAACCAATATCCCACTTCGGTGGTTTGTGACGAATGTTTTGCATCATCGTCCGAGACCACATCTTCCAACAGCCGGGTTCGCTGCTTTGCTGCTCTCCTGCAACGACTGAAGCTCCGTAACCACGCACCTAAACCCACCATTCCGTATCGACAAGCCCAACACATCATCAAGAGTATCAATAGCTTGGATTGAATAACTAAACCTCCCCACACTCTCGGTATTGCACTCTCCCTTTTTGCCCTGTTCACCTTCCATCCCACCCTTGACTCTCCGCCACGCCGTTAGATCCGCTAACAAGTACCAACCCATAACAGCAATGTCCGCAAACGATTACTACCACAACACCAACTCCTCCACCAGCCACACCTCCGGAGATACTCAACAAACTTCCAACCAGTCCCATAGCTCACACAGCTATCCTCCCCAAGGCCAAACCCAGCTGCACTCCTACGACAACCACGGTAACCACCACGGACACTTCCAACTCCAAGACCACGCCGGTCGTCGTCGCAGCTCCGCCATCTCCATTCCTGCCGGGGCCGCAGGCGTCAGCTTGAATCCCCATCTTGCCCAGGGCTCGTTCCTCCAGCACCAGGTTCCGAACAACACGCCTGCCGCTGCCAATGCCAACTTTAACTGTACCTCTTCCGGATCCGGATCGGGTCATCCTAATACCAGCCACTTTTGTCCTGTTGGTCACGAGTCGACCGCTACCACGAAACATGGTATAAACGGCAACGGTCCCGACACCCTTCACCATCCCGATGGCCCAGACGGAGAAAGAGGTCTCGGCGCCACCCTCGTCGGCGGAGCCAGTGGTCATTTCCTTGCCCATCAACTCGGTCACGGCCATCACGGTGTCGTCGGAAGCACAGCGGGAGCAGTAGCTGCCAATTTGCTAGAGCACCAATTGAAGAAGAGCCACAATCAGCATGCTCATGATTTGGGACACAGCGGTGGAGGAGGGGGGTTAAGTGGAATGTTTGGTGGTAGTAATGGTGGACATCATGGTGGACATCATACGCTTCAGCAGCAGACGCAGCAGCATCAATATCCTACTACCCACGCGGGTTCTGGAGGACATGGACATGGACATGGCTATGAATATGAATATGGAGATGATCATGGACAGGGAGGGGTGAATCAGGGAGGTTATGGTCATGGAAAGCATCACAAGTGGGGGTTGTAGTTCGCGAAAAGACTGGAAGAACTCTCGGGGGAGTGTTGGGGTCAGTAGCTGTCCTATCTTGTCCGCTCACCTACCTTGCTAGTTACATGTGTTTGGCTTGTCCTTGGTATATCGGTAGTGTCAAGTCCTAAGCCCTAGGTGGTAGACCTTCATGAAACGGAACTTCATTACATCCCACTTTCGTCGTCACAAGCAAGAAAGAGCATCAAACAGAGGTGTCGCTTGATCCAAATTCCTCTTTGCATGAGGGAGTTCATGTGTTGGGTATCAAACCCAGCAAAGATGGCGGTGCTCAGTTCGATCCCAATATCCATCCAATACCGCCATCCGCTACAGTCTTGCTTGCCCACTGAGCAGCACGTCCTTGCGCTCTTGTCAATAGCCTCGCTGACCAAACTTCCCCGACAAGAAAGCCAAGGGCCAATAAGGGAAAACCCAAAGGAAGGAGTACCACTGTCCGTCGCCTTGCCCAACAAACAAAAACTAGCGACACAAGTCGGAGCGGGAGGGTGACCAGGCGAACCCGGACACCCCTTCCGTCCCGGAGTCCCGAACTCCTCGGCGCCGTCACACCCCTTGACAAAGTCGGCTGGCGCTTCCGGCTAATCCTCCAAGTGTCTGGAATCTGTGCCCTGGGTCTTGCCCCTTCACCGGCACGCCCTTCTATGTATCTAGGCTGCCCTAGTTTCCGTTTCCCCTCTTCCGTTGGACAACTTGGGAACCAAGCCCTTTTCATTGTCGCCTTCTTTTCCAGCCTCCAATACCAAGTCTTCCCAACATCCACCACATCGCCATCCCGCGTCCTAACCTTCCTGTCTCCCAATCTCTCTCCCGCTCACCCATGTCCTCATATCACGTCCTGGCTCACGTAATGACTATTGAAATGCCGGCCAAAAAAAGACAGGAAAAAAACCCCAAAATATTTTTTTTACTTGTCTTGCTGGGAAACCGCTTGGAAAACCCAGTTTCCACTTGGGATTCGCTGCTGGTTAGTAATAGTAGCTATTTAGTTAGTAATAGTCGCTATCTGGTTAGTAATAATCGCTATGGGTTAGTATACTCCCTGGGAGCCTGGCCGGTAATTAGGCACTCGCCCAAGCTAAGACTCAGAAACAAGGCCCTCCCCAATGCCTATCTTCCCACTAACCCTACCCCGACAAGCACCGAGGAGGGCGGCGACTTCTCCACATGGCGAGCGCATAAGGATATTGTATTTTTTTTGGAATTTCTTTCTTTAAAGTTTTTTTTATTCGAAAGAAGAGGGTCACTTACGCTGCAATCAGGGAGAGGTGCCCAGGACGAACCCGGACAGCCCCTCCCTAATTCAGAATGTCGAAAATATTGGGACCGAGATGGGATCGAACATGGGACCTCGAGAGATGGGATGGAAGGAGCGACGCGTGGAACCGCTTGACCACGTGGGTTATCCCTGCTTGTTGTTATTATTCTCCACAACTAAGCTTATAAAGGCATGGACAAGTCCGAATGGTCCCTTCCGTCTCAACGTCCCGTCCCGCCATCTTGGTTGAAGGTATCTCCACCATCGCAATTGCCCACAACGTCAATCCCCGACAACACGTCAATTGCCAGCAACCAACAACCATCACTTGAGGTTTTCGCATCGCGTTTTCCACACAACAAAATACTCACCATGAATGAAATAAATGATTGACGCGCTCGCGCACAGAAGCGTCGCAGCTCAGCGCGCCATAAAAAAAAA